GTACTTCTTATTCCGTATTCCGTTCTTCTTATTCCGTACTTCTTATTCCGTTTTCCGTTCTTCTTAATCCGTACTTCTTATTCCGTATTCCGTTCTTCTTATTCCGTATTCCGTTCTTCTTAATCCGTACTTCTTATTCCGTTTTCCGTACTTCTTATTCCGTATTCCGTTCTTCTTATTCCGTACTTCTTATTCCGTATTCCGTTCTTCTTATTCCGTATTCCGTTCTTCTTAATCCGTACTTCTTATTCCGTATTCCGTTCTTCTTAATCCGTACTTCTTATTCCGTATTCCGTTCTTCTTATTCCGTATTCCGTTCTTCTTAATCCGTACTTCTTATTCCGTTTTCCGTACTTCTTATTCCGTATTCCGTTCTTCTTATTCCGTATTTCTTATTCCGTTCTTCTTATTCCGTATTCCGTTCTTCTTAATCCGTACTTCTTATTCCGTTTTCCGTACTTCTTATTCCGTATTCCGTTCTTCTTATTCCGTATTCCGTTCTTCTTATTCCGTATTCCGTTCTTCTTATTCCGTATTCCGTTCTTCTTAATCCGTACTTCTTATTCCGTTTTCCGTACTTCTTATTCCGTATTCCGTTCTTCTTAATCCGTATTCCGTTCTTCTTAATCCGTATTCCGTTCTTCTTAATCCGTATTCCGTTCTTCTTATTCAGATGACGTTTTGGGCCTTGTTATTTGCCCTCATGGACGTATGAATAATATGCAATAATTATAATAAGTCAATATCTTTGCATCTTCTAGGTATCTATCATCACATCTTTTAGTCTGATAAGATACCTCTCTGCGGGAGGATCTGACAAACTTCCCGTAAGAGGTCGCGTTGAGAGAACCTTCTCTCAACATCAGCGTCGATGATTCTTTAATCTCGACACGAGAGTGCAGCACATCATATTTCTGTGTTTAGAAAACGTAAACGGGAGGTTCCGAAGGGAAAATAACAAATGCCGTGCTATAACATTGTTGAGGATATGTTGTCGTGTCTGAGCGCCATGGCATCAACACTGAAAGGGTGTACTATCGAGTTGTGTTCTGTGTGGGCATTCGTTCCAAATCGAGGTGGAAAAGCAGGGAAAAGAAAACTGAAAGCTGATTGGTTAAACAAAATTCACGCACTCTTCATAAAGATTGGACTGTCAAAGTTTGCTTTAGGTTCCCCTGACACGACCTCCTCTGAATGGTTTGTCAGATCTTTACGCAGAGAAGTATGGTATTGGAGGTAACGACCTCATTTTAACGAAAAATTGGAAGGTTAGTATCAATGCCTGACACTGATGTCATGATGCCGTTAACGGTTAACAATCTGGCCATTGTGCTGTAAATAGTTAACACTATGTTTATGATGTGGTAACAAAGTTGTCACGATGCGGTCAACGGTTTACAATCCTTTTGAACTGTCTACTGAAATGTCGCTACTGCAGACATCGTACTGTCTGATTGTTACCATGAAACGTTTTCATGAATATAAAAAATGATGCTGGCATTATTGGCTCGTTGATAGTGCGTACCGTCGACTGATTGCTCTTTATTTTATATGTATAGTGAGTGAGTGAGTGAGAGAGTATGGTTTTACGCCGAATTTAGCAATATTCCAGCAATATCGGGACGGGGGACCCCAGAAACATGCTTCACACATTGTACCCATGTTGGGAATAGAATCCGGGCCTTAGGCGTGACGAGCGAACGCGTTAACCACAAGGCCACCCCGGCGCCACTCTTAATTGAATAACGTCAACCAACAATCAGTGCTTCTTGTAATTTTCTAATATTATCTGTTGTAATAGAAGAGCGAAAGGTGCAATGCGTCTCTTTATAAGTACATCTGAGAAGTTCAGTGTATTACAATATGTACATGTACCTACTAGCTTCTTGGCACACAAAGACGTCAAACTCGGCGATGTATGGGGCAGATGTATGACGTAGACACTCTTTGAACTTATTCAATGGATGTTTCTTTGAAGACTCATTATACTTGTAGCAAGACAACATGTCTTAGATTGCAACACATAGCACTGTAATTGTCGCCGTGTTCATGCAAGTCCGGCCCTGGCTTTGATGCGTTGCAGCGTCATTATGGAAACGTCAAGTTTTCAAGTTTTGCAATTGACGGAAGGCTTTCGCAAAGAGTGTTTGAACAAACGCGCCCGTGTCGTAGTGCAGGTGAATCAGCATTGTTGTATTGTCGGATAAGCCATTAATGTACACATATGTTACAAATACAAGTCCTTTGTGTACGCTCTTAGGTCACATAAACAATCTACCTCAGGATGTAGAAGCCACCCGAAACAAGAGACGTTATTTTACCATGCATCAGCACCATAATTACAAACTGTTATTTTCGATTAAGTTGTTTGAAGTTATCTGCTAATCAATATCGTGAATAAGAAGGATAAATACGTTTATTGAATAATAAACACCGAGCGTCATCAACGTTTGGCTCTGGTGTTAGGTGAGTATCCACCCAATCATATGGAATACTACAAGGGACATTGTCGCGTTGTCGCCCTTCCAAAAACAAGCAAAAAGTGTCAAAATTAGCCAAAGCGCGACAATGCGACAACGCGACATTTTGGCCATTTGTCGCGCTTTGAGTAATCTTTTTTATTTTACCAAAGCGCGACAATGCGACAACGCGACATTTTTCAAGGTCAAAATATGTCGCGTTGTCGCATTGTCGACCCATTAAAAATGTGTAAAAAAGGCGTTAAATGCCCGATATATACCCTATATGTAATACTTCTTTACGGAGGTGTATTAAGCTTGGATAAGGGTTATACATATGCCCAGCAATAGATATACTCGTAAGGCATATGATATACTTTATGTCTTGAAATGCGTCACCGTCATACATGGGCTACTTCTGTCAAGGTTGTGTTGTACAGTTTCCGTTTAATTTTGTTTGAATCTTCCAGGAAGTGGACAGTGTTCTGATGGATTTTAAACAGAATGAATGAGTGAGTGAGTGAGTTGGAATTAACTCCGCTTTTAACATTATTCCAGTTATATCACTGCGTGTCAGCTTAATGTGGGAGGAAAACCCAGAGTGATGCAGGTCTTAGACGTTTACCACTTTGGTGAAAGCCACGAGCACGGGTATGGTGCTGACAAACCTAGAAACATAATCGGGGCGAACCGGGATTCGAACCCACAATCACAGCGTTCTAGCGTGTCCAAGGGACGCAACTCTGCACAGCGAAATGCGGCTCCTTAGACGACTGGGCCACCTGTGCCCCCGTAAAACAAAGTGTTAGAAATATGTTAACTAAGTAGTCTACAATCTAGTAGTAGCTATGATTTATACTCGGCATTTAAGTTTAAGTAAGAACCGGAGTTGCATAGTATAGATCCTTCATTTGCGTTATATCGTCGCGTGTTGACAAATTTCCCCACAGGTGTGTCCAAATTAACTGTGGAACAAGGAATACATGCCGGTGTAAATAATATCCAGCGCTTATAGAGGATGCGTTTCATTTCTAACGTAATAAAGTATATCGCACAACGTTCTTTACAGTCCTTTGTAAAATTCCGCAGACGATTTTGCACCGTCTGGGCATGTACTCTTACACCAGTTGACTGTTGCAACCAGTCCCCTATCTGATGGCAGTTTGAAACCGTTTTCTTAATGCCATCGTTCTGACTGATCTGTCCTGGGCTGGAGTTGTTGCCCTTGGGCGTCCAGAGTGGGGTGACCCGTGAAGATCCGGGTTAGAATAGGTCTTCAGCAACCCATGTTTGCCGTAAAAGGCGACTATGCTTGTCGTAAGAGGCGACTAACGGGATCGAGTGGTCAGGCTTGCTGACTTGGTTGATGCATGTCATCTGTCCCAATTGCGTGGATTGATGCTCATGATGTCAATCACTGGATTGTCTGGTCCAGACTCGATTATTTACAGACCGCTATCATAAAGGTTCAACATTGCTCAGTGCTGCGTTAAATCTCAAACCAACCATAACCAGAGTGGGGTCGATCATCATCGTCATGTGTTTGTTGGTATCTGGCCCACAATCTGCGTGTGCCCACCTGCAACATGTCACGTAAAGGTTCAGCACGTTGTAAACGTCACACGATCGATGCTGTGGCTTCGTTAATGATGAAATGAGTTGAATCAAGTGTCTTAAGCATTTGGTTCCAAGAAAACAATATGCGTGAGCTCACAACCGAGTGAGTATGGTTTTCACATCGCTTTTAGCATATTCTAGCAATATCAAGACGGGGGACAACAAAAATGGGCTTTAAAATCGGGTCTTTGACGTGACAAGCAATAACCACTAGGCTACCCAACCGCCCCCACAACCGAGTGACATTGGTCACTTGCACATGCTGTTTGAGGTCATGTGCTTCATCACTGTCGCAACCTTGTGTTTGGGGGCTTTATTTCTTCAGAAATGTTGTTGACACATAAATCACTTTCATTGAGATTGGTGTATCTTCCTGTAGTTTTACCTCAAAACAAAATATCCGCTACATTTTTTGCATAGTATATTATGGTCTGTCCGTTGCGAGTTCAACTACATGCTTTTGGAGCTGTGACTGATGGCAGGGATAGTACAGAGAGCTCCACCAAACGACCGTTGGTGGGAGGAGCTTCGGATCTGAGCAACTAAGGGATGCAACTCTGCACATTGTTTCCTCCTATTAATCTGTTGGGCCACCTGGACCTGCCCTCCATATGACACTTCAGAGGAACAACATAATAATATCATGGTGACTTCTAGCTATCACCTGGGGTGGTCGGGTAGCCTAGTGGTTAAAGCGTTCGCTCGTCACGCCGAAGACCCGGGTTCGATTCCTGACATGGGTACAATGTGTGAAGCCCATTTCTGGTGTCCCCTGCCAAAATATTGCTGGAATATTGCTAAAAGCGGCGTAAAACCATACTCACTCACTGACTCTAGCTATCACCACCCTTTCAAATCACACAGGAGCCTTACAGACTCAAAACAAACCTCTTTTTCCGCATTCAAACACAAAACAACAATATCAACATTTAAGTTTTTATTGTATAGTATATATAATAATGGCAATATCACAGTGCAGATTCACTCACGACAGACCACGGACATCCTAGCATCCGTATGTACATGCATGAGCTATGTCGGACAGCCACCGTCGTCCGCTACAAGGACTAGTCTACCAGACACTGGTACAAGAGCCCAGCACTGTCAGCAGTACAATACATCACAACAGCTGGCTGATATCACATAGAATGGAATGGTAGATGCCAACATAAATACTTTGTACTTGGATCAGGACAAAATCAACACTGAATTCCAATCCCTTCCACAACTAGTGGCAAAGAAGGCATCAGATCCAGCTTGAGAGCACATCTTAGTTTAATATTCCTTGTCTGACATTAATTCATTACACATTAAGAGCACACTTCCAAAAGGAAAGTCTAAGAAATGACAAGATTAAAGCATGATTGTGTAGAAGTTAAAACCAAAAGTGACTGAGGACATCAACAAACTAACAAATCACAGATGAAGCAGCATTTAATTCATTGTCCTCAGATGATCTAAAATGGTTGTCAGCTGTCCTAAAGTAGAGACACCAACCTTCAATCAAGTCTCTCCTTGTAAGGTAAAACTGAAAACTTTCTGGATTCTCTGTTATATCACATACTTCCTTCTCACACCAATGAGTTCTCCCAACTTGCCACTTCTGAGTCAAAACCTCAACGCATAGCCACCCCACAAAGAACAGTATCTCACAAAAGAGACACTGTGTCACATGGCTGCTCTCATGACATGGATATGTTCAAACTTTGCTGAAGTACCATCTTTCAAGGTTATTGCAATGAAGCAGTGAACTGAGGTACCACACCATCTTTCAAGGTTATTGCAATGAAGCAGTGAACTGAAGTACCACACCATCTTTCAAGGTTATTGCAATGAAGCAGTGAACTGAGGTACCATCTTTCAAGGTTTTTGCAATGAAGCAGTGAACTGAGGTACCATCTTTCAAGGTTTTTGCAATGAAGCAGTGAACTGAGGTACCATCTTTCAAGGCTTTTGCAATGAAGTAGTGAACTGAGGTACCATCTTTCAAGGCTTTTGCAATGAAGTGGTGAACTGAAGTACCACACCATCTTTCAAGGTTTTTGCAATGAAGCAGTGAACTGAGGTACCATCTTTCAAGGTTTTTGCAATGAAGCAGTGACCTGAGGTACCATCTTTCAAGGTTTTTGCAATGAAGCAGTGAACTGAGGTACCATCTTTCAAGGCTTTTGCAATGAAGTAGTGAACTGAGGTACCATCTTTCAAGGTTTTTGCAATGAAGTGGTGAACTGAGGTGCCATCTTTCAAGGTTTTTGCTACAAAGTGGTGAAATGAGGTACCATCTTTCAAGGCTTTTGCTTTGAAGTGGGGAATTGAGGTACCATCTTTCAAGGTTTTTCTTTAGAAGTGGTGAGTTGAGATTACTGTTATCAGAGTAAAGTGTAGTAACATGGACTACTCCCAGTTGAACACTGTACCATTTATTCCCATGGTCAACTGATTACAAGTAATAGTAACACAGTAACATTTCCCAATTACTGACTGGCAGTGAATCAAGTTCTTCTCCTCCAGTGTAGCATACCTGGCACCAGTCCTGCTTCCCTAAACCAGCAGCAACACTGCAGCAGCCCTCTCTCCTGCTTCAGCCCTTACTGAACACTTCAGCCCTTACTGAACACTTCAGCAAGAGCTGGTGAAAGAGGACTGCATGGCCCGCTGCTGGGCACTACAATACTGAAGGGTCCTCCAATATAAATAACACAGATGAATATACAGCAGAGTCTCTATACACAACTAGCATACAACATTCTAGTAGAACATCATTCAAGTCCCATATGAACACATACATCTTGCTACCCTAGCACACATCCAGGTTTAGCTGGCATAAGGAACTGGGTTTATTAGTGTTTCTGTTTTTCAACATTTTACTTGATGTAAATTTAAAATAGAAAGTATTTTCATTCCTGCCAACAATGAAAATATTTCCGAGAAAGAAAAGACAACAGTATCAAGGTTAAATCCATTTGAAACAATGGAGTGTCTTCTTCATAAATGTTGTTTATTCTGAAAATAGTTAGGGAATGATGGCTTTCCTAGTTTGATTCCTCTTCATAACTGTCAGACTTTCTGGAGGACTCTGAGGTTATTCCCCCTCAACAAGCCAATACAGAAATGTTGCCCCATTTGAATGAATTCAGTTTTCCTTCTAATAGTAATGCGAGTCATCTAAAGCAGTAGATGTACTCATTCAAAAGGAAGAACACTTTGTCTATGTGCATGGATGGTATACAAGCCTGGAGAACATCCCAGGACCAACTGATACGTGTCTGTGGGCATAGCACTGGATAAAAACAAGATACCTAACTTCTAGAAAATAGTCGAAACTTCGAAAGATGACACAAGATGCATTTGTTCATATGAGACACATGGTCATAACCATACTACAGTCACCAATATGAAAATAAATAAATATACACATTTCTACACTTAGCTAGAGAGGTTTCTACTGACATAAATAATGGCTTTGGTATGGTGCACAATAACGCGTGTCATACAACCAATACAAGCCATACATAGCCATAGGAAGTCTCTAAGGCCAAAAAAATCAAACAGAAAATGGCCCAAATCTTTCCCCTCAAATTTTCAGTCCTTGATTATGGCTGTGCATAGAATGAGGATTCATCTTGAACATCCTTCAAGAATAATAATAATACTTAGAAATGTGTTCTATACAATGCTATATACATCGGGCTGTATGAAAATAATACATTTATATGATGATATGCTCCTGTATTACATTATATAAGCATGTAACCATGACAACTTGGCATGGGTTACCATAGTTACACAGGTCAGCATGAAGTCTTGGAAAACAACACTGGTCCACTGTTTCTGCTTGGACGGGCCAGCTGATGGACGGATGGATGGACGGACAGACATGACCAGATGGGTGATGGCTCATCGAGGTTTTGGTGAGCGGGCGAGACTGTGTTTTTCCACCTGGCAGGTGAGGTCACGGACTTTGTCTGACCAGTACTCGCTGCTCTCCTGGAGCTGGATGGACAACTGGAGTGAAAACAGGTCAGTCAGTGTAACAGAGGTCAATATGTATGAAAGGGATCTGTCAGTACAACCAGATCAATCAGTACAACAGAGGTCAGTCAGTGTAAGAGAGGTCAGTATGTATGAAAGGGATCTGTCAGTACAACCAGATCAATCAGTACAACAGAGGTCAGTCAGTGTAACAGAGGTCAGTATGTATGAAAGGGATCTGTCAGTACAACCAGATCAATGAGTACAACAGAGGTCAGTCAGTGTAACAGAGGTCAGTATGTATGCAAGAGGTCTGTCAGTAAACAGATCAATCAGTACAGCAGAGGTCAGTCAGTACAGCAGAGGTCAGTCAGTACAGCAGAGGTCAGTCAGGACAGCAGAGATCAATCAGTACAACAGAGGTCAGTCAGTACAGCAGAGGTCAGTATGCTTGCAAGAGCTCTGTCAGTAAACAGATCAATCAGTACAACAGAAGTCAATCAGTACAGCAGAAGTCAATCATTACAAGAGGTCAGTCTGTACAACAGAGGTCAGTCAGTACAACACAGTGAGTACATATAACAGATGTCAATCAGTACAACACATGTTAATCAGTACAATAGAGGTCAGTATATATGAAAGTCAGTGAAAAAGAGGTCAATCAATATGTAAGAGGTCAGTCAGTACAACAGAGGTCAGCCAATACAATGGAGGTTAGTCAGTACAACAGAGGTCATCCTGACACTCCCTTCACACAGGCAACATAATAGGATGTGCTTAATCCCACCTTCAACACTCTCAACCCTCACATGAACTGCAGGTCAGTCAGATTTAGTATTTTATATATGATCATTTAGAAAATTTGAAAATGAACAACCCATATACTGATGGAACAAATAAGGGAACATAAAGATGTAACAAAGGAAGATAGCTACTACTACTCCACACACTCGCCCACTCGGTCCTGCAGCTGGTGCGCCACGATACAAGTAGTGAGTCACACAGTCCCCTCTATCTGGCAAACATGATACTTTTACTGCAAGTTTATTCAACTATTAAAAGAGAGTGTTTTCCCAGGTAACTAGCACTGATATTTTATTGTATCATTTCGAGTTTCAATCCCAAAACAGTAAAGTAAATAATGAACAAAGTCTAAATTAATTCCACTTTTCATATGTCAGTCTGCCAGAATTCTACATACGATTCTAAGCTATATTCCAGGCTTCTAGGGCTGGTGATTTAGATCGATAATCGTAATTATCATCGATGGAAGAAGGTTGTGACGATTATCGATATGAATACAATGCTATCGATAATGACATGTATTTTTTCGACAAATAAAAGTTTTTACTGCAACACATTTGACTTATTTGTTTTGCTGTCCTTGTAATTATCGCTAGATATAAACAGATTCACCCTAACATACAGTTTTCTCCCCTTCGCTTTATGTTTAGTCGCAAATAATAATCAAATGTTTCAAAAAGTAAAAAGTTCTGCTTTGAATCGAACGACGACGCCATTACGTGTTGTTAGTGGGTAATTACAAATGTAGTCACTGGCATCTAAATGCGGAGTCAGGATTTTAGAAAATATGTATATTTTCGAAATAGTATGAAGTATCATGATTAAAATAGGTTTCATAGTACTTTAATTCTTAAAAAGAATTCTTCCCATTCTATTTCATAAAATTTCAAATTTTATGTCTATTTGGTAACTACGTATTCCAGTCTGTTTCGATTTTTTCAATGATCATAGTTTTCGTTTTTCCCGGTATTCTCAACTCACAGCCCACGTGAGGTCCACGTGGGGTTTGACATTTTTACGATATGGCAGCAAAAGTTCCTAATTTCCCGGTTATAATCGCACGATGTTTGTTTAATATCAGTCTGCCACCCAATCTATTACGTATCACACCTGTGAACCTAGTACAACCTACTACGTAGCACACACCTGACATTCACAATGGCGGAATATTTGATGATTTTTTATCTGAATAGTTTCGTGAATACTGTACATAAATGACAAACGACTATATCAGGTGAAATAACATTTAATTTCGCAATTACCGTATTTTCTTGAGTACAGTGCGCACCCATGTATAATGCGCACCACCCTCTAGCGGGTTCAATATTTTGGAAAAAAAGAAATTTGAAAATTATGCGCAGAAAAAAATTACACCGTACCCTTTCAGCGAAGTCCGGCACACGAACGGGTGATGAGAAACTTCGTCAGTGTACGTCCTTTCGAAATTTGAGATAAAAAATCACCAGACATGTTTATTTACCGTTTAAATAGTATTTATTGTTCTGATAGGCATTGTTTTATATCCAGGGATAAGATTACCTTGTGTATTTTCTCGTAAACTAAGCCGGAAACAGCAATCAGCTGTACACACGTTTTCTTGGAATCGACCGGTGATTCGGTCAAGACACACCCAATGATATAACTTAATAGGATTTTTAATGCAAGGATCGGCAAAAATTGTATATGAAACTATTTTTTTTATCAAGAATAATATATTCCATTATTTTCTTAATTATATGCAGCCTTTACTAAACATATTTAAAATAGATAATAACCCTAAGCGAAGCAGCTGATCGCTATTCCCGGGTATTATTTTTTACATGGACCCAGTCTGACCAGTCACCGTCAAGGCTCACGCGCACGTGATCGCGAGAATTTCATGTTGACATAGAATCGTCAAACAAAAACAAATATGACTTTTAACGAGTCAAAGTATGTCATTTATGATATATGTATCCATTCTCTGTCAACTAAAGTTCGTTACAAGACGTCAATAGCGGTATTCTGACCGTGGTTGCTGTTAATAACGGTGAGTTGTGCGATCTTCCGATCGCTTCACACACGATTTCGCCGAAATTAATAAAAACAATATTAAAAGGAATACTCAAGAAAATACGGTATTCTCACTTTATACAAATAATAATTGTCTTTGACGACATGAATCTTAAACTCAGATTGTTCATCGCTAAAAATGCGATGTAACGTGCGTATTGTTGAAACACTGAGTCTCCGGAGAAGTGAATTGCCATTTTTCTGTAATGTCATTTTACCAAAATAGAATTCTTTGATATTTATCGATTATTGATCGATATGTGACTACCGATAATCGATCTGAGTAATCCATATCGATAACCAGCCCTACAGGCTTCTGTTTGAAATGGAGGTGAAATATATTGAAACGGAGAGGGTGAACTAGTATACACATTGGTTACACTCTGCAAGAAAGCATCAAGCCACAATATTCACCAGCTGATCATGCAAAGACCACCACAGGACAGACAAGCAGGGTGTGAAAACAGTTGAAGCATTTCCTGTGAGAGGGACAGCTCCAGGATCACAGAAGCCATGCCACTACCTACACACATCATACAACTTGATTTCAACCTGTTTTGAAACAAATTGTCTACACACTAACTTTATTCTCAATGTTAAAGTTTTAAAAGAAATGACAGGATTGTTATCTTGGTAGGTTGGTTAGTCATGGACAAAAAATTCATTGAAAGACTACAACTAGTCTGTTAGCCTGTGATTACTGAGGGACTAATTGTTTTGGCCCAAATCTAATTTTGTTTCATAAACTACTGGTCTGAAATAAGCAGTCAAACTGAAGGCCCATGAAGATCCGGGGTAGAATAAGTCTTCAGCAACCCATGCTTGTCGTAAGAGGCGACTAACGGGATCAGCCAAGTCAACAAGCCTCACCACACAATCAGCCAAGTCAACAAGCCTCACCACACAATCAGCCAAGTCAACAAGCCTCACCACACAATCAGCCAAGTCAACAAGCCTCACCACACAATCAGCCAAGTCAACAATTAAAAATTAAGCCTCACCACACAATCGGCCAAGTCACTAAGACTGACCACCAAACATCTAGTCGGCAAGCATCAGTGACCAGAGACCTATTCAGAGCTGGACAAGGTCAAGCACACAGCAATACGCCTGGGCAAAATCTGTTACATGGTTAGACTATACGGCAAGATAGAAGTTACACCTTCTAAAACAGATGACAACCTTCCTTCATTCTGGAGAGTACAGCACCAGTGTACTACAGGAGTGGGAGCTTCTATGTAAGTCAAGTCGGCCTTAATAATCAAACATACTGGATGAGCTACATTCAACCAAGAGTGAGTGAGTGACTTAGGTTTAATGCCGCTTTGAACAGTATTCCAGTTGTATCACAGCATGTCAGCCAAATTTCGGAGGAAAGCCCCAAGTGATGCAGGTCTCAGATGTTTACCACTTCGGTGAAACCCACGAGCACAGGTATGGTGCTGACAAACCTAGAAACATAATCGGGGATGATGATGGGACAAGAGGGAGAAGGTGCTACAGTCCCATAAACAGAAGACTTTAGGCATGCAGTAAAATCTATGAGATAGCCTTTTTTGCCTTCTTCTTGTATAGAACAATGCAGACATTTTATTGTAGTTTTTACTTCAGGAGCATGAACTCTTCCATAAACAGTTATATATGATATCAGTCTGTGACTTAGCCACTAGGCTGTAGCATGGGCCCAGCGTAATTTATTATGGTCTGGTAAGATCTACCAATTATTGTCCAAATGTTCCGATTACAGTCTACTGACATATTCAGATTCCACTCCACCAAATCGGAATGAGTTGTTTGGCCAGCTGCCTTCGTAGAAAGTGAGAAACCTGGCAGCTGTGATTGGATGATGTTGTTTAAGATTTATGTTTTTCAAATATACATCCATCCAGTAATTAAAACCGACCATGTTTTTCTATACTTAGTCTTGTTTTCTTTAACGTCATTACTTATACTGAATGTGTCCACAGATATTTTCAGGTAAGTGGCATTTGGTCCTTGGGTTGGTGTGTTTAACTTCGAACTGGCTCAGCAATATTTGAGATTTTATTCAGCTTTAAGGCCAGGCAATGCAAACATGTACATGGATTGGCTGTTGAATGCCTAACCATATTTTTATTACGTAACGTTACTACAGAAGTCTATGGTGGTGTGTAACCTCCAGGTGAGTTAAAGGCACAGACAGGGAAAAGTGGACATTTGTGCGAGTAGCACATAATATGAGTAATAGCTGTTAGTGAAGTACAGGCGATGTCCGACAGAGGAATGGCATTTTAGTTGACAGCATTCACACCATGCCACCCCACAACACAACAACACAACACAACAACACAACACAACAGACAACACAACAGACAGACAGACAGACATTGCACTAACCTAGACATTATTTCCCTGATGGGCTATGTTTCTGTGCAGAAAACAAATCAAACAACATGTTAATATCTAGTTGAAAAAAACATGTTAAGTGACAATGTTATTCTTATAACAAAAATTGTACTTATTTCTCCAGAAAATACCAGTGTACAATTCAAACTGAACAACTAACAACATGACCATAGAAATATAGCCATATTTTACAGGAACATAAATAATTTTTCAAAATAGAATTATATAATTTAGAAGCATTGGTTACATTACACACCTTTAAGCATACATCTAACATCTGCACTGAGGGAAACAAGAAGCAAGCTAGTTATCACACAGGAGTACTTGGGAGGCCATTAATACAATATGACAGCTTGCAGGCTCAACAAACACGTATACAATGATAATAATTATATACAGATTAATAATATTTATAATAAATACTTCTACTTCTAAATTTCCAAACTCCAAATTACAAACTAGCAACTTCTCATGAAGCCATCTAGCAATTGATCTGATGGCGATCTATTATAGATGTTAATGTGACAAGGTGCTAGGTGTGAACTAGGGAGTTGGACCTACCTCGCCCACTCTCTGTATCCAATAGGCCTTGTCTAAACTGTGGGGGTCGGCCCCCATCTCGTCCGCTGCACGACTCAGCGCTGCCTGGGTCTGCAAAGGTTAAAATGTGCTTAATAGGACAGGGACAAGTCCATCCCCCTATCACCCAACCCTACCCGGGTACTCACGGTAGGTCCCCAAGAGATAGGTACAAAATGTCCGATTGGGTATTTTTTTACCATAGCCCTGGCAAAATGTATTAAGATACATGTCTCAAACAATCTGGTCATGCATGCACTGAAGTGTCTTTATTCAACCATATGAAAAGTCAGAAGAAATGTGTGCATGATCATCAGAAATGCGAACATTAGTGACTTGTAGTGTAACCATTAGAATTCCCGATAATTTTTGCCATCAAACAATATATCACGTGACTAACCAGGGATCCGGGTCGTCCTGTGGGTACCCGGGTCCTACTCAGTACCCACCCGACCTGGGTACCCGAGTTACCCGTCCCACCCATAGTGCTTAGTCAGTAATATTACAGTCATACCACAGCAGCTTGAAATTTTTCTAGTCTCGATCAAATATGGAATGGTTGATGGCGGCAGTGGATATCTACACTATTAAGTTACCATAACAACCAGACAGGACACATATAGATACCATTCACATGTGATACCATATCTCAGCAGCATGAAAGTAATCAAGTCTTGATTAAATATGGCAGTATTTGGTTCAGGCTAACATAGAACCGACATTATGTCTTATTTGGTACAATCTCATTAAAATCAGAGCTTAGTTATCGCTACCGCTAAACAAACATCTGAGGACATCCCATTACGGGTCACGTCAGATCGACCTTGCGCTAACTTTGACCGACCAATAGAATGACCAATCAGAAGGCAGCTTTCTCGTGCTTTACGGCACTAATTTCAAATTGGCGACTTACAAATTTGAAACCTGAACCAAAGAACATTCTGGAATGGCTAGTAGATGGTCTAGATTGTATGGATTCAGTCGCTAAACCTGTAACTATCGGTGTAAAACCAAACTCACTCACTTTTTGGTACAACTGTATGTGAAGCAATGACAGAGTGAGACAATAAATTTCTGCATCATGATTTGCTTCAAATGGTACCATTGTCATGCAAGCCAAAATAATACCCTTATTCCTAGCAAACGTTTTTAATGGTTCCACAGTCATGCAAGCCATTTTACAGAAAGGTACCCTTATTCCAGCATATACCCCTCATATATGAAGTATTAATGAAAAAAACACACAATGAGTTTCAAGTGACAAGTGACAAGATCTGGTTGAAGGTTAATCAGAGATCAGAGAGTTGGACAGCGTTCACATAGGTTAGGATGTTCCCTTTAGCAGTCTAGTGTTACCATATCAACCACTCCCTCTCTACCTGTCTGTCCTCCCAGTCCCGTTCTGCTGGGGACACATGGATTCCGTCTGTGAGTCTCTCCTGAAATACATAGCTGTTACATTTACCCCGGCCCCTCTATTTACTCACACTGAGCTGACATAGGCTTGATGTACACCCGACATTGGCCAGAAATAGGCCTGAAAAAGGTCCAACATAAGCCCCACATAGGCCAAAAATTGGCCTGACACAGACCCATCACAGGACGGACATAGGCCTGACATAGGCCCAACATAAGCCTGACATTGGCCCAACATAAGTCTGACATAGGCTCAACATAAGCCTGACATTGGCCCAACATAGGTCCTCATAAGCCTGTCATAGATCCATCATAAGCCTGTCATAGATCCATCATAAGCCTGTCATAGGCCCATCATAAGCCTGTCATAGGCCCATCATAAGCCTGTCATAGATCCATCATAAGCCTGTCATAGATCCATCATAAGCCTGTCATAGGCCCTCATAAGCCTGTCATAGGCCCATCATAAGCCTGACATATGCTCAACATAAGCCTGACATAGGCCCTCATAAGCCTGTCATAGATCCATCATAAGCCTGACATAGGCTCAACATAAGCCTGATATAGACCCAACATTAACCTGACATAGGCCCCAAAATAATATGACCTAGGTCCAACATTTGAGATTGTTTGGCTACTACTTGAGTTCTGTGATAGTCTGATAATCCATACTCAAAAAGGTTTGGCTGTCAGTTCATCATGGTCACACTTATCACAAAACCTGTTAGGAAGACGCAGTAGGAACATACATCATGACATAAGCATGACTCCCTGAAATCCTACCCCAACAATTAAAGGTACTTCTTCCCATGTAGCAGTATTCAAGGACTAGCAACAGTCCCTGTAAGGTACTCACCGCCTTCTCGATGTCGCTGCCGCGGTACAGCAGGCCTTTCTCTCCGATCATCCGCTGATGCATCTTGGTGTCGTTGTGTGACTTGATGCTGCTCAGCATCTGCTCCTTGCTCTCCACCTGCAACTCCAGGGTCTGCCTCGTCGCCACCTCGCGGTCCAGCTCACCACGCAGTCGCACATTCTCCTTCTGGACCGCACTCAACTGTAGGCAAGGAGGATGCGTTTTCAACAGTTAGTCTGTTTGTTGTTTAACGCTGCTCTTAACAGTATTCTAGCTCTCTCACAGCATCCTGTAAATTATCAAGTCTTGACCAGACAATCCAGTAATCGTTATTGTGAATAAAAATCATGCGGTCGGGATAAGATGACATGCAATCAACCAAGTCACAGAGTCTGCCGCCTCTTATGACCAGCATAGGTTGCTGGCAACCAATTCCAACCCAGTACCCCCACAGGGTGCTGTGAACAGTATTTCAGTCATACACAGCTACCCAGAGTTCCATGCGGGCGGCAGCCAGCTAGCATAGTACCTCTGCCACAGGCCAGCGCTATGTGACGATTCGTCACATCTTTCACAGTCCATTCAAGTTATTGCATATGCTTTTCATCCGTTTCATGTTTGACAAGTCTACACATTTTCATAAACAAATGTCAAAGAATGGTTACGGTTCATTAAGAAAGTATCCTAATACGGGAACATCTACTTGTTTTTGCGTAGTTATCCTTTGTTTACATTGGTTGTACGGCTCCACATGCTGTCATCGAAGCCCAACGGAGAGCTAGCAATACGGTCACTTTGATGTATAAATATATATTGTCATGCAACTCACTGTCGCAGTTGTAGTAGCATATCTATATAATTATGCAAAACAATATGTAAAGCGCCCCCAACTACTTGCATTAGTCTGATTTATACTGATTTCTGAAAAAGCGTGTTTGTTTACAAACAAGAGAAAAGTCCGGTCACGTGATATACAAATTAGCCTGTGGCAGTGGTGTTATGCTGAGTCACCACTGCGCCGGAGTGTGGTCTGCTTCATGTGGGAGGAAAGCCCAAAGTGATGCAGGTCTCAGACAATGACTACTTTGGTGAAACCCACGAGCATGGGTATGGTGCTGACAAACCTCACCACCTAATCAGGGAAAACCTGGGATCGGAACCCCCAATCACAGATTTCTGGCATGCCTAAGGGACGCTGCACTTTAGGCAACTTCACCATGCCCCCTGTAAGCAGGAACACATATAAAACATGAGTACAATAGACCTGTCAATTCTTTACAAGACAGGTAACCATGTCCTGTTTCTTGTGCCACCTACCTGCTGACTGAGTTGTTGAATATTTTCTATGTTTGATTTTAATCTTGCATGGAGATCTTCTATTGTGTATACTTTAGATTTGAGTTCATGATCTTGTTCAATTCTGAAAGAAAAGATACAAAGTCACAACTCTGTTCAATCCACAGCATCATGTGATGTGGTTCAGAGATGGCACCGTAAGGCTGTTAAGTTTTTCGTTTACTATAAATTGGTTTATTTAATGGCTTCTTTGTGTTGCAACCACTTACATTTGGGTAAAAAGGAAAACGATGGGTAAGGTGCCAAATTGGGCATACTTTGGTATTAATGGCTTGACAAACGGAACTGAAATCTTGAGAAATGTTTGGTACTGAAAGCTGGACAAATGGTTAGTAATGATGGTTTCACAAATCTTTGGTAATTACATTTTAACAAACGTTTGATACTATGGCTTGAGAAACATTTGGTCCCAGCATCTTGACAAATGTTAGATGGTTTGGCAAATGGTTAATAATGTCGGCTTCATGAACGTTAATCCTTTTGGGCTGATGAATGCTTGGTACTGTCAATTTGAGAACTATTTCCTACTGGCTGGAAGAATGACAACAGCTTGGTACTGCTACTTGACAACTGGTTGTACTCACTCGTGTTCCTCGAGGCGTGACTTGAGCTGGTTGAGGAGCACCTGCTGGTGGGTGGAGTGACTCTGGAGAGCCTGCAGCACACAAAGGTCAGGGTCACATTAGCCGTCAGGTCAGGTCAGGTCAGGTCGGGACACTAGTCCAAACTTGCTACCCAGGTACTTGACCTGGTATTACACTACCCTACACAGGTATCCATTGTAGGTCTCAAATGTTGGTACGAAATGTACAATTAGGACCAAGCAAAAGCTATTTAGATACCTGTATAAATGAGCTGATCATATATACACATATAAAAAAACCAACAAAAATATACTGATGGAAATGAATGAGGGAACACTCAGTTTCAGACACAGTAAAATGATATGTTGTCACGTTTGCAGTTGGAAACAATGCACACAAACACATCTCAACTTTTGATTCTGATGTGCTGAATTTGTATGGACGCTATTTTTAAATGTACTGACAGTAGAGCTATCTCTATATTTCTCATTGTTCCCTTATTCGTTTCCATCAGTATACATTCAGATCTTCCTGCCTGAGTGACACAGGGTGTGGACAAACTTGTGGACAAGAACAGTCAGGCATATCCCTCTTGATACTCAACAATGATAAATAGTAGTAAATAACCTACATTATACTTCTGATACAGTATGATTCCAAATTCAGTTTTACACAGTTTCAATCTACATGTAACCTTGCTCTACATTGAAACACAGTGTGTTTAACATCTAATCGTACTTCTGCTCTGTGATCACATGACTGACCTTGAACTTGTCTCCCTCTGCTCGCCTCTCCTCCAGTTCTATCCGGATCTTGTTGTTTTGCTTCTGATACTTCTGTACCTGCTCCAGCAGCTGCCTGTAACACAGGGGGCGCCACATGACACAGAGGGCACCACATGACACAGAGGGCGCCACATGACAGAGAGGGCGCCATATGACACAGAGGGCGCCATATGATACCACATGACACAGAGGGTGCCATATGACACCACATGACACAGAGGGTGCCATATGACACCACATGACACAGAGGGCGCCATATGACACAGAGGGCACAGGGGTCGAGTTAACTGCTGTCCAGTAGGACCGTGGCCAGTTAAAATGACAAAGGGCTTGCTGACACGTAAGGTAGATGGCCTGAGTGGCTAGTCAAAATTCCACCCCTTTTCCCCTTTTCATTACCTATACTACTCAACCAGTCAAAGTCAAGCAACCACGACTCCTTAAACACACGTGATTGAACATTCTCGACTTTTGGTTTCTTTTCCGGGGTGACAGGTTTATCAGTTTTGTTTGATGTTTCAGTCACGTTAACTTGAAAATACAATGCAATTGTTCGTTTTTCTTTTGAATTACCTTTTAAACTCACACGAGTCGCCATGTTTGGGCGTCTGCTAATGCAAGGGAATGTGGGAAACCTTTTATCCATACTCTGGGAACTACATTGCGTGGCTGGATAATTTGAGATGAACTACAGTTACTTCCCTTAGAAAGAATGATCAGTAAACAGCACTAAGACTTTTGTCGACAGTTTTGCCAACTAACTGCATTTCGAAAAGATTTAAAAGAATAATTACTTGGTAATATAACCAATTGTACCTTAAATTCATGATTTTTCCGCACTCGCCAAGACATAAGTGTTTTAAAACATTTCGTTGCATTTCTCAAACTTCACTCGCAAATGCGACCGAATCACTCGCAACTTCGAGCCCTGTCTACTGACACTAATGAAGTGATGAGGGTATGATTTGAGGTGATGGAGGTACTTACTCCTTCTCGGCTGTCAGGTTCATGATGGCTTTACTCTGCTCCCTGCAAACACATCACATCATGAGCCACCATCCCACACAGTTCATTGCTTTGTTGTCTAACGCAGCACTCAGTAACCTTCCATTTATATGCCAATGTCAATCGAGTGTGGTCCAGACAAAGCATTTAATGATATTGTGAGCAACGATACAAATGCAATCAGCAAAGTCACCGAGCCTGACCAAACTGATCCATTCGGTCGCCTTTTACAACAAGCATAGGTTGCTGGGGACTAATTCTAACCCTGAATCCCCATGGGTGAGTGAGTGAGCGAGTATGGCTTTAGGCCGCTTTTAGCAATATTCCAGCAATATCACGGCGGGGGACACCAGAAATGGGCTTCACACATTGTACCCATGTCAGGAATCGAACCCGGGTCTTCGGCGTGACGAGCGAACGCTTTAACCACAAGGCCACCCGACACATTGAATCCCCATGGGTACACTGACATAATGACAGCTAGCCTGGTACACATGTACTTACACTGAGTTTATATAAATATAATGCATTCCTACAACTATTACTCTGTATACTTTCAAAAAACATCTTACAGAAAAAATAGATGTGTACAGGAAAATATTCTCACCAATGGTTTGTTATTACGATTAAGATAAAGTAGTCCTTTTACAAGTTAGAAATAACACTGCTTTTATAAAAGGGCAATATTAAATCAGGTTGATTAAATGGTACAAGTAAAAGAAATGAAAGAATACAAAGAAAACAGAAGTTAAGAAAGCATATGCAGTAAATGTGCAGTATTTGTGCAGAGTATGTCTGCAACTGACGTGATGCCAAGGAACATCATCATCTCCTGAAGCTGAAGCTGCTGCTGTAACCTTATCTAAGTGTGGTGATAGTGTGGTGAGGCTGTGGTGTGGCGATGGTGTGGTGTGGCGATGGTGTGGTGTGGTGTGGTGTGGTGTGGTGATGGTGTGGCAACGGTGTGGTGATGGTGTAGCAATGGTGTTATGATGGTGTTATGATGGTGTGGTGAGGGTGTGACGATGATGTGATGATGGTGTGACATTGGTCTGATGTGTGATGATGGTATGACGAAAGTGTGATGCAATGTTAGTGATGATTATGAAATATTGGCGTGACGATGGTCAAATGATGGCGTGACAATGACTTGATGGTGGTGTAAATGTGAGACAAGAGTAGGTGCAGAGATGACATACACAACCATGTCATTTCCATATTTCTTTCCATCAATAAATCTTGGTTCTACTTGGTTCAGAAACCATTGTTAAATACTTCTAACAATGACATTCTGTGCTGCAGTGAAACTAGAACAACACAGAAACCCATCAACCCATGTCACTCAGCTAGATGGCACATGTCTATACATCAACCGGGTAGCACTAGCAGAATGACAGACATCGATACAGCCATGCAGGAGACAGTGAAGGAAATATGGTGACCAGGAGTGACAAGGAGGGTAGCGAGAATGACGAGGGTAGCGAGGGTGACAAGGGGGGGTAGCGAGAGTGACAAGGAGGGTAGCCAGAATTGACAACGAGGGTCGTGAGAGTGACAAGGAGGGTAGCAAGAGTGAAAAGGGGGGGGAGAAAACAAGAGTGACAAGGCTCGCTATCAAGGAGGGTAGCGAGGGTGACAAGGGGGTAGCCAGAGTGACAAGGAGGGTAGCAAGAATGACAAGGAGGGTCGTGAGAGTGACAAGGAGGGTAGCAAGAGTGAAAACGAGGGTAGCGAGAGTGACAAAGAGGTTAGCGAGAGTGCCAAGGAGGGTAGTGAGAGTCACAAGGCTCGCTACCAAAGAGGGTAGCGAGGGTGACAAGGGGGTAGCCGGAGTGACAAGGAGGGTAACGAGAGTGCCAAGGAGGGTAGCGAGAGTGATAGGAGGGTAGCGAGAGTGACAAGGAGGGTAGTGAGAATGACAAGGAGGGTAGCCAGAGTGACAAGGAGGGTAGCGACAATGACAAGGAGGGTAGCCAGAATGACAGGATGGTAGCGAGATTGACAAGGAGGGTAGCAAGGGTGACAAGGGGGTAGCCAGAGTGACAAGGAGGGTAGTGAGAATGACTAGGAGGGTAGCAAGAGTGATAGGAGGGTAGCGAGAGTGACAAGGAGGGTAGTGAGAATGACAAGGAGGGTAGCCAGAGTGACAAGGAGGGTAGCGACAATGACAAGGAGGGTAGCCAGAGTGACAGGATGGTAGCCAGAATGACGAGGGTAGCCAGAGTGACAAGGAGGGTAGCCAGAGTGACAAGGAGGGTAGCCAGAGTGACAAGGATGGTAGCGAGAGTTACCTAATCTTGTTGCCCAGTTTCTCATTGGCAGCTCTGCAACACAACACAGGTGAGTCAACACAGGAACAGACCTACACAGTAGGTGAACACAAGGCATGCCTAGTAGGAATGGGTGAGAAACTTCAACCAGCGGCCATTACATGGGTTCAGTTTACACAGAACTTTACTTTACTTTACTTAAGTAGGATTAGCGGTGTTTGTTAATGTTGTCCTAAACCTCAGCAAGATTCCAGCTTTATCATAGTCACTGACAAGTAATCCAAGTGTGGCCCTTGGCTGAGAGCTGATCTGTTTCACACTGTCAGTCAGTTCACACATTGAAACAAGCTGGCCATCTTTGTAGTCCAAACAGAGGTTCATGAGATATACCTCAGATCCTCTCTGGGAGCCATGTCTGTGTACTAGGGACCTATCATCTCGTAAGTGAGTCAGTATGGTTTTATGCCACACTTAGCAATATTCCCGCAATATCAAGGTGGGGGATACAAGACATAGCTTTACACATTGTACCCACGTGGGGAATCGAACCCGGGTCTTTGGCGTGACGAGCAAACGCTTTACCTACTAGGCTACCCCGTCGCCCAATCAGACCCACAATCCTCACAGGGAGAATTATAATAACATCTATCAATATAATCACAAAGTGATTAAGAATTTGGACTTTACAATTTTCGAGTAGGATAACAAGATTCTGTGCTCCAAGTAAGGCTGTTTGGCAGAGAATGTTAAAGTCAACAAAGCATATGGTTGAAGTTTCACACAAACACCCACTAAGAAATCAACATAAAACATTTCAAGCAAACACCACGTAAATAAATGTTTTCAGAACAAGAATCACAAACAGAAGTCTAACAAGGCAAATATAAAATATATACACAAATTACAACTGACCTCGCCATCAGTCAGGGACTGACAAACAAAATCAAACATGAAAATCAGCTTCAAACTGCAACAAACTCTCATTCTTCGTAAACAAGGGGATAAATCAAACCATTCCATGATGCCAACACATGCTAAATCCATCTCAACATCCGCTTTGCACACCAAACCCTGCCTTCACATAAAATATCAACTACAGACTACATATACCTAATAAGACCAAAAGGAAAGAAGACAGGCTTATACTTTGTTCCCTGTTAATTTAGAAGGTACCATTTGTATTTACAAACATGTTCCTAAAGTTTTCACCCCTTAACAACACCTTTCAGCTTACACTCTACTCTCAACAGCTGAGAATGGAATAAGTCTTGGTTTAGAAATGGGTTTTTAAGCAATAATTTATGAGTGAGTGAGTGAGTATTGTTTTACGCCGCTTTTAGCAATATTCCAGCAATATCACGGTGGGGGACACCAGAAATGGGCTTCACACAATGTACCCATGTCGGGAATCGAACCCGGGTCTTCGGCGTGACGAGCGAACGCTTTAACCACTAGGCTACCCGACCGCCCAATAATTTATGAAAGCACAGTGAGAGAAATCAGCATAGCTTTATACTTTTTATTTACTATTCAAAAGATTAACTATAGTCATGTGAAGAAATTGGGTGTTCCTTAACTTCTTTTGAGTAGTATATTCCTCTTGAATTTTTGTAAAGCCAGACCAAAATAATGATTACTGTAGTGTATTTTGTTCCTACTGGGTTTTCAGTTGGTGTAGCATAGTTTGGTTTACAAGTAGTATTCTTACACAATTCAACAAACTGCAGCAGACACTGGTTACTCTGAATCAAACACACCTTCATGTCACACCTACACTGTGTGTAGGCACTTTAGACAGGTCGTTTATTGAAGGACTACAGGGCAATTCTCTGAAGGAAGGGCAATTTGGAGTTCACTTCTCTGGAAGAAGGAAGGGCAATTTGGAGTTCACTTCTCTGGAAGAAGGAAGGGCAATTTGGAGTTCACTTCTCTGGAAGAAGGAAGGGCAATTTGAAATTCACTTCTCTGGAAGAAGGAAGGGCAATTTGGAGTTCACTTCTCTGGAAGAAGGAAGGGCAATTTGAAATTCACTTCTCTGGAAGAAGGGCAATTTGAAATTCACTTCTCTGGAAGAAGGAAGGGCAATTTGGAGTTCACTTCTCTGGAAGAAGGAAGGGCAATTTGAAATTCACTTCTCTGGAAGAAGGAAGGGCAATTTGGAGTTCACTTCTCTGGAAGAAGGAAGGGCAATTTGGAGTTCACTTCTCTGGAAGAAGGAAGGGCAATTTGGAGTTCACTTCTCTGGAAGAAGGAAGGGCAATTTGAAATTCACTTCTCTGGAAGAAGGAAGGGCAATTTGGAGTTCACTTCTCTGGAAGAAGGAAGGGCAATTTGAAATTCACTTCTCTGGAAGAAGGGCAATTTGAAATTCACTTCTCTGGAAGAAGGAAGGGCAATTTGGAGTTCACTTCTCTGAAAGAAGGAAGGGCAATTTGGAGTTCACTTCTCTGGAAGAAGGAAGGGCAATATGGAGTTCACTTCTCTGGAAGAAGGAAGGGCAATTTGGAGTTCACTTCTCTGGAAGAAGGAAGGGCAATTTGGAGTTCATTTCTCTGGAAGAAGGAAGGGCAATTTGGAGTTCACTTCTCTGGAAGAAGGAAGGGCAATTTGAAATTCACTTCTCTGGAAGAAGGAAGGGCAATTTGGAGTTCACTTCTCTGGAAGAAGGAAGGGCAATTTGGAGTTCACTTCTCTGGAAGAAGGAAGGGCAATTTGAAATTCACTTCTCTGGAAGAAGGAAGGGCAATTTGGAGTTCACTTCTCTGGAAGAAGGAAGGGCAATTTGAAATTCACTTCTCTGGAAGAAGGGCAATTTGAAATTCACTTCTCTGGAAGAAGGAAGGGCAATTTGGAGTTCACTTCTCTGGAAGAAGGAAGGGCAATTTGGAGTTCACTTCTCTGGAAGAAGGAAGGGCAATATGGAGTTCACTTCTCTGGAAGAAGGAAGGGCAATTTGGAGTTCACTTCTCTGGAAGAAGGAAGGGCAATTTGGAGTTCATTTCTCTGGAAGAAGGAAGGGCAATTTGGAGTTCAGTTCTCTGGAAGAAGGAAGGGCAATTTGAAATTCACTTCTCTGGAAGAAGGAAGGGCAATTTGGAGTTCACTTCTCTGGAAGAAGGAAGGGCAATTTGAAATTCACTTCTCTGGAAGAAGGGCAATTTGAAATTCACTTCTCTGGAAGAAGGAAGGGCAATTTGGAGTTCACTTCTCTGGAAGAAGGAAGGGCAATTTGGAGTTCACTTCTCTGGAAGAAGGAAGGGCAATTTGGAGTTCACTTCTCTGGAAGAAGGAAGGGCAATTTGAAATTCACTTCTCTGGAAGAAGGAAGGGCAATTTGGAGTTCACTTCTCTGGAAGAAGGAAGGGCAATTTGAAATTCACTTCTCTGGAAGAAGGAAGGGCAATTTGGAGTTCACTTCTCTGGAAGAAGGAAGGGCAATTTGAAATTCACTTCTCTGGAAGAAGGGCAATTTGAAATTCACTTCTCTGGAAGAAGGAAGGGCAATTTGGAGTTCACTTCTCTGAAAGAAGGAAGGGCAATTTGGAGTTCACTTCTCTGGAAGAAGGAAGGGCAATATGGAGTTCACTTCTCTGGAAGAAGGAAGGGCAATTTGGAGTTCACTTCTCTGGAAGAAGGAAGGGCAATTTGGAGTTCATTTCTCTGGAAGAAGGAAGGGCAATTTGGAGTTCACTTCTCTGGAAGAAGGAAGGGCAATTTGAAATTCACTTCTCTGGAAGAAGGAAGGGCAATTTGGAGTTCACTTCTCTGGAAGAAGGAAGGGCAATTTGGAGTTCACTTCTCTGGAAGAAGGAAGGGCAATTTGAAATTCACTTCTCTGGAAGAAGGAAGGGCAATTTGGAGTTCACTTCTCTGGAAGAAGGAAGGGCAATTTGAAATTCACTTCTCTGGAAGAAGGGCAATTTGAAATTCACTTCTCTGGAAGAAGGAAGGGCAATTTGGAGTTCACTTCTCTGGAAGAAGGAAGGGCAATTTGGAGTTCACTTCTCTGGAAGAAGGAAGGGCAATATGGAGTTCACTTCTCTGGAAGAAGGAAGGGCAATTTGGAGTTCACTTCTCTGGAAGAAGGAAGGGCAATTTGGAGTTCATTTCTCTGGAAGAAGGAAGGGCAATTTGGAGTTCACTTCTCTGGAAGAAGGAAGGGCAATTTGAAATTCACTTCTCTGGAAGAAGGAAGGGCAATTTGGAGTTCACTTCTCTGGAAGAAGGAAGGGCAATTTGAAATTCACTTCTCTGGAAGAAGGGCAATTTGAAATTCACTTCTCTGGAAGAAGGAAGGGCAATTTGGAGTTCACTTCTCTGGAAGAAGGAAGGGCAATTTGGAGTTCACTTCTCTGGAAGAAGGAAGGGCAATTTGAAATTCACTTCTCTGGAAGAAGGAAGGGCAATTTGGAGTTCACTTCTCTGGAAGAAGGAAGGGCAATTTGAAATTCAATTCTCTGGAAGAAGGAAGGGCAATTTGGAGTTCACTTCTCTGGAAGAAGGAAGGGCAATTTGAAATTCACTTCTCTGGAAGAAGGAAGGGCAATTTGGAGTTCACTTCTCTGGAAGAAGGAAGGGCAATTTGAAATTCACTTCTCTGGAAGAAGGAAGGGCAATTTGAAATTCACTTCTCTGGAAGAAGGAAGGGCAATTTGAAATTCACTTCTCTGGAAGAAGGAAGGGCAATTTGGAGTTCACTTCTCTGGAAGAAGGAAGGGCAATTTGAAATTCACTTCTCTGGAAGAAGGAAGGGCAATTTGAAATTCACTTCTCTGGAAGAAGGAAGGGCAATTTGAAATTCACTTCTCTGGAAGAAGGAAGGGCAATTTGGAGTTCACTTCTCTGGAAGAAGGAAGGGCAATTTGAAATTCACTTCTCTGGAAGAAGGAAGGGGAGTTTCCTGCTCTAAAAGGATTGAATGGGAATTGGGAGGTTTCAGACTAAGGGAATAACAAGAGTCTGCTTTCTGCCATCCACGGCCGCGCTGCATGACACTCACTTCTGCTCCTGCACCCAGGTGTTGACGTTCTGCACCACCAGCTCACTCTCCCGATGCAGACGGTCTCCGTTCGACCGTGACTCCTCCAACGCCACACGCAGACCCGTGATCTCCTCATTGGCACTGCGGTAGTTCTGCTTCATCAGCTGCAGCTCGCTCTTCAGCTTGTGTGACTGGAACAGAGGATGTGGGGTTTAGGGGGAGGTGTCACCCCTGCGAATACCTGCTGACATTTGTTGACATTTTGTTCTGCAAAGTCACATCGTAATCTGTAACAGACTGAACAGCACTAAATGGGGAATGGTGCAAAATTGTTTTACAATGTCCTGAGGATTAATCCAATCAAGGAACAAGGTCTGATATCCCTGACTAATTTAACCAACCCAGAATCTATAGCTATCAAGATGTAACATACCCACACACAACACCCCTGAAGTGAATCATCCCATCATCTACGTGGCAGACTGGCCATCAAGACCTATCTACCCCAGTCCACCCCATCATGTACCCAGGGATCACCCACCTCGTCCATCATGTTCTTGTACTTCTCCTGTAGACTGGCCATCAAGACCTATCTACCCCAGTCCACCCCATCATGTACCCAGGGATCACCCACCTCGTCCATCATGTTCTTGTACTTCTCCTGTAGACTGGCCATGAAGACCTATCTACCCCAGTCCACCCCATCATGTACCCAGGGATCACCCACCTCGTCCATCATGTTCTTGTACTTCTCCTGTAGACTGGCCATGAAGACCTATCTACCCCAGTCCACCCCATCATGTACCCAGGGATCACCCACCTCGTCCATCATGTTCTTGTACTTCTCCTGTAGACTGGCCAGCTCCACCTTGATGACGACGGACTCCTCCTCCTTCGATGACAGTTCCTGGAGCGACTGCTTCTGCTTTTCCTGACTAGAGTACAGATCCGTCTGCAGACTAGTGTACCGCTCCTCGAAGTGCTGAAGCTGTGAACACCAGTGTGTTAACACACTAGACACTACAATCATTGTCCCTGTGACCTATCCCCACCTCAGCAATAACCAGCCACTTGGCTGACCCCTCTTTACCCCTTCACCCACCTATTTCCAGGTTCATCAACTCATCTTATACACAGAGTCGAGTTGTCCACCAACAGGTACACTGTTTGGATTACACAGAGCGGTAGATATTGGCCTTAGTCCTGTAGTCCTTGCCATACTGCCCAATAGTTAAGGTATCATAAGGACTAGTAGAAATTTGCCCTTTTCAAGGGTTTTGCTATATGTTATCATTATAAGAACTAGTGTATCAAACCTGTTAGTTTCTACCGCTGATAGTAGTGGGTAGTGTCAGTGCTTTCTGTTGCTAAAATTTATCATCGCATCAGCAGTATTTCAGCAACTTATTGAAGCACCCTGGCAGAGAAAGATCGAGATGAAACCTGAAGGTAGTCATCAATCATTGTACTAGTCAGCCTCGGCAGTCATCGTGACCACCCAATACATCCGTCAGATGCCTTAGAAGTTCTAGGAACTCCGATGCTATTAAGAAATCTCTTCCAGCTCTATTTGAGCTATTCAAAAGAAATAGATTTTTGAAGGGTAACAATGAGGATCTATCATATATCACAAGCTGAAGAAATCATATCATAACATATCAGCTCTACAATGCGTGACAGCGTAGCCTCAGATACATGTTGTAAATACAGTCCGTGTAGGATGTTTTTCTGTGTCTGAACAAGCCTCAAGTACGGCCAATACTGGATGTTCCTCAGATGTAGGCAGTGCCAGATGTGCGTCAGATACAGGCGGTGCTGGACATGTCTTGGATGCGGCTCGGTGTCTGAACAAGCCTCAAGTACGGCCAATACCGGAAGTGCCTCAGATGTAGGCAGTGCCAGGCGTGCGTCAGATAAAGGTGGAGATGGACTTACCTCATCCTCGGTGGCCTTGTTGAGTTCCTGCATCTTCCTCAGCTCATGCTGCAGCTTCCGCATCCGGTCTTCATAGAAGGCGATCTGAGGAGGAACAGTCTCAGTGAGTTGGCTTTGCAAACATTCAGATAAATCACTGAATATCACATGTTTGAACAGCGCATCAGACATGACTCCTTGGACCAGCGAGCCACCTCTAACCAGGATCACATATGAGCAAGGCAGTGCATCTCATACATACAGTGCCATCAAACTCTGACAATAAGAAATTCTGCTTGTTGAGCAAACTCTAAGTGTATCAATGTCCCACGAATATAGAGTGATCAGTAAGTGTACCTCCTCTGTCATAGACTGGTTCTGCTGCTGGAGTTTGGCCACCTCCGTCTTGAGCGATGCCACGAGGCGGGATTTCTCCCCCAACTGCTCCATGGACTCCTTGTGGTTGCCCTGAACTGTGGTCAGCTGCACCTTCAGGTCATGCACCCTCTGCTCGTTGTCCATCAGCTGCAATAACACACAATCTAACCTAGACCTTCCTTCCCTACAAATCAATCATCATACCAACAAAAGCAGGGTTCTCATTATTGTTCACACCTGATGCCTTCAGAGCACATGCTCACATGTTCATGAAGTCTCAATCCGACTTAATCTTCATCACATAGTGTGTAGCTGGTCAGAAAAGGTGCATGATAAGCTGAAACCAGAATTTGAAAGCTCACACACTGAAGTGATTGAGTGAGTATGGTTTTACGTCGGTTTTAGCAATATTCCAGCAATATCACATCGGGGGACATCAGAAATGGGCTTCACACATTGTACCCATGTCGGGAGTTGAACCCAGGTCTTTGTCGTGACGAGCGAACGCTTTAACCACTAGGCTTCCCGACCGCCCCTTACGCACTGAAACACCATCAGGTTGCATGGCGGTTCAACTTGTGAGACACTTGTTTGAGGATCTACGTTTGACCCTATCCTCTGGTACAGGTAGATGTGGATGCCTCACCTCTGCATGAGCTCTTCTGTACTGCTCCTGTATCTTCTCCAGGTCCGACTGAAGCTGAGACAGAGTCTCCTCGTACTTCGTCACCTGCACACAATCATGAGTATAACCATAAATAGCCATGTTCTTCACTCAAGCTTCACAAGCCTTTAGTCAGCATTTAATACCATTATCTTAAGAAAATATCATAACAGAGATGGAAAGCCGAATGTATGACACTTTACAACTGAAACACCGGTGTTGAAAATTAGCAACGCCCATATGCATGAGACAGGGCCACTTCCATGATACAGGGCCACTTGCATGAGACAGGGCCACATGCATGAGACAGGGCCACATGCATGAGACAGGGGCCACTGGCATAAGACAGAGCCCAAATGCATGAGACAGGGGCCACTGGCATGAGACAGAGCCCAAATGCATGAGACAGGGGCCACTGGCATGAGACAGTGCCCAAATGCATGAGACAGGACCCACTTGCATGAGACAGGGCCACATGCATGAGACAGGGCCACTGGCATGATACAGGGTCCTCTTCTGGCAGACTGACACCTGTTCATGTTACAAGCATTACAGTCAGCACCTTCCCAGCTGTAAGCTGATACCCTTCTAGAAGGACTGAAACCTTTCTGACAGGGTCTGGCTAATGTTGCCAGCCTAGTGGTCTGAGAGATCTGTTCCCATCAGGTACCATGTGGGCTTGCTGTTCTGTCTCTGGCCAGACTACCTACCTCGTGTGAGTGGTGGACGCTCTGCTTCTGGGCAGTCTGGAGGTTCATCTTGGCCACACGGAGCTGGCCTTCTCGCTCTGCTAGCTCCTCCTTCAGCCCACGCAACTTCTGCTGGAGGTCGTCTATCTCTGCCCGCAGTCGCAGGTTCATCTCATCCTTCTCCTGGAGCTGTGAGGAGAGATGGGAATAAATAATATTTGAAACCACACTTAGTTGCCTAATATGACAGGTACATTGTAGACAGGGATGTAGTGCCCCAGCATTTACATCTGTAATAGTAATGATAACTTTCATATCACATTTGTAAGACAATGCTCACCCTCTGTACGATAAACAGGCTCCTCACTCAACCCTGTCTGATGTTGCTGACCCAATTCATTATCTGCGCCATGTCACGGCCCTCCTCAATCATCCTCTGCAACATATTGCCCACTCATGCTCTGTGCCATGTCACAGCCCCTCAACTCACCCTCTGTGCCATGTGGCGGCCCCTTCCACTCAACCTCTGTGCCATGTCTGGGCCCCTTCCACTCAACCTCTGTGCCATGTCTGGGCCAATCCCACTCAACCTCTGTGCCATGTCACAGCCCCTCCCACTCACCCTCTGTGCCATGTCACAGCCCCTCCCACTCACCCTCTGTGCCATGTCACAGCCCCTCCCACTCATCCTCTGTGCCATGTCACAGCCCTCCCACTCATCCTCTGTGCCATGTCACGGACCTCCCACTCACCCTCTGTGCCATGTCACAGCCCCTCCCACTCACCCTCTGTGCCATGTCACAGCCCCTCCCACTCACCCTTTGTGCCATGTCACAGCCCTCCCACTCATCCTCTGTGCCATGTCACGGACCTCCCACTCACCCTCTGTGCCATGTCACAGCCCCTCCCACTCACCCTCTGTGCCATGTCACAGCCCCTCCCACTCATCCTCTGTGCCATGTCACGGACCTCCCACTCACCCTCTGTGCCATGTCACAGCCCCTCCCACTCACCCTCTGTGCCATGTCACAGCCCCTCCCACTCATCCTCTGTGCCATGTCACGGACCTCCCACTCACCCTCTGTGCCATGTCACAGCCCCTCCCACTCACCCTCTGTGCCATGTCACAGCCCCTCCCACTCATCCTCTGTGCCATGTCACGGACCTCCCACTCACCCTCTGTGCCATGTCACGGACCTCCCACTCACCCTCTGTGCCATGTCGCGAGCCTGCTTCTGGTACTGGTCAATGTCCTCCTGCAGCTCGGCCCCCATCTTCTTGCTCTGCCCCAACTGCCTGCTGGTGTCCTGGTGACGGTCCCTCTCCCCCCGGAGTTCCGTCTGAAGCTGACCGAGGATCACGTCCTGCTGCTCCACCTGGTGGAAGAGTCAACTCAAGATCCAGGCAGGGTACACAGAGACATATTTTGAATCATGAGGATTCAAATTCTACTCTAATGAATGACAAGTGACTGCACTAACCATTTTGGGAGCAAATGAAACATACCATAGAAGTTGAAGACTGGTTACTGTTGAGATTATGAGTGAGTGAGTTGGATTTAGCACCGCTTTGAAAGCTGAGATTAAGAAATTATTAGTTTGAAACATACAACATAACACCCTTCTATCTGATCAACTAACTCCTCCATCTTCGACTACAACAGGGTCAAATATCAGTTAGTACTCTGCCATGAAGAGACATATTCTTAGGCACCATATCAAGTATTTAAGAGTTGTTCAGGAGTTCAGGAGTCCCAAGTGACTTTGACCAGTGTATCCAGCTGGTGAAGAGTGAATGCCTGCGATTGAAACTAACAGTCCACTAGCCCAAGTCCACTAGTCATAATGATAACATATAGCAAAACCCTAATTCATAGCAAATTTCTACCAGTTCTCATGATACATCTATAAGGCAATTTGGTAAGGACCATAGGATTAGTGTCAATTTCTAACGCTGAAATGTGGCTCCCCAGTAACGAGCAGCTCACCTGATCGGACAGCATCTTCTCTTGTTCCCGTGACCCGTCTAGCTCCACCTCCACCTTGTGCGCCTGCTGCTTGTACGCCAGCCCCTCCTGCACCGCTGTGTGATGCTCCTCCTTCGACACCATCAGGTCCTTCCGCAGCTTGTCGATCACAGACTTCTGCTCTGCGATCTCCTCCTCATAGCTGGCGCAGCGTTCTCGCAGCGTCTTCAGCTCGGCCTGCAGCTTCCTGTTGACCTGCTCGTGTCGGACGACCTCGGTGACGCGCTGACTCAGCTGGTCCTGGGTTGTCTGGAGGCTCTGCTCCATCAGCATCAGCTTCTCCTCGTGATGGGCAAGCTGGGGACAGATACAAGTGAGGGAGTGCATGGTTAATAGTGCATTTCAGCAGCACATCACAGTCTCTCATTAAAATGTGTGAGAAAGCTCAACGTCATGGTTGAACTGCGACGCGAAAGAGTGATGCAGAATATCTTAGAGTCATTTATATCCCAACGATTTAGTTTGATGTAAGAGGATAGCCCTACAACATGGGCAAGAGGGGTGAGAGAGTGTTAGAGCAGAACTTCAGTTGCATCACAGCATGATGTTTTATTTGTTTGTTTGTTTGTTTGTTGTTTAACACCGCACTCAGCAATATTCCAGCTATATGACGGCGGTCTGTAAAATAATCAAGTCTGGACCAGACAATCCAGTGATTGACTTCATGAGCATCGATCCACGCAATTGGGATCGATGGCATATATCAACCAAGTCAGCGAGCCTGACCACCCAATCCTGTTAGTCGCCTTTTACGACAAGCATAGTCGCCTTTTACGGCAAGTATGGGTTGCTGAGGACCTATTCTACCTCGGATCTTCACGGGTCCACAGCATGATGTGGCAGGTGGGCCAAACATAATTGACAAACTGTTAAACAGAGGACACTACATCACCAGATCTGCCTCGTGGAACTAAAAATACTGCTACTCTGTGACGATATCATCATCACTGAAATTGTCTCAATAAAACTTCTGGCTTAAACCATTGCTATTGAGTAATTGAGCTGAGCTCCTAAATAAGATGCAACTAAAACCTTGAAACCCTTATCAGACACAATTTAACATTACTGGACATCCTTGATTCATTAATCTGGAAACATGTCTATTTGGAACAGATAAACAGGGTCTAATAAATTTTCTTTCTTCTTGTGAAATAATTATGTTGTTCCATGGATTAACTTGACTTGACAGGCTCTGACAAGTACCTGACAAATGGATCTATGTTAGTTGTGTAAAGACAGTAAAAGAAGTAAATTAAAGTAAGTTCTCCAGAATGAGGTCACACAGGTCTGTGGACTCTGTAAAGGTCGACGACCTCACCTCTTGAGCACAGTCTCTGTACTGGGACCTGGCCTCCGTCATGTCCGTCTTCAGCCGGTCCACATCACTCTGCAGCTCCTCGATCTGAAGACAAACACAGTTCTCGTTATGTCACTGTTACATCACTGTTGCATCCCCACAAGGAGGTCCATGGCAAGAACTACGGCAATGTCAGTATTTGTATGTAGCAGGGTGTGGAGTCATCTGTTTTACAATCTCATTAAAATCAGACCTTAGTTCACTAACGCTAAACAATGATCTGGAGACATCCCATTAGGGGTCCCACAAAGGGTGAGTCACAACGACCTTTCATCCGACCAATCAGACTTACCAGATTATGAAAGTGACAGTCAGAATGTGATTTCTAATCACCTCGAAAACTTTAACACCCCCGGGGTATTCCGAACGATAGTTACGGGTTTAACGACCGAATCCATACAATCTAGACTATCTATTAGCCATTGCAGAATGTTCTTTTGTTCACTGGTTTCAAATTTGTAATGGAGAATTTGCCAGAATATGTTTTGAAGCGTAGTTGCCAATTTGAAATTAGTGCCGTAAAGCTGGAGAAAGCTGCCTTCTGATTGGTCATTCCATTGGTCGGTCAAAGTTCGCACAAGGTCGGTCTGACGTGACCCATAATGGGATGTCCTCAGATCTTTGTTTAGCGGTAGCGAGAACTAAGATTTGATTTTAATGAGATTGTCTGTTTTAAATTGAGTGAGTGTGTGTACTGGGCAGTACAGCTACAGAAGGTGTGGTGTAGGCATGTTCCTGACACTGGCTGTAGTACCCAGAGCAGGATGGATGGAGTGAGTGAGTGAATGTATGTTCCGGGCACTATGCCATATTCGGTAGTGTTACAGCTACAGAAGCTGAGCTGTAGGGGTGTCTTGTACACTGGGTGTGGTACTGTTTGAGTGTGACACTGGATCTGGTACTGACCGTGCTCTCCGCCTGTCTCCGTGCCGTCTTCACCTGGTTCAGGCTGATCTTCAGTTCATGGATGGCCAGCTCCAGCTTCTCAATCTACAACACCATCACTCCGTCAGTCAGCAAGGAGGCAGCAGCACACCGGTAAAATGTATGACTTCCACATCATGCCCATTTCCAGAGCAAGGTGAGGTGAGGTGAAATTGGGTTTAATGTCGCGTCCAAGATTATTGCACTTATATCCAGAGCAAGGAATACAATGTGACGAGGATGTTTTTTCACAAAATTACAAAACAAGACTGCACCTCTAATAAGAGGTACTTCAAGGCCATAGTTTCAGATTCAAGTTCATAATGCAAAGCAAATGTGTTCAAAATGGATAGCACTACCTCAACCTAAAGCAATCTGATGTCAGTGATTATTGGAGCTTTAAACTGAGTGATGTCCAAAAAACATATCAATACGTTTTCACTGAAGTTAGTATCAACTGATGACAAGTTAGTATGGATGTATTCATTACAATCAGTGTGATATAGATGTAGTTCTCAAACCAAAACAACAAGCATGAGCATGAGAGACAAACAACTTCATCAATGTCAAGTGCATATCTAGTGTCCACACTAGGTAGCCATTGTGGCCACCTGATCCCCCCAGTTGACAGCAGCATGTCCTACCTCGTCCACCTTGTTCTTGATGTCATCCCGACATGCCAGGATCTCGCCCTCGTTCCGCTTGATCTGTTCCTCCTTCCTGTTGACTTCATGGTCCAGCGACTCGACACGGGACTGAGCGTCTGAGAGCTGGCGCTGCAGTGACGTGATGGTGTCCTCTAACCTCTCTGTGTCCGTCTTGTGACGCTGGTGAGCAGATGCCAAACTCAGCTGCAGCTGCTGGATGTTCTGTTCCAGACGGGTGATCTGTAACCCGGAGCAACGGAACATATACATGACACTTCTGGTGCAAACCCAACATGGAACATACTACCATGTCATTCTTGATAGAAACACAACATAGATGACGCTATTACCCTTCTGGAATAGCCAGTAAACACAAGACAGATGACGCTATTACCCTTCTGGAATAGCCAGTAAACACAAGACAGATGACGCTATTACCCTTCTGGAATAGCCAGTAAACACAAGACAGATGACGCTATTACCCTTCTGGAATAGCCAGTAAACACAAGACAGATGACGCTATTACCCTTCTGGAATAGCCAGTGAACAAAACACAGATGATGCTATTACCCTTCTGGAATAGCCAGTAAACACAACACAGATGGCGCTATTACCCGAGTATAGTCAGTAAACACAATACAGATTATGCTTTTACCCTTCTGGAATAGCCAGTAAACACAAATGACGCTATTACCCTTCTGGAATAGCCAGTAAACACAACACAGATGATGCTATTACCCTTCTGGAATAGCCAGTAAACACAAATGACGCTATTACCCTTCTGGAATAGCCAGTAAACACAACACAGATGACACTATTACCCTCCTGGAATAGTCAGTAAACACAACACAGATGACGCTATTACCCTTCTGTAATAGTCAGTAAACACAACACAGATGACACTATTACCCTCCTGGAACAGTCAGTAAACACAGATGACGCTATAGCCCTATTGGAATAGTCAGTAAACACAACACAGATGACGCTACTACCCTCCTGGAATAGTCAGTAAACACAACACAGATGACGCTACTACCCTTCTGGAATAGTCAGTAAACACAACACAGATGACGCTATTACCCTTCTGGAAAAGCCAGTAAACACAACACAGATGACGCTATTACCCTTCTGGAATAGTCAGTAAACACAACACAGATGACGCTATTACCCTCCTGGAACAGTCAGTAAACACAGACGACGCTATAGCCCTTCTGGAATAGTCAGTAAACACAACACAGATGACACTATTACCCTCCTGGAATAGTCAGTAAACACAACACAGATGACGCTATTACCCTTCTGGAATAGTCAGTAAACACAACACAGATGACGCTATTACCCTCCTGGAACAGTCAGTAAACACAGACGACGCTATAGCCCTTCTGGAATAGTCAGTAAACACAACACAGATGACACTATTACCCTCCTGGAAAAGCCAGTAAACACAACACAGATGACGCTACTACCCTTCTGGAAAAGCCAATAAACACAACACAAAACATACTGTCATACATTTTCTGGGACTTAGCAACTATTTTTTTACATGTATGTGGATGTGTGACCAGACAATGTACACCGTCAATACTTACAGAATCACCAGAACTAGCAATGACATCCCAAAAGAGTCATGTTGTAATATCAGCATCCACGGACACAATACACTTTCTGGTGTGTGTGACATGTCATCACCATGAAGTAATCCTACATCAGAGGAACCACTGAGAACAACCACGATACCATGCAACCACTACACTTGTTTACAACAACTCTATGGGCGGTTGGGTAGCCTCGTGGTTAAAGCATTCGCTCGTCACGCCGAAGACCCGGGTTCGATTCCTGACATGGGCACAATGTGTGAAGCCCATTTGTGGTGTCCCCTGCCGTGATATTGCTGGAATATTGCTAAAAGCGGCGTAAAACCATACACGCTCACTACAACAACTCTACATGCCTGAATACACTAACATCTTCAATGCTAACCCCATGTACACACTTTGTTTACAAAGTGTGTACTCCTTGGAGAATTGCTTTTCCAAACCAAATGAAGTCTTAAAGTGAACTTCTTCTCCCACTAAAGTGTGAACATAATGCAGAGTAGGTTCTACAAACCGTTATCAGAGCTTCAGCTTTAAATATTTCCAGTTCCATCTTTCACACATGTTCACCTCGGCAAAAAAATATTTTGGTATCCCAATTGCCCAACAACCAACAATGGACCCAGCCTTCAAACACATTCTCATACTAACTCCTGAATACTAGGGAAAGACCATTTAACACAAGGGGGTGTCAGGTTGTGAGCAAGACCAGACACGTTTGAGCAGCGAGATCGGTGACAGATATGAAGGTGATAACTGTCATAAATCCATACAGTATATCCCCTGTTTAATGTGCTTCAGCCAGTGACTGTTATCTCACTCTTGTCTGCTTGATGACAGACCACAAACACCTGCCTACCCCCCTGTCTGTCAATGGGAAGGATGTAGGTCAGCCATACAGGCAGTGGCAGTGTTAATGTTCCTCTATTGACACTGCCACAAGGAGTAACTACACTTTATTCATGAGGTGCAGTGGACGCTTCTCAGTCACGGCAGTTCCAGATATTAGTGAGAATGTTTAAGGAATGTTTTCAATGACCAGGGAGTTGTAAGGAAACCTGATCATTGCTTTCCAGACACTGGGTATGCCCAGTCAAACATGCCCTCTCCCTCTGGAAGGAAAGGGGCTCATTATGCTACATGGAGGGCTGTCGAGTGCCACATTATAACACAACAAAGGAAGAAGGCTTGATTAATCTACAGACACTAGTCAGCTTATTTCTACTGAGACTAAGAGTCAGGTGGTGGGTAGGCTTTTGGTTAGCTTGTTACATGAAAGACAACAGGTCAATTTCATACAGACACCATGAAAAAGTCACAGCGCTATGACTGTTGAAAATATTGACATATTTGAGATTTCCTTAATACTGGAGATTTCCTTTATACTTGAGATTTCCTTAATATTTGAGATTTCCATAATACTTGAGATTTCCATAATACTTGAGATTTCCGTAATACTTGAGATTTCCTTTATACTTGAGATTTCCTTAATATTTGAGATTTCCATAATACTTGAGATTTCCATAATATTTGAGATTTCCTTTATACTTGAGATTTCCTTTATACTTGAGATTTCCTTAATATTTGAGATTTCCATAATACTTGAGATTTCCATAATACTTGAGATTTCCGTAATACTTGAGATTTCCTTTATAATTTAGATTTCCATAATACTTGAAATTTCCTTAATATTTGAGATTTCCATAATATTTGAGATTTCCTTTATACTTGAGATTTCCATAAACTTAAGATTTCCTTAATATTTGCATAATGCCTGCAAGACAGTTCTTTTCGAAAAGCTGGAAATCATGCAGTGACAGTGAAAACTCTGGTGAATACGGAGGATGTTCAAAGAGTTCAAAGCGCCACACTCATGCACTGCAGCCAAGGTGACAACAGACATATACACAGGTGCACTGTCCTGGTCAATCAACACATCTTTAGTGAGTTTTTCCACGACGTTTGGCCTTGATATTCTCACGCAGTTGCCTGAGCAGTTTAGCACGATGTCGGCCATAAATGGTCCGACCTTTCGGGAGGTAGTCCATCAGTAGGATGCCGCTGGAATCCCAGAAAACGAAAGCCATCACCTTGTCAGCTGATGGAACAGACTTTGTCATCTTCAGGGAGACATTAGATGGCTCAGCTTCCACTGATAGTGGTGAACCCAAGACTCATCCATGGTTACAAATCTCTCAGCGATATCAGCTAGGTATGCTTCAAAATAACATGAATTCACATGAGATAACGCACCTGGATTTTTTCTGAATAGGAGTCTGAAGTCTTGAAACCTTTGTCATGCTCAATTCATTCCTCAGAATGCTCTTAAATCTCTCATGAGATTTGCCTTGTATGCCAGCTGTACTGGCTTTGTGACAAGGACACTGTCATGAATTAGGATCCATCCATCCCATATTTACAATCTTCTATTAGAATGTAACATTCCCAAAACAAATGCATCAGCTAGATCGCAGCAACAATCAACGCTAACAATAACAACAAAAAAACAATATTTCAAAATGATGCCTCGTAGCCTCAAGTGCTTTTTGCTGATAACCACATCCATACTTATTACTGACACTGGCAGACACTGAAACCTCTCTCCATCTCTCTCTGTACAGTGAAACCTTCTTAGTCCCGACCCTGCTACTCTGGCAACCCCACATTCTTGTCAAAGACTGTGTGATGTTGAAATATCCTTCTACATTCCACTAAGCAATTGAAACTTTCAGAAGTTAAGGCATGGTGTTGAATTCCAACATAGAAACATAACAGTTAACAATATCAGCTATATCACAATGGCCATTAAAGAACAAAGTTGGAAGCAGAAAAAAACAGTGGTTGATATTATGAGCCACAGCCAAATGGTCCCCACAAGGATATACAGATGGCTGAAAAGGGGGCCTCCACAAGGATATACAGATTGCTGAAAAGGGGGTCCCCACAAGATATACTGACGGCTGAAAAGGGGGTCCCCACAAGGATATACTGATGGCTGAAAAGGGGGTCCCCACAAGGATATACTGACGGCTGAAAAGGGGGTTCCCACAAGATATACTGATGACTGAAAAGGGGGTCCCCACAAGATATACTGATGGCTGAAAAGGGGGTCCCCACAAGGATATACTGATGGCTGAAAAGGGGGTCCCCACAAGGATATAATGACGGCTGAAAAGGGGGTTCCCACAAGATATACTGATGGCTGAAAAGGGGGTCCCCACAAGATATACTGACGGCTGAAAAGGGGGTCCCCACAAGGATATACTGATGGCTGAAAAGGGGGTTCCCACAAGATATACTGATGGCTGAAAAGGGGGTCCCCACAAGGATATACTGACGGCTGAAAAGGGGGTCCCCACAAGATATACTGATGGCTGAAAAGGGGGTCCCCACAAGGATATACTGATGACTGAAAAGGGGGTTCCCACAAGATATACTGATGGCTGAAAAGGGGGTCCCCACAAGGATATACTGATGGCTGAAAAGGGGGTCCCCACAAGGATATACTGATGGCTGAAAAGGGGGTCCCCACAAGGATATACTGATGGCTGAAAAGGGGGTCCCCACAAGGATATACTGATGGCCTACCTCCATATTGGCATTGGCCTTCTGGTCTTTCGTGATGGTGAGTTCTGACTGGAGGTCACTGATCTCATTCTGGAGGTCGGCGATATGTCGGGCCTTGCTGTCCAGGTTGTTCCTGGTGTCATCCAGGTCGTACTCCAGGCGGGAGATTCGCTCCTCTCGCTCTTGGAACTGGACAACAGAGCAGGGGTTGGATATATAGAGGATGTACACACTGCAGCGTGAGTTAAATGCATATAAATATATATATATAGAAGCTGACAAAGCAATTTCCCCTTTTCACCCCCCAAATACAACCTGCACAAGCATGAAATAAACATATCCCCCGCCCATATGACTTCCGGTTAATATGGAAACTCAAAAATATTTTTTCTCAAAAATCCCATTCTATGAAAAGGTATCAGTTTACCACTAGACCTAGCTATGTGCAAAGTTTTGTGAAGAAATATTGGACGTTTTTCAAGATCTGCTCCGGAAAGCAGTACCGCCATTTCCAGTATAAGTCAAAGTTGTTGCCATGGAAACTCGAAAAATAAATTTTTCAAAAATCCCAAACTGTCAAAAGGCACCAGTTCACCACCAGGCTTATTTGGGTTAAGATATCTCTACTGGTTTTTGAGTTCTTCTCCGGAAATGAAACATGACGGACAGATGGATAGCACCCATTCCTACAAGTAATAAGTAACCAAGTATGAAGACAAGGTGCCTGATACCATCAACTGAGAGTAAGGCATTACCTCCTGGTCAGTGTGGCTGTGTTCCCCCTGGTAAGACAGCAGATCATTCTCCAAGTTCCTCGCCTTCTCCTCGTTCTGATGAGCCTGAAATACCACAACACAATCAAATAACTCTCCAGGCTCTCTAAGACTTTATCCGGGGGGTCAAGGATTCAAACTCACCTGCTCCTGATCATACCAAGGGACATAACTCTACACAGAAAACTGCAGCACCTTGGGGACCTTGGCCATCAGAGACCCTGATACAGTGGGTCAGTAAGGGCAGTGCATCAAACTTCAGGGTCAAGGACACACTAAGCAGCAAGGCTGTCAAAGGAATCTGTTGACTATCCAGGAATCTCTCTTCAGGAATTTTGGCCATCTGAGTCATTGCAATCATAGGCATGAAGGACTTGGACCAAAAATTGTTTGTTTGTTTGTGTGTTGTTTAGCACCGTGCTCAGCCATATTCCAGCTATATGACGGCTGTCTGTAAATAATCAAATCTGGACCAGACAATCCAGTGATTGGCATCATGAGCATCGATCTACGCAATTGGACATTGATAAAGTGATCTTAGTGCTGTGACTGTTGTAGTGAGAATGGAAGTTAAAATGGTAGCAAGACATTCACTTTGTGCAGGTGGTCTATGATGCACAATACTCCATGAGGAATGTATCAACTTCTTGCTGTACACTACTCACCTCGTTCTGGGAGTCCTGGAGCCTCTCCCTGAGGTTGCGGACGTTCTCCTCGCTCTCCCGGACGCGGTTGTGGGAGACGGAGAGGTCCTCCTGCGTGGCGTTCAGCTCCTGGGTGAGCTGCTCGATGACGTCCTCACACTTCTGCACCTCCCGCTTGGCCTCGCTGTACATCTTGTCCAGGTTGTCCAGGTCCGACTTGAGGCGGTCAATGTTCTGCTCCTTCTCCAGCTCCTGCACAACGATGCAGTTTGTTTGTATGCTAACATATCGGGGTTCACAAAAATCATATGTGCCCTAGGGTCATATCATGTCACGAGACAACAGTGTATTGTTTCCGTCATCCAGACAGCATTGTTTCTGTCATTCGAATCTTAATGTGACGTGAGGTCAGAATGATGTCACACTAGAAATTAGTCGTAGCTGAATATTGTTGACGTCATGCCACATGTGGTTCCGCTGCTGTTGCAACTTGCTGTTTTTATAGGTAAACACTAAAATTCACCTCTGTATGTAGCGACTTTTTTGGTAATAAATAGGACATTATATTTGTGTTCATGCCAAAGTATAATATCCTCTATTTATGCCCTACTTATTCCTGACTATCATCTGTCAACTCACACTGCATGAAGTGACAACCCCCTGTACACTCAACCTGCCCGTGCTACCCATACATGAAGTGACTACCCCCCGTACACTCACCCTGCCCGTGTCGTCCATACATGAAGTGACTACCCCCCGTACACTCACCCAGCCCTTGCTACCATACATGAAGTGACTACCCCGTACGCTCACCCTGCCCGTGCTACCCATACATGAAGTGACTACCCTGTACACTCACCCTGCCCATGCTACCATACATGAAGTGACTACCCCGTACGCTCACCCTGCCCGTGCTACCATACATGAAGTGACTACCCCGTACACTCACCCTGCCCATGCTACCCATACATGAAGTGACTACCCCCCGTACACTCACCCTGCCCGTGCCATCCATAAATGAAGTGACTACCCCCCGTACACTCACCCTGCCCTTGCTACCCATACATGAAGTGACTACCCCCCGTACACTCACCCTGCCCGTGCCACCCATACATGAAGTGACTACCCCCTGTACACTCACCCTGCCCTTGCTACCCATACATGAAGTGACTACCCCCCGTACACTCACCCAGCCCTTGCCACCCATACATGAAGTGACTACCCCCCGTACACTCACCCTGCCCTTGCTACCATACATCAAGTGACTACCCCCCGTACACTCACCCTGCCCTTGCTACCCATACATGAAGTGACTACCCCCCGTACACTCACCCTGCCCGTGCCACCCATACATGAAGTGACTACCCCCTGTACACTCACCCTGCCCTTGCTACCCATACATGAAGTGACTACCCCCCGTACACTCACCCAGCCCTTGCCACCCATACATGAAGTGACTACCCCCCGTACACTCACCCTGCCCTTGCTACCATACATCAAGTGACTACCCCCCGTACACTCGCCCTGCCCTTGCTACCATACATCAAGTGACTACCCCCCGTACACTCACCCTGCTTGTGCTACCAATACATGAAGTGACTACCCTGTACACTCACCCTGCCCATGCTACCATACATGAAGTGACTACCCCGTACACTCACCCTGCCCGTGCTACCCATACATGAAGTGACTACCCTGTACACTCACCCTGCCCATGCTACCATACATGAAGTGACTACCCCGTACGCTCACCCTGCCCGTGCTACCATACATGAAGTGACTACCCCGTACACTCACCCTGCCCATGCTACCCATACATGAAGTGACTACCCCGTACGCTCACCCTGCCCGTGCTACCATACATGAAGTGACTACCCTGTACACTCACCCTGCCCGTGCTACCCATACATGAAGTGACTACCCCGTACACTGACCCTGCCATTGCTACCCATACATGAAGTGACTACCCCGTACCCTCACCCTGCCCGTGCTACCATACATGAAGTGACTACCCTGTACACTCACCCTGCCGTGCTACCATACATGAAGTGACTACCCCCCCGTTCACTCACCCTGCCCGTGCTACCATACATAAAGTGACTACCCCCCCCATACACTCACCCTGCCCGTGCTACCATACATGAAGTGACTACCCTGTACACTCACCCTGCCCGTGCTACCCATACATGAAGTGACTACCCCGTACGCTCACCCTGCCCGTGCTACCATACATGAAGTGACTACCCCGTACACTCACCCTGCCCATGCTACCCATACATGAAGTGACTACCCCGTACGCTCACCCTGCCCGTGCTACCATACATGAAGTGACTACCCCGTACACTCACCCTGCCCATGCTACCCATACATGAAGTGACTACCCCCCGTACACTCACCCTGCCCGTGCCATCCATAAATGAAGTGACTACCCCCCGTACACTCACCCTGCCCTTGCTACCCATACATGAAGTGACTACCCCCCGTACACTCACCCTGCCCGTGCCACCCATACATGAAGTGACTACCCCCTGTACACTCACCCTGCCCTTGCTACCCATACATGAAGTGACTACCCCCCGTACACTCACCCAGCCCTTGCCACCCATACATGAAGTGACTACCCCCCGTACACTCACCCTGCCCTTGCTACCATACATCAAGTGACTACCCCCCGTACACTCACCCTGCCCTTGCTACCCATACATGAAGTGACTACCCCCCGTACACTCACCCTGCCCGTGCCACCCATACATGAAGTGACTACCCCCTGTACACTCACCCTGCCCTTGCTACCCATACATGAAGTGACTACCCCCCGTACACTCACCCAGCCCTTGCCACCCATACATGAAGTGACTACCCCCCGTACACTCACCCTGCCCTTGCTACCATACATCAAGTGACTACCCCCCGTACACTCGCCCTGCCCTTGCTACCATACATCAAGTGACTACCCCCCGTACACTCACCCTGCTTGTGCTACCAATACATGAAGTGACTACCCTGTACACTCACCCTGCCCATGCTACCATACATGAAGTGACTACCCCGTACACTCACCCTGCCCGTGCTACCCATACATGAAGTGACTACCCTGTACACTCACCCTGCCCATGCTACCATACATGAAGTGACTACCCCGTACGCTCACCCTGCCCGTGCTACCATACATGAAGTGACTACCCCGTACACTCACCCTGCCCATGCTACCCATACATGAAGTGACTACCCCGTACGCTCACCCTGCCCGTGCTACCATACATGAAGTGACTACCCTGTACACTCACCCTGCCCGTGCTACCCATACATGAAGTGACTACCCCGTACACTGACCCTGCCATTGCTACCCATACATGAAGTGACTACCCCGTACCCTCACCCTGCCCGTGCTACCATACATGAAGTGACTACCCTGTACACTCACCCTGCCGTGCTACCATACATGAAGTGACTACCCCCCCGTTCACTCACCCTGCCCGTGCTACCATACATAAAGTGACTACCCCCCCCATACACTCACCCTGCCCGTGCTACCATACATGAAGTGACTACCCTGTACACTCACCCTGCCCGTGCTACCCATACATGAAGTGACTACCCCGTACACTCACCCTGCCCATGCTACCCATACATGAAGTGACTACTCCCCCATACACTCACCCTGCCCGTGCTACCCATACATGAACTGACTACCCCGCGTACACTCACCCTGCCCGTGCTACCCATACATGAAGTGACTACCCCGTACACTCACCCTGCCCGTGCTACCCCCCATACACTCACCCTGCCCCTGCTGTCCTGTAGCTTGTCCTGCAGCCCCTTCATTGATGTCTCCAGATGGTCGATCTGCGTCATGCACTGGTTGTACTTCATCTTGTAGCTCTCCAGACTGAGCAGCAGCTGGTCGCCATCATGCTTTGCCGTGTCCAGCTGGCTCTCCAGGACCACCAGCTGCTGCCGACTCTCAGACAAACACACATCCTGCTCCGCAATGGAATCGGCCTGACGCCGCAGCTGAGGAGGAAGTAAGAGATGGTTTTACTTCACGTTCTTCCAGCAAGATGACAGACATGGGGCAAGAGTAAACAGTCAACATATTGAGAATCAAACCTACATCTTATGCAGGACTAGTGAACACACACCTCACAGGGCTACAGCAACTCAAAATCCTCATCCTCCAATTCAGATCCTGTACATCTGACACACATACTGGACAAGGCTATCATGGTCATATACACAACAGATAAGCTGCAAAGCTGACCAAATAACACATCTCAACAATTAAATATTTCAAAGAATCAATTCTGGGAGTAGCTCATAAATTCTTATCGAAGATGTTGTTCCAGTTCTATCATTATTCAGGCAGGACCTGTTTCTCATCAATACATTCAATTTCCAGAATGTGTTTCATCCTTAAGAGCTCTCAAACATGACCTATGATAAACTGATACTATCTTGATACTAAAGCGATACTCAACTGATACTACACTGCTACAAACTCTCCTCACCTCCATGGACGCTTCCTCCTGCATCTTGCGGAACCTGTCCAGCTCGTCATTGAGTGTGTCGATGGTGGCCCGGTAATCTGAGTTGTGGTTCTGGCTGGCGGTGAGCTCGCCCCGGGTGACCTCGAGGTCCTCCCTGAGGTGCTCCATGTCCTGGTTCAGGCGCTTCACCTCCTGGGAGTGGCCACTGCGGGCCATCTGGAGGTCGGACTTCAGCTGCTCGATGGTCCGCAGGTGGTTCTTCACCTGGAGAACACAGTGCTTTGTGATTGACAGTAAACTTCCAATCATACAAACCAATCCAAAACCCTTCTACAAAACTGGTGCATTGACAAGCAGAAACTAATTAAATCATAATTCGTCAACATTTTTTGGACATGGAATTTACATATTGTTTTTTGATTCACAATTTGATGAACTGAAAAAATAATAAATCAATTATTATGAATCAGTGTTTAGATAAACATGTATCAAGGATCAGGATGGAATACATTACAAATTCTGTATAAATTTTAGCTAGCTAGTTTTTATTGTTTCCTCCCAGAGGGCAGAGAATGCCTTAAAATGGAATGTACAAATATATCCACTGACACAACCCATCATGCAGGAGTTGTCTCCCTCTAAATAAGTGGCTAACAGTCATCACCCTCAACATTACATCTATGTACAAAAAAATACTGCCGATGTTTCTATGTGTAAACTGCTGTATTTTATATCAGATAAATAAAGTGCGGATTATACTGTATAATATATCTGAAGGCATATTTGTATTCGGTAGCTTGTGCTTGATCCGCTTCCTATATCAAGGATTATACCATGATTAGATAAAATGAGTGTTCCTATATCAAGGATTATGCCATGATCAGATAACGTGAGTGTATATACTGGACATAATCAACAGATTCCTGTACTTCATCATACACATGGTAAATTATATGGAAAACATTCCCAAATCATGCAAGACTTGCAACCCTAGAAAAAATCATTTCATTCAGACATTTTGGCAGCAATATGAAAAAAAATGAATGAAATGAATAGCACCACATGCACGACTACTGTAAAAGATCAAAACCAAAACAAAAGGAAAAAGGACAAAATTCATAAGCTACAAAAATCCACACACCAACATCGATTGCTACACATGTGTCTCCTAACACCTCAAGTCTCCATACACTGCACCTACAGCATGCATGGCAAAGCTGGACACTCACAGTGACACACCAGTGCTGGACGTGCATTAGGCTTGATTCAGCGCTGTGCAGTTCATGACTGGGATCATAAAGGCTGATATATAGTTAAGTAACAACCAGGTCACAATGACCACCGCAAATAAGGACATAAAAGACATTCTGCAGAAGATTGTCCTGTCTGACTATTCATTCTGACCTGCACAATTTATGTGTATAAATAATCACGTAATCATCAGGTTAAAGAATATTCCTTTTTCCTGGGGCAAGAGAGTTAACTGACTTTAAAAGTCCAGTTTCCACCCTTGCCGAAACTAGGCTGGAATTACTGGGCTCGATCGTAGGCTGTTACCAGTTATGTACCTTCTAAGCCTCTCCTATTGGCCAATCAGATTTCACCTCTCGTATCATTTGCATTTGCTTCAAACAAAATGGCGGCGCCCAGTCAGAACGTTCTGATCGATAATCAAGACCTATATTGTGATAAAACAGGTCTTACATCGCGAAATGCATCAAATCATGTGAGCACCTTGACTAAAAACATGAAAAGATTTGGAAAATATCTGCTGACAATGAGTTGGCGGTGCACATGCTTTGCAAATCCTGCAATCGACCAAAATCTGCATGACAATTTACAAACCAGATTTCGATTTCGTTGCACGATTTTGATTGGACTATGCATAGACTCGTTAGTCCAGCCAAAATGTAACTCAATAATACCAGCCTATTTCGGCAAGGGTGGAAACTGGACTTTTATAGTCAGTTAACTAACCTGCCTCGGAAAGATGAGAATATTCAGTAATACTGTAAAAGCAAAATATTACTACTAATACGTTTCATCCTCTAAAACAAAATATTCCAAACAGTAAAACTAAATGAAAATATATTTCTTTGATTTGTTTGCTTTGTGGTTTGTTGTTTAATGCTGCACTCGGCAATATTTCAGCTATATGGAGACAGCCTGTTAATGATAGTCTGGACCAGACAATCCAGTGAGTGATATTGTGCACAACGATTGAGGTACAATGACACGCATTGAACCAAGTCACTGTGCCTGACCACCCAATCCATTTGGTCAGATCTTACGACCAGCACTGGTTGCTTAATTGGGACCAATCCTAACCTTGAATACCCATGGGTTCTCAAATTAGTCACCTCTGACGTCTAGCTATGGGATGCTGGGGACACACTACCCCATTTTCTCACTGGGGCACATTTCTATGAAATTTAGATATATCATTAGTAATATCAAAAGATTCCAAGAATAGCAAGTACGCCAACCAGTTCCATGCAGGTCAAGGACAAACAAGGATGAGGGGAGACAACTCTAACCAGTATCCACATGAACCAAGCCTTTACCATTGCAAGCAGTGAGACATATGGAGGATGCAGTAGACAACGTTACCTGTCATAGAGATTCGCAGCACACATTGCCTGTCATGCCCTCTGCTTGTCCTTACCCCTACATTATCAGTCAGTATCTCTCACTGACACGTGACTATTGGTGTAACGATTGACCAAACTATACCAACACACTACAAAAGTCCCCAGGCTCATTGCAATACATTAATGTTTCTTTATTGTTTAACACTGCACACAGATCTATTCCTGCTATATGATAGCGGCCTGTAAATAATCAAGTCTTGACCAGACAATCTAGTTGCTGGTATTGTGAGCAATGATCCACTCGATCAGGGTATGATGACACGCAGTCAACCAAGTCACCATGCCTGACAACCTGATCCATTTGGTCTCATCTACAACCAGCAAAGGTTACTGGGGATCAATTCTCACTGGTTGTCATTATGTTGAATAATGGAGGAACATCTACCCCATGTTGGAGGTTTTCAAATCACCATGATGGCAATTTTCATCATATTATTGAATGCAATTCTATCACTACTATTGCAATAGGCAAACAGCCACAAGTCCCCACAACATCAGTTCCTGTTTGTGGTTGTGATTTCTGTGCTGCTTTGAACACTATGTCAGCTTCAGGTAGGGGGAATCCAAAAGTGATGCAGGTACTAAACCTTTACCATTTGGTGAAAAAGTACAGTGAAGAGAAACCCAGGGACACAACAGTGGATTGCTGCACCCCAGTGGACCTGGCCACCCGTGCCCCACCCGTGCCCCACCCCAACACCAAAGTAAGGTTGTTTCGCTTGAAGGTTTCATAGTTAAGGAACACATGAACTGTGGACACATGTAAAACACAATTACTGCCCAAGAAATCAATTCAGCGTTTCGGTGCAAGTTAATTAAGCAGGTACAAGCACTCACAACAGTTGAAGCAAATCAACAGCTGATGATGATGATGATGATGATGATGATGATGATTACTAAATGATACACCATAGTAATGCCATATTTGATTGTATAAATGCCTGTTGAGTAATTTCACACAGACCTTGATGTAAAACAATACTTTCTTAATATGTTGATCAGCCCAAACCAAAGGTGATGAAATATCTTGAAATAGGTATCTATTTGTCTGTATTGGTTAAGAGGAGTTTTGTTTGTTCAGCACTCAGCAATGTTCCTGCCATATCATGGCGGGCTGTACAAATATGAGTCTGGACCAGACAATCCAGTGATTGATATCATGAGCATCGATCCACACAATTGGGATACGATGACATGCACCAACCAAGACAGCTAGCCTGACCACCCGATCCCGTTAGTCGCCTCTTATGACAAGCATGGGTTGCTTAAGACCTATTCCAACCCAAATCTTCACGGGCGACCAGCATGGGTTCCTGAAGACCTATTCCAACCCGAATCTTCACAAGGGACCAGCATGGGTTCCTGAAGACCTATTCCAACCCGAATCTTCACGGGGGACCAGCATGGGTTCCTGAAGACCCAAGTCTAACCCGGTTCTTCGTGGGTTTTCAGAGAAGTAAGGAAGAAAGGAAGGGTGTGTCTGACCTGACATCCAGGTACACCAGGGATAGTCATCAGGTCACCAAATATCTTTATTTCACAGTCAGAAAGAAATAATATTGGTCGAGTAAACTATCCTCTGCTATTTTGCTGTGTTCTGTTATCTTTTACCAACAGAAAAAAGCAATTGATGAAAACTATGGCTTTCCAACATTTGAAGAATTCAATCCTTGTTTCCAACAGTTACTACATAAAACATTCTTCCATACTTCCTATGCTAAACCAGTCCACCAACCCACAGTTTCAAGATACGATTTATAAATAAACCTGTGACACAATTTTAAAGACATAAAAAAGACTTGCTTATTAACATTTCCATCACATGTGAGGGAGTCAAACATGACCCCTCAGTTGCCGTGAATATTTAGTCTGAACTAGCAACCCAAGGAAACTTGGAACTAGAATAGAGAACATGGTGTTACCCCGAGATACTGTCTAATAGTGACATTATTGCATCGAGTACACAATGTATGTTAGAACCAGCAGTCAGTCAATGTACTGCATTCATAGTATGACTGAGTGGGGTGGGGGTGGTGGGTTGGTTCATGCTGTTTTGAACTGTTTCTGAGGTGAGGTGGGGTGAAACGGGGTTTAACGTCCCGTCCAAGATTATTGTACACATATGCAGGTGTGTGTGTGGCTGCTTGTACTAGTCCGGACTGATGCTGGTTTATACTGCTAGCCCACTGAGATACCATGCTGCAGTTTAACATGAATACCCCACTCAGACAACGAACACTGATTCCGAGCCAACCAGTTCTTGTTTTAGCCCCTTAATGCCGAACACCAGGCAGGATAACAACAAGTACCATCTTTTAACGTCTTTTGGTATGATGGGCAGGGGATCGAAACCCTTTCGCTCTCTGGGCGAACACTCTACCACTAGACCACAGGCGGTATGGAATAGGACAAAAGCCCAAGTTGTCAAAATTTACCAATTAAATGGAGGTAAATCTTGGATTTGAGCCCCTATTTACCAGACTCAGACACACAGCTAAGGGATGCAACTCTGCACGTAAAAGAGCACCCTCTGACCACAAGGGCCACCAGCGCATGGCTATCAAGAGTGAGTGAGTTGGGTTTCTAATGTCGCTTTGAACAGCATTCCAGTTACATTACAACTTGTCAGCTAAAAATGGGAGGAAAGCCCTAAGTGATGTAGGCCTCAGACGACTGGGCCACCCGTGTTCCCGGCTAGCCTAGACTGATGGTATGTAGGCTATAGCTGTAGTGTTGTACATGCTCATCTGGAGTTTCCATAACCTTGTGTCAGGGCTTTCGGGTAAAAACAATCATACTGCAACTTCTTTAGCCAATACAGAAACACTTTCACATACAAGAAATAATTTATTAAGAATATATATTTATCTACAAAGTACAAAGTGAAGTCAAGAGGGCATGAGGCAAGTGATGCTGAAGTCAGCTTAATTCGCCTCATCTGCCTACAAGGGGAAACAGAAGGTCAAGGTCAGAGTGGCGAAGAGGGTACAATGACACACAATTTCCCATTTAACTCACCTCGTAGCACCAGTTAAGTTGCTAGTAACTTAGTCACCCTTGGTAACAAATGTGTCCAAAGGTTGAAAGTCTTGTACGACATGTTAAATGTACATATCCTTAGATTGTGCTGCCGTTGACCCTGACCATCCCAACTGAGCAATACCCCCTGACAAATTCAACTGAGCACTATCACCTATAGGTATCCCTGATCCAACTAAACACTACCTCCTTGTAGGTACCCCTGATCCAACTGAGCACTACCACCTATAGGTACCCCTGATCCAACTGAGCACTACCACCTATAGGTACCCCTAACTCAACTGAGCACTACCCCCTGTAGGTACCCCTGATTCAACTGAGCACTACCCCCTGTAGGTACCCCTGATCCAACTAAACACTACCTCCTTGTAGGTACCCCTGACCCAACTGAGCACTACCCCCTGTAGGTACCCCTGATCCAACTGAGCACTACCACCTATAGGTACCCCTGATCCAACTGAGCACTACCACCTATAGGTACCCCTGACCCAACTGACCACTACCCCCTGTAGGTACCCCTGATTCAACTGAGCACTACCCCCTGTAGGTACCCCTGACCCAACTGAGCACTACCCCCTGTAGGTACCCCTGATCCAACTGAGCACTACCCCCTGTAGGTACCCCTGATTCAACTGAGCACTACCCCCTGTAGGTACCCCTGAGCCAACTGAGCACTACCCCTTGTAGGTACCCCTGAGCCAACCAACTGAGCACTACCCCCTGTAGGTGACCCCTGAGCCAACTGAGCACTACCCTCTGTAGCTACCCCTGATCCAACCAACTGAGCACTACCCTCTGTAGGTACCCCTGATCCAACTGAGCACTACCCTCTGTAGCTACCCCTGATCCAACCAACTGAGCACTACCCTCTGTAGGTACCCCTGACCCAACTGAGCACTACCCTCTGTAGGTACCCCTGAGCCAACCAACTGAGCACTACCCTCTGTAGGTACCCCTGATCCAACTGAGCACTACCCTCTGTAGCTACCCCTGATCCAACCAACTGAGCACTACCCTCTGTAGGTACCCCTGACCCAACTGAGCACTACCCTCTGTAGCTACCCCTGAGCCAACCAACTGAGCACTACCCTCTGTAGGTACCCCTGATCCAACTGAGCACTACCCTCTGTAGGTACCCCTGAGCCAACCAACTGAGCACTTCCCTCTGTAGGTACCCCTGATCCAACTGAGCACTACCCTCTGTAGGTACCCCTGAGCCAACCAACTGAGCACTACCCTCTGTAGGTACCCCTGATCCAACTGAGCACTACCCTCTGTAGGTACCCCTGATCCAACTGAGCACTCTACCTGCTGACCCAACCAACTGAGCACTACTTCCTGGAGGAGACCCTGACCTAACCAAGTGAGCACCTACCTCCTTGAGGCAACCCCTGACTCAACCAACTGAGCTCGACCTCCTTGAGGTTACCCCGGACCTACTGAGCACTACCTCCTTGAGGAGACCCCGACCCAACCCAGCACCTACCTCCTGCAGTGTGATCTCCTGGTCATGCTGGAGTTTCTGCACCTTCTTCTCATCGTTAGCAATCTGAAACACGGTGGAGTGTGTGAGTGAGTAAATGTTGTTTTATAACACACTCAGCAGGATTCCAGATTCATAACAGCATCCTGTCAATAACCCAGTCTGGACCAGACAAAATGAGTGGTTTATTGTATAGTATAAGCAAAGATTTGTCATACAATCAACCAGGTCACACATCAAGTACTTGGGATCTATATTGACTGTCCACAAACAAGTTGGCAAGGCATGACTAGTAATACATAACCCTCTCAAAAAGCAGATCTCATGCTGGGTGCTCCACCAAATTATTTGACCATTTTGACATGATCTTCTCCAGGACACCTTAATGCAAGTAATCATATGCTAATCCAACATACAGGACACATAATGTGTGGACAGAGTTGGTCCATACCCGCTGCTCGTTGGCTTCTATGTGAGAGTTAAGTCCTCTGATCTCCTGCTGCATCTGTTTGATCTTTGCGTTGAGCCGCTGAACCTCGTCCTCCCTGATGTTCAGCTGCGGAAATACAAGAGTGGGTGAGTTATTTACAGCTGTGTGGGTGAGTTGCAGCTGTGTGGTGTGTGGGTGAGTTACTTACAACTGTGGTGTGTGGGTGAGTTACAGCTGTGTGGTGTGGTGTGTGGGTGAGTTACTTACAGCTGTGTGGTGTGTGGGTGAGTTACTTACAGCTGTGTGGTGTGTGGGTGAGTTACTTACAGCTGTGTGGTGTCTGCGTGAGTTACTTACAGCTGTGAGGTGTGTGGGTGAGTTACTTACAGCTGTGTGGTGTGTGGGTGAGTTACTTACAGCTGTGTGGTGTGTGGGTGAGTTACTTACAGCTGTGTGGTGTGTGGGTGAGTTACTTACAACTGTGGTGTGTGGGTGAGTTACAGCTGTGTGGTGTGTGGGTGAGTTACTTACAGCTGTGTGGTGTGTGCGTGAGTTACTTACAGCTGTGTGGTGTTTGGGTGAGTCACAGCTGTGTGGGTGAGTCACAGCTGTGTGTTGTGTTGGTGAGTTACAGCTGTATAGTGTGCGGATAAGTCACAGCTGTGTGGTGTGTGGGTGAGTTACTTGCAGCCCTGTTACACTTGGATTTAGAAGTTCCTTTCTCTTGCTGTTCCGCCTCCTAAATAATGTAGGTAGTTCATTTCTAACTTTTGCTGAGATTTCCTATGTCTACATGCATGTATGTGTTACAGTGTGACAGTATGTCTGATATCTCACCTCATCCGTGGTTCCACTATATTTTTGTTGTGTGGTGTCCAGATCTGTCTGAAGTCTCAGGATTACCTGGTCACGATTTGCAACCTGTAACAAAATCACAAATCAGAATTCAAAATCCATGACATGTCCATGAAATACTAGCTGATCATATCTGATCCCACAATCTTCCAGGAGATGGTGAAGTCCAGCTCAATCTGATGCATCTTCTACCTCCCTCCTTCCTTCTCCCCCTTCCCTCCCTCCTTCCTCCTTACCTCTTTCTGGCAGGTCCTGTGTTTCTCCTGGGAGATGGTGAGGTCCAACTCTATCTGATTCATCTTCTACCTCCCTCCTTCCATCTCCCCTTTCCCTCCCTCCCTCCCTCTCCCTCACCTCCTTCTGGCAGGTCCTGTGTTTCTCCTGGGAGATGGTGAGGTCCAACTCTATCTGATGCATCTTCTACCTCCCTCCTTCCTTCTCCCCCTTCCCTCCCTCCTTCCCCCTTACCTCTTTCTGGCAGGTCATGTGTTTCTCCTGGGAGATGGTGAGGTCCAACTCTATCTGATTCATCTTCTACCTCCCTCCTTCCTTCTCCCCCTTCCCTCCCTCCTTCCTCCTTACCTCTTTCTGGCAGGTCCTGTGTTTCTCCTGGGAGATGGTGAGGTCCAGCTCTATTTGATGCAGCTGTTCCTGCAGCTGGCTGATGTCCTGGCTGCTGCGGTGCGTGGTCTCGTTCAGCTGGGAGTTCTCCGTCTTCAGTTTCACAATGTCATCCTCCTGCTTCAACATCTGCCACACAGAAAACACAGAGTGAGTGAGTGAATGGATAGTGTATCCATGACAACATCTGCCACACAGAAAACACAGAGTGAGTGACTGAATGGATAGTGTATCCATGACAACATCTGCCACACAGAAAACACAGAGTGAGTGGCATATACATCTAAGTTGTATCATAGTCATCTCCAATGTGCCAGAAGGCTGGAGTGAGTGAGTGAATGCCGATTTTAACATTATTCCAGTCATATCACGGCGTGTCAGCTTGATGTAGGAGGAAAGCCCGAAGTGATGGCAGGTCTCAGACGTTTATTACTTTGGTGAAACCCACAAACTCAGTTATGGTGCTGACAAACCAAGAAATATAATCAGGGCAAACCAGGATTCGAACCCACGATTATTGGTTTCTGGTTTGTCCAAGGGACATAACTCTGCACAGTGAATTGCTGAGCCTTAGACATATGTGTGCTTGTGCATGTGTATATGTGTGTGCGCATTTGTGTGTGCGTGTGTGCATTTGTGTGCATGCATGTATGTGTGTGTAGTGTGTGTATGCGTATGTGCGTGTGTGTATGTTCGTGTGCATGTGTGCGTGCGTGCGCATGGCCTCACCTCGTTGTAGCAGGAGGAGTACTGTGTCTGGGACTCCATGAGGTCCTCCTGCAGCTGCTTGATGGTCATCTCCCTCCCCCGCACCTGCAGCACACCCACAGTACTAGCCACGTGATACAGAACAGGGCCACTCGTGGAGCAGCATTTTAAAATATTTGATCCATAGGACCTCATAAAGAATATGGCTCTCCCCAAAAATGTGGAGAATATAATTTTTAATAGATGAGTTAGTGAGTTAAAATTTAAAGTCATGAGTGCGGATTCAGCCGTATTTCAGCTATATTGTGACATTATTGAATGAGCAAATGCTGTATGACATCACAGTCAGCATTATTCCAGCAATATTCTAACACCCTGGAAGTAAGCAAGGTAACCCAGTGACTGATAGCATGAGCAACCATCCTAATGGCGGTAATATAATGACACAACCAGCCAGGGTACAAACTGTAACTGGGCGTCATCAATCGGCCTTAATGATAAACATGGGTACTGGGGACTCATTCTTCCCAGGAATCCCAAGCAAGGTTATATACACTGTCATGTGTTCCTCTTTACTCCCTCAAGTAGTATTTATTTTCAAACCCCAGAACTTCTACTTCCACTCACATCGTCCTCGGCCCTCTTGCGCGTGTCGTCCAGGTCGATGTGACAGTGGGTCACCGTGTCCTGCAGCTTCTTGATCAGGTCGGAACTCTTCTGAATCTGAAACAACAAATAATACAGTCTCTCCTCCACATGCTTGTCTCCCTGGCAACCAGATGAAGACAGGCGCGTCACATCAAAACACTTATAGGGGACATTTGCCACTGAAACACACACTGCCTTTGGAATCGTCCAAATTTCTGGATTAACAAATAATGTCACAAACAGTAATGTCTTTCCTGACCTAAACATATAGCCAGTTCATTGAAGAACAGTCTGGGTTACCAAAGCCTTAAGGGTTAACTATTCCATTACAGAATTTACACACATGTATCATTAAATGACTTTTATGACAATGACTTGAAAGTTGTGGCATGATAGTGCCCTGGTTCTGTAGCTCACCTATGTGTATTCAACCGTTTACAATGTTAACAAAGGCAATGAGGTCACTTGACTTTCAGTCAGGTGAGCTAACATAACTGAACTAAGCTCCAACAGAAAAATACTGAAATGTAGTAGAACATTCACTCCTGAGAAGCTGATTACATGACATTGAGATCAAGGTGGCAGCATGACCATTACCTGTACATACAAGTATTTGCCAATAGTTGTAACACTATACAGTACATACCTCATGGACATATTCAGTTTCATGGACGCCTTCTCAAATGTCTATTCTTACATCCCTGTTACCATTAGTATTATGTTCAAGTGGTCACATCAGTTACACTGGACACCAAACCCTTACACAAGATAATGATGTCAACTAAAACAGCGAGTCCGAGCCAGTTAGTTGCCTCTTAGAAAAAGCATGGAGGATTGTGGAAGACCAATTCTAACCTGGATCATCACAGGCCCCATTCCACAAAGCCAGCGATAGAAACTAACATTTTTAGTCCACTAGTCCTTACAATGATAACATATAGCAAAACCCTTAAAATGGCAAATGTCTACTAGTCCTTATGATACCTTTACTATTGGGCAGTTTGGCAAGGACTACAGGACTAGTGCCAATTTCTAATGCTGCAAAGCTATCTTAGCGGTAAAGTGATCGTAACTCCCATACTTAACACAGGCTTACGATAAACATGGTGAAGGCAATGATGAGACTGACAAGATAACAAAGGCCAAGCAATACTGTGACAAGGTTAGTACATGCAGTAATTCCCCCACCACAAGCCGGTCTGTCTGCAGTGTATCAACATGGACCCGAACCAAAACAAGTTACCTTAAACACATATATCATTTGTGTTAGAAAATGCATACCAAAAACATATGTGACACAGGCTAAATATATCTAGTTGTTAATTAATTCAAAATTAAAGTAATATGTTTTTAACAAGATACCTTCTTAAACAACAAGTTTGTTAAATTTGAATGCAGATAGGACCATCATTTTGTTTGTTTGTTGTACAATAGTGCAATATTCCAGCTATATGACAACGGCCTGTAAATAATAAAGTCTGGACAAGACAAACCAGTGATAAATATTATGAGCCACGATCCACACAATCGGGAACATTGACACACTATAATAGCAGTTGGTTGGTTGGTTTGTTGTTTAATGCCGCACTCAGCAACATTCCAGCTATATGATGGCGGTCTGTAAATAATTGAGTCTGGACCAGACAATCCAGTGATTGACAACATGAGCATCGATCAACGCAAATGGGACCGATGACATGCATCAACCAAGTCAGCTAGCCTAACCTTCGATCCCGTTAGTTGCCTTTTACGACAAGCATATTCGCCTTTTTCAGCAAACATGGGTTGCTGAAGACATATTCTACCCTGGATCTTCACGGGTCTATAAAAGCAGTCAGCGAGTCTGACCGTCGCCTTGTACAACAAGTTTGGGTTGCTGTGGACCAACTCTCTCTAGAATGCCCATGGGGGTCAGTTTGTGTGGAGACAAAATAATAAGTTTGAGACAACTACTTCTGTAATATAACAAGAGTCAACTGTTTTAATGATCTAACATACTACAGCAACCTTTATCATCTAACTACATGCTGTAACCATATATATATATACTCTCAATCACTACAATACAGGTATAATGAATACATATTGCAAACAAACAACTTGAAATTTCTACTATCACCATGGGTTCAAGGACTTTGGGAAACACCATTGTGTGGAAACTGGGACCAAGTGACTATCACCAGGGACCATTCTTGTGTTCATGTGACACACAGATATAGATCCAGAACTACATGATCAAATGGTTCATGTGAGATTTAATATCTAGTTTATCCTGTTTGTGTAAAATTATATTTATTTTCTTATTGGATTCTCATAGAAACAGCCAAATCAAAACAGTAATGCTCATGGCCAAAAAAATGAGTACATCTCTGCTGAAGAACATCGATTTTAAAGAATGTTCAAATATTTCTGGTAGATGAGACTGAAATGGGCGTGCTTAAATGAGGGAAAAGCTTTGGGAGTGCTTAAGTTACCATTGACATGAGGGGCTTTGATGAGGGCAAAGCTATGGGAGTGCTTGAGGTACCATTGACATGGGGTGCGTTAATGAGGGCAAAGCTATGGGAGTGCTTGAGGTACCATTGACATGGGGAGCGTTAATGAGGGCAAAGCTATGGGAGTGCTTGAGGTACCATTGACATGGGGTGCGTTAATGAGGGCAAAGCTATTGGAGTGTTTGAGGTACCATTGACATGGGGAGCGTTAATGAGGGCAAAGCTATGGGAGTGCTTGAGGTACCAATGACATGGGGTGTTTTAATGAGGGCAAAGCTATGGGAGTGTTTGCGATACCATACAGGTGACAATGCTTTGTGGTGGCAAAGCTGTGGGCGTGTTTGAGCTACCAATGTCATGGGGTGTTATAATGAGGGCAAAGCTGTAGGCGTGCTCGAGCTACCAATGTCATGGGGTGTTATAATGAGGGCAAAGCTGTAGGCGTGCTTGAGCTACCAATGTCATGGGGTGTTTTAATGAGGGCAAAGCTGTGGACGTGCTTGAGCTACCAATATCATTGGGTGTTTTAATATGAGGGCAAAGCTTAGGCTGTGTTTTTACTACCATCTGTGTGACATTTTTGTGAAGGCAAAGCTGTGGACGTGCTTGAGTTACCATACATGTGACATGCTTGGTGAAGGCAAAGTGCTTGAGTTACCATACCTGTGACAATGCTTTGTGAAGGCAAAGCTGTGGGAGTGCTTGAGTTACTATACATGTGACATGCTTGGTGAAGGCAAAGCTGTGAGAGCGCTTGAGTTACCATACATGTGACAATACTTTGTGAAGGCAAAGTGCTTGAGTTACCATATATGTGACATGCTAGGTGAAGGCAAAGTGCTTGAGTTACCATACATGTGACAATGCTTTGTGAAGGCAAAGCTGTGGGAGTGCTTGAGTTACCATACATGTGACAATGCTTGGTGAAGGCAAAGTGCTTGAGTTACCATACATGTGACAATGCTTTGTGCAGAGAAGGTGCCACTGTGGCAGCTGGGTGAGTGGTCAGTATTGCATGGTGATTAAACATGGACACACATACATGGCAATCTAAGTAAACCACACGTACCTCCGTCGAGCATGAATGTAACTGGAATCAAGAGTTGACGTTAACCAGGGGAAGCTTCTACATGTACCTACAGGCTTGACTGTCCAACTAAGGGATACACAGTGAGTGGCAGTCAATCCATCACAGCTACCAGTAACCCAGTCCGAACCAGACAAACCAGTAGCAGTGATCAAGTCCTACAGGTGGACTGACTGACAGATCAGCAGGTTGAGTGGATCTCAACATAATCGTGACAAAGTCCACACTCAGGAAATGTGTCTATGAAGGATCATCTCTAGGAACTTAGAATTCCCCCAAATCATCATGACAGTGAAGGATAAAAAAACACTTTGTACAGATGTTATGCAGGGTTATTTTTGATTAAACCATCCTATTGGGTCAATTACAACAATCCCATTGATCATATTGATTTGGTAAATAGCTGTCCAATTTTATTTTATAATTGATCTTTGAAAACATGAACATAAATTTAAAACTAATAACATGAATTTGAAAACAACAACATGAATTTGAAAACAGCAACAAGAATTTAAAAACAGCAACATGAATTTGAAAACAGCCAATAATGTTTCATAAAAATTCTCACTGAAAATGGTTCTTCCCTATCTACTCTCTGAAATATTAAATCAAAACTTAAATTCAAGTATCTTGTGTCTAAAACCTACGCTTAAAACCCTTCAAAACTTATTTTCAATAATTCTTGCATTTAATTTGGTAAACCTGCTGTAGGACACTTTGATGCTTGAATGTGATATAGTGTCAAATAGACTCAAATAGTGTCCAATAGACTCATATAGTGTCAAATAGATTTAAATAGTGTCAAATAGACACAAATAGAGTCAAATAGTGTCCATAACACAGCCAGCCATTTCTCTACATTACGGTTAATGACACATACCTCGCTGACTTTCTCCTGGTGTTTTGCCTTCAACTTGCCGATGTCTGCATTCAGTCTCTGGATGTTTTCATCTCGGACCAACACCTGGGATTCAAAGTTGAAATAGTGAACCTTAAAGGGCAAGTTCACACGGAAATGAACCTATTTTTCTTGTACTTTTTCCACATTAAAAGTATTAACCTAGTAGTGTCATAGACAAAAATATAAAAATATCACAATTAATTAACACATTTTTTGCATTAAAACGATTGATATTTTTAACATTTACCAAGTGTTCTATTTTCATAACAAAAACACCATGGCTTATGCCCCTTGCAATATGACTTCATTGGTGCCAATTGATAAACATTATGACGTCATCATGCTATGTTAGAGCCGCTTCACGTGGTGTAGGTACAGGTGTGTGATTCAAGCGTCTCAGATGCCAGCCAGCATAGTGTTATGCTGAGTCACCACTGCGCCGGGGTGTGTCGTAGGCCATGTTGTTTTACCGCAAACTGGTACTTGATATCTTTTGCGTTGAGAATAGACAGGGATCCAGTTGAATTGGCACCAATTACGTCATAATCTAAGGGGGATAACTCAGACCTGTTTAGCTCGAAAAACGAAGGCCTCATAACGGCATATCATTTTCACACTATTGTGAGCTTCCTACATTCACTGTGAAAAAAAATGAGTTTACATTTTCAAACACAGATATTAACTAATTCTAAAATTGTGTTTTGTTTAGAAAAAGAAAGAAAGTGATTTTTGTGTGTACACTTCCCCTTTAATGAGTTGAATTACTCTTAAGGGGGAGGTAAGCTTTAAAAGTGAGCCAGGTTGTAGAGGTTTAGTACTTAGGTTAGACCCATACGGACAGCCATGATGGTGTCAAACAGAGTGGATATTGGACTCGAACCTATGAATAGCGGATCCTGGCATGAGTACAGGAGACAACTTGGTGACCCTTACACAGAGGAACCTCTTGTAACATGAGGCCTTTGTTTAATTGGTTTGCGGATCCTCTGACCCAAAATACTGAGAAAATGAAAAAGTAATATAAATATTTTTTTTATTTTTTTTTTATCATTGCTAACCAGGTTAATGTTTGTACTAGAATGTAAGAAGTATTTCTGGAACCTTGTAATGCAGTAACAAGACTACTTTTCCATCAAAAGTTGCTACTTTGCATAAGGAATTGCTTCAGGCTTGTCATGTCAGATATTTGGTATTATAGATTTTTCCCTGAGCAGTACTTCATAATGACTTACGGATTATTGGATGTTTCCTACAGGTTGTTCGTTTTGGTCACTGCTTCATGATAGACATTGCTTTTCAGCAAGGAGCTTCCAAAAAAAATCTGTTTTTTACCCACAACACATTTTTTATTAGAACATCCACTGAACTTCTTTTTTGGGTAACACCTGAGCCTTTAATATTTTTTTTACTAAAAAAATAATTTGTTGACAGAAAAGCCAAGGATCCAACACTGAAGGATATCAGATGGTAAGACAGAAGCCTAAAGCTGCAAGATGTGTCGTCAAGGAGATGCTGTGATGCCTACCTTGTTGACCGTCTCCTTCTGCTGCCGCTGCAGCACCTCCACATCCCCGCGCAGCTGCTGGATTACGTTGTCCTTCGTGTCAATCTGATAACACCAACAACACCAGGTCACCACCAACACACGTTCACCACCAACACTAGGACCAACACACCTTCACCACCAACAATAGGACCAACACACATTCATCTCCAACACTAGGACCAACACGCATTCACCACCAACACTAGGACCAACACACGTTCACCACCAACACTAGGACCAACACACCTTCACCACCAACACTAGGACCAACACACCTTCACCACCAACACTAGGACCAACACACCTTCACCACCAACACTAGGACCAACACACCTTCACCACCAACACTAGGACCAACACACCTTCACCACCAACACTAGGACCAACACACCTTCACCACCAACACTAGGACCAACACACGTTCACCACCAACACTAGGACCAACACACCTTCACCACCAACACTAGGACCAACACACCTTCACCACCAACACTAGGACCAACACACCTTCACCACCAACACTAGGACCAACACACCTTCACCACCAACACTAGGATCAACACACCTTCACCACCAACACTAGGACCAACACACCTTCACCACCAACACTAGGACCAACACACCTTTACATCCAACACTAGGACCAACACACCTTCACATCCAACAGTAAGACCAACGCACGTTCACCACCAACACTAGGACAAACACACCTTCACATCCAACAGTAGGACCAACACACATTCACCTCCAACACTAGGACCAACACACGTTCACCACCAACACTAGGACCAACACACCTTCACCACCAACACTAGGACCAACACACCTTCACCACCAACACTAGGACAAACACACCTTCACCACCAACACTAGGACAAACACACCTTCACCACCAACACTAGGACCAACACACATTCACCACCAACACTAGGACCAACACACCTTCACCACCAACACTAGGACCAACACACCTTCACCACCAACACTAGGACCAACACACATTCACATCCAACACTAGGACCAATACACCTTCACCACCAACACTAGGACCAACACACCTTCACCACCAACACTAGGACCAACACACATTCACCACCAACACTAGGACCAACACACATTCACCTCCAACACTAGGACCAACACACATTCACCTCCAACACTAGGACCAACACACGTTCACCTCCAAAACTAGGACCAATACACCTTCACATCCAACACTAGGACCAACACACCTTCACCACCAACACTAGGACCAACACACATTCACCTCCAACACTAGGACCAACACACCTTCACATCCAACACTAGGACCAACACACGTTCACCTCCAACACTAGGACCAATACACCTTCACATCCAACACTAGGACCAACACACGTTCACCACCAACACTAGGACCAACACACCTTCACCACCAACACTAGGACCAACACACATTCACCACCAACACTAGGACCAACACACCTTCACCACCAACACTAGGACCAACACACCTTCACCACCAACACTAGGACCAACACACCTTCACATCCAACAGTAGGACCAACACACCTTCACCACCAACACTAGGACCAACACACGTTCACCAACAACACTAGGACCAACACACCTTCACATCCAACACTAGGACCAATACACCTTCACATCCAACACTAGGACCAACACACCTTCACATCCAACACTAGGACCAACACACCTTCACATCCAACACTAGGACCTCCAACACTGACAATCCATATTGACAAGCAAATTGGGCAAAAATTGGTAGTAGGTGAAATGGGTGAGAAAGAGAGAGATAGTGCGGTTTTACGCCACTTTTATCAATATTTCAGCAATATCACGATGGGGGAGACAAATTGGTAATTTGTAATATGTTATTATTGGCAATATGTTTAGTCATTGGATATATGTTTAGACATACACATGAAAAACAGAAAACAGCTGTTATGTTGCCACTGAAAATATTTTTGTAATCTTGTGATGTTTGCATTCATTATCTAGCCAAAATGTAAACATGCAAATTAATATAGATACTTTCTACATGGTCAGTGTATCAACAAACACATACTTCACATGCAGAATACATCAGAGGTGCAACTAGGACACTTTCTTAGCTAGGTAGGATGCGACTGCTGTAGAGCTGAAGCAACTTACTGTATGGCTGAAGTTGTCGACCTGAGCATTGATGGAAGTGACCTCTATGCTAAGTTCCCGGACCCTGTCCTCCAGGCGAGCCACCTCGTCCAGGTGAGCTACGTTCCGCTTCTTGGCCTCCTCCAGACTGGTCTCCAGGTTCTGCATCGCCGCCTTCTTCGTGTCAATCTGAACACAACAGTAGAGTGAGTGAGTGATGGAATGTTGCTGCGGGCGTCAGTGAGCGATATCACAGAAATCTGACAGACATATATTACAGTAGCCTCATTATTCCTGGAACACTCAGTGACAGAATGTTGCAGTATGCAAGACAGGGTTCGGCTGTTAGGAGTGACCTTGACCTTCAACATTCACCAATCATATGCCAGAACAGTTCCTTAAAGCAAAAATATGAGGTGCTACACATCTGAAGTCTCATTACCATGATTGTGAGTGAGTGAGTTAGGTTTAACCCCGCTTTTAACAGTATTCCAGTTATATCGAGGCGTGTCAGCTTAATGTGGGAGGAAAGCCCAAAGTGATGCAGGTCTCAGATGTTTACCAATTCAGTGAAACCCACGAGCACGGGTATGGTGCTGACAAACCTAGAAACATAATTGGGGCGAACCGGTATTCGAACCCACAATCATAGGTTTCTGGCGTGCCCAAGGGACGCAACTCTGCAAAGCGAATCGCGGCGCCTTAGACGACTGGGCCACCCGTGCCCCCAACAATACCATAATGCCAATACCATCTGATATATGATCAAATGATCAATAGTGTAACCTTGACATTCAACACAACCATGACATATGACAAGCGTTGACTTAGCCATTTAAATTAAATTTTCACTGTGATATTGTCTTATTTACTTGTGATTTAAACTAGAAAATTCCTGAGGTTTGAGCAATGTTTTGCGATGGGAACTCTTGTGGAACCTTGACTTTATATATAAGTCACAAAAAACTGATGCAACTGAGAGCCCTCCCTCGAGTTTTGGTTAAAAGTAGCAGTTATAAATACCCAAGTCATCATTCATACAAGTTTTGTTGATGCCTAATTCACCGAGTCACCTTGACCTTCAATGTCACCCAATTACATGTCAGAAAGGTTCCCCAGGGGTATATGAGAGCTATTACAGGAATGAAATCTCTTACATATTTTGGTTGTGAAAATTTCAAGCCAACACATCAAGCAGCCCACCTTATCATGTCCATAGGGGGCTCTAGGCCTAGACATGAAACAGGCACCAGATGACGGTACATTTCACGTCTTTACCTGGTTGAATCAAACCACAGGCTCAAGAAATGGTCCCAGTTCTGACGGACCACACTTATGACACTGCCAAAATATACAGAGACCTTTACACCTGCATTTAGGTTCGGGTGTACAGCAGTCAAAGTTAGGTGAGGTGAGGTGAAATGGGGTTTAACGTCGCGTCCAAGATTATTGCACTTATATAGCGACGTGCATGTACGTGTGTGTGTTTGTGTGGCTGCTTGTACTAGTCCGGACTGATGCCGATTTATAGTGCTAGCTCACTGAAATACCATGCCGCAGTTTAACATGAATACCCCACTCAGACACAGTATACTGACTCCGAGCCGACCAGTCCTTGTTTTAGCCCCTTAATGTCGAGCGCCAGACAGGGTAACAACAAGTACCATCTTTTAACCTCTTTTGATATGACGCGACCGGGGATCGAACCCCGGACCTTCCGCTCTTCAGACCACGGAGGCGGTCCAGTGAAAGTAAGACTAACTGGAACATGAATCATGGTACATACCTCATTATGTGCTGACCGAAGCTGTACCTTCAGTTGTTCGATCTCTCTGCTCATCTGGGACACCTGATGATGAAAAGGACAGACACATAACGTAAGTGAACAAGTGAATGGTGGATGGCTTCAAATAGTCAGCAATATCCCTATTACATCATAGTGTTGGTTGGTTGGTTGTTTAACGCCGCACTCAGCAATATTCCAGCTATATGACGGCGGTCTGTGAGTGAGTGAGTGAGTATGGTTTTACGCCGCTTTTAGCAATATTCCAGCAATATCACGGCGGGGGACACCAGAAATGGGCTTCACACATTGTACCCATGTCGGGAATCGAACCCGGGTCTTCGGCGTGACGAGCCAACGCTTTAACCACTAGGCTACCCGACCGCCCCCGGCGGTCTGTGAATAATCAAGTCTGGACCAGACAATCCAGTGATTGACATCATGATCATCATTCCACGCTATTGGGATACGATGACATGCATCAACCAAGTCAGCAAGTCTGACCACCTGATCCCGACAGTCACCTCTTACGACAAGCATAGTCGCCTTTTACGGCTAGCATGGGTTGCTGAAGACCTATTCTAACCCGGATCTTCACAGGTCTACATCATAGTGGGATATAAAGACCATAGAGCATTGGCCAGGCAAACCACTGGTTGATAGTGTGAGCACATGCATCATCCATTGTGACCATCTGATCCACACATGTTCCTTCAAGAATTATGTTTAGTACCCCCCCCCTAGGGTTGGGCATTGAAGGTCTAAAGTGTATCACAATATTTTGCAACGCACAAGGCTGCATTGCGATATGTATCACGATACATTGTATAATTCTAAATTCTTCATTCAGATCAATCTGATACACTAAGGTGTAAACTGAAGTTCATAAATGGAACAAAACAAGATGCTGGAGTGAGTGAGTGAGTGAGTTTGATTTTACGCCGCTTTTAGCAATATTCCAGCAATATCACGGCGGGGGACACCAGAAATGGGCTTCACACATTGTACCCATGTTGGGAATCGAACCCGGGTCTTCGGCGTGACGAGCAAACGCTTCAACCACCAGGCTACCCGACCGCCCCCACAAGATGCTGGAACAACATGATGTTTACTCATTCAATAAATACACAGCCATCTTGGAGCCCTGGATGCCCGCTCCTGGGCAGTGAAGGCTTTTGGCAAGTATATAACATTAAACACATGATAACAACCCATATTTGAAATCAGCTGATATATTGAGCATGAAAAAATGATATTGTGATATGTACTGTGGAAAGAATGAATCTCAATTTACCAATATACCGGTAATACCTCGCAACCCTAGAACCCCCAATTATCTCCACACGGGGAAACAAGCAATAAGGTCGTTATCAGAAAATGAAGTACCATGACTTCTTTCCTCTGTACTTATGTGGTGTTGATTCAAAAGAATTGGGGTTTAACGTCGCGTCCAAGATTATTGCACTTATATAGCGACGTGCATGTACGTGTGTGTGTGTTTGTGTGGCTGCTTGTACTAGTCCGGACTGATGCTGATTTATAGTGCTAGCTCACTGAGATACCATGCCGCAGTTTAACATGAATACCCCACTCAGACACAGTATACTGACTCCGAGCCGACCAGTCCTTGTTTTAGCCCCTTAATGCTGAGCGCCAGACAGGGTAACAACAAGTACCATCTTTTAACGTCTTTTGGTATGACGCGGTGGGGGAGGGAACCCCGGACCTTCCGCTCTCCGGGTGGATGATTCTGAGGAAATAATTATCAACACCAAACGTATGGTGTATTTCCACTGGGAAGGCACAGAGTTTAACATAGAAGCTGTGTCCAGTCACTGAAGCTCACCTTCTCCTCGTATCTACTGTTGACTTCCTGTAGACTGAGCTGTTCCATCTTCAGCTTCTTGATGGCTTCCTCACGACGCTTCACCTGCAGGACAATAGTTTGTTTATTTGTTTGTTTGTTGTTTAACGCCACACTCAGCAATATTCCAGCTATATGACAGCGGTATGTAAGTAATAGGATCTGGACCAGACAATTCATGTTGATATCATGAACATCGATCCACGCAATTGGGATGCCATGACATGCATCAAGCAAGTCAGCGAGCCTGACCACCCGATCCCATTCGTCACCTTTTACGACAAGCATGGGTTGGTGTAGAGCTATTCTAGCCCAGATCTTCACGGGCCAAGGACAATGGAGATACATGACAACTCTCCACCTGCCTCCACATCTACACAGTGAAGGCCAGCATGCGGGTCAATACAACACATGCCCAGTAACAGCCAAAAGGTATTGCACAACACCGGTATTTTTCCAATTGTCAAGGTTTAACACTGAGCCTGTTTAGATAAAAAATGATAATAATAATAATAATAATAATAATAATAATAATAATAATAATAATAATGATAATAATAATAATAACAATAATAATAAAAAAATAAAAAAATAAATAAAAATAATAAGTGCATTTATAATGCGCCAGATTCCATTCATTAAGTGGATGCTCAAAGCGCTACACTATTATTACCCTGGTCAATGGATCTGTGAGCACACGATTTTCATTCTCAGCTCCCTGGGGAGTATACAACCGAAGCTGCCTGTGAGGCGCTGGAAGGTTAACAGCCACATTACCATCACATCCTACCGGGTACATGCAGTTAGCCAGTTACATCTACTAATTTCAGTTTGAAATGTAGTGTGTGTGTACCCACCTCAGTGTTGAGTACATCCTGTTCACTCTGAGCGTTGATGGCGAAGGCCTGTATCCGGGCCTCGAGGCGCCCGTTCTCCTCCACGGCCTCCTTGTACAACTCCTTGGCGTGGGACAGGTCCTGGGACAACTGTTGAAGAGTTATCTCCTTCCTTGACAACTACAACATAGAAGGAAGATATGATTACATTTCTTGATGTCAGATTTTGCAGTCATACGCTAATCATAAACAAGCATGAAACACTCATATCCCCTGGAAATATGACATGTCCAGCTGTGTGCAAGGCAAGAAGTACTGTCCGTTTTTTTAAAGTTATTTTCTGGCAAGGAGCACTACCGCCATTTTCATGCTAAGTCAAAGTCATTGAAAAGGAAACTTGAATGATAAACTTTCAAAAAATCCCAAACTATTTAAGGCACCAGTTCACATCTAGACCTACACTATAGACCTATCTATGTGCCAAGATTGTTTAAGTTATCTCTCACGATTTTTTAGTTCTGCTCTGGAAACGAAACTTGATGGATTGAAGGATTGAAGGATGGAAAGGTGGAAGGATGGAAGGACGGACGAACAGCACCCATTCCCATATCCCCTTCCACTTCAAGACGGGGGATAAAATTTTTAAACATTTCTACAAAGGATTCGTAAACTAGTTACTCATCCAAGGACCTGTATCTTTGACGTTTTTTGTTTACTATCTCTGTAAATACACAATACAAGGGGTCATCTTTTTAAGTGCTTGTCCTGAACATTCAAGTCCTTTAAAATATATAATTCAGCAGTACAGTGATAGAACAATATTTTCATAACCCTTCTTCTTCAAAGCATGTCTTCGTGATATGACCACCTGTTTCTATAACGGCCACCCATCCCCACAATAACAGCTAGTAACTTGAAGCCAAGCAGTACAAGACTTCATGAATCCAAACATCAGTTCACTCACACTGTCCTCCAATTTGCGCCTGTCCTCGGCAACATTCATGAGATCAATGTCGGTCTTCTGCAGCGTCGTCTCCTTGTTGGTGAGCTCATCCTGGATCTCATGTAGCTGGCGATGGACTCGGCTGATCTGCTCGTCTCGCGACATCAGCTGTAGGAAAGAGAGGATTAAAGTCACTTTGTTTCCAACTTACCGAGGCAAGAGAGTTCACCGACTGTAAAAGTCGAGTTTCAACCCTTCCTGAATAAGGCCTGAATTTCTGGGTTTGATCATAGTGCCACCAGTGGCTATTACAAATTATGTCCATTCTATGTCCCTCCTATTGACCAATCAGATTCCACCTCTCATATCACTTGAATTAGCTCCAAACAAAGTGGCAGCCGAGTGATCTGATCTGAGTGATGATCAAGGTCTTTATTGTAATAAAACGTCTTACTTTGTGAAGTGCATCAAATCATGTGAACACCTTGATAAAAATCATGAAAAGATTTGGAAAATATCTGTTGCTGCTGGTACACATGCTTTGCACGGCAGTGTACAAACCAGATGTTGATTTTGTTACGTGATTTTCATTGGACTATGCATAGATTAGTTAGTCCAGCCAAAATATAACTCCATAATTCAATGGATTCCAGATAATCTGAGTTTTCCATACCCTCCTCCGGTCGACCCAACACACTGACAGTGATAGTGCTGTAGTCCACGGTTGTCACTGATCTGACTATGGAAGTTGTTACCCCTGCCTATTAGGGTTGGGACGAGTCCAAATTTACTACCTGGGTATCCACCACGCTATTACCCGACCCTACCCAGGTACCCGCTATATGTCTCAAGACTTGGGTGTAAAATGTGCGATTGGGAATAATTTTACCGTAGCCCTGGTAAAATGTATTTAGATGCATGTATAAACCAATCTGGTCATGCATACACTGAAGTTGACTGAAGTTTTATTTTTATTCAAACCTATAAAGGTCAGAAGGAATGTGTGCATAGTCAGAAAGAAATGGGAACATCAGTGACTTGTAGTGTAACCATAGATATATCACGTGACTAACCACAGGTCCGGGTAGTCCTGTGGGTACCAGGGCCCTACTCAGTACCCATCCGACCCGAGTACCCGAGTTACCCGTCCCAGCCCTACTGCCTATAGCAATATTCCAGCTCTATCACAATTCAAAGCACCAAGGTGAGGTGAGGTGAAATGGGGTTTAACGTTGTGTCTGTTATGTTTTTGCCTCATTTTCATAAACAACAAGATCATACAGCTTGGGTCCCATCTTTACTTGTTGATAAGATTACAGAAGTGAAATCGAGAGCGCGTCAATAGACGTCACTCAACATATGTGACGTCATTACTCTAAGCCAACCGCAAAAAGGCCACGTGAGGATGCAGAAGTAATTAGCATAAACAACAGTCCAAGATTATTGCACTTATATAGCGGTGTGTGTGTGTGTGTGTGTGTGTGTGTGTGTGTGTGTGTGTGTGTGTGTGTGTGTGTGTGTGTGTGTGTGTGTGTGTGTGTGTGTGTGTGTGTGTGTGTGTGTGTGTGTGTGTGTGTGTGTGTGTGTGTGTGTGTGTGTGTGTGTGTGTGTGTGTGGCTGCTTGTACTAGTCCGGACTGATGCCGATTTTTAGTGCTAGCTCACTGAGATACCATGCCACGGTTTAACATGAATACCCCACTCAGACACAGTATACCGACCAGTCCTTGTTTTAGCCACTTAATGCTGAGCGCCAGACAGGGTAACAACAAGTACCATCTTTGAACATCTTTTGGTATGACGTGGCTGGGGCTCGAACCACGGACCTTCGCTCCCCGGGCAGACGCTCTACCACTAGACCACGGAGGCGGTCTCAAAGCACCAAGACTATGCAACAGACTGATGCAAGGGTCACATTATGAGTGAATGCTTTCAGCAAAAGTGAATGTTTTCACGGGTGCCACCATTGGAGCAGGACAACGAACACCCAGTATCATCATTACTTGATAGTAATTCATCAACCCATTCATGAAAAAGTTGGAATTGTATAATGGCCTTTGCTTTTAGATGAGATTTTTTATGATTCTAGTAGTGGTTTGGTTGCTTGTATTTACACTGTATTAGCAACATTAGTTATATCCAGTAAACGGCATCTGAACAGACTCAAACCTATGACCTAGAATCAGACCTAGAGCTATGCACTTTGCAGCTTTGTATTTATTTGTTTGTTTGTTTCTTGTTTATCGACGCACCCGGCAATATTCCAGCTATATGACGGCCATCTGTAAATAAATATTTGAGTCTGGACCAGACAATCCAGTGTTTGATATCATGAGCATCGTTCCATGCAATTGGGATACAGTTGTAAGTCTATGATAAAGCATGAGAGTAACTCTCACCTTAGTGCTACAATCGCTTTGTTGAACGGACCCCTTGCTACCAGCCATCTCCATGACGTCTAATCTATTCCTATCATCCTCCACCAGCGTGTGTACAACTGCACCTCCTAAAGCTATGTGACAGTGTTTGTTTGTTTATTTATTTTTTAACACCACCCTCAGCAATATTCCAGCTATATGACAGCGGTCTGTAAATAATTGAGTCTAGACCAGACAATCCAATGTTTGATATCATGAGCATCGTTGCATGCAATTGAGATACAATGACATGCATCAACCAAGTCAGCGAGCCTGATCACCCAATCCTGTTTGTCAGCCCTTTACGACAAGCACAGTCGCCTTTTATGGCAAGCATGGGTTGCAAATTTGCAGCTTTGTACTAAAGCCGATCTCCAATTGACCCCAATGTCACCCCGCCCAGACATACCTGCCCCTCGTTCTGGGAGAACCTCTCGTGAAGCACGTTGAGGTCGGTCTTGAGGCGCATCACCTCCTCATCCTTGTCGGCCATCTCGGACTTGAACATGGTCTCCTGCTGGGAGGCCCCCAGGTCTCGCTCCTGCACCTCCGTCTGGAGGCGGTCAATCTGGAGCAGGACAGAGAGCTTACTGTAACACATTCCTAGAACTACAATATTACCAGAAGGAAACACCATGGTAGTGTCTGTTCTACACATCAGCAGCAACACTACAGCTATACCATGGCATACTCTGTGACAAGCATAGTGTACTGGGGATGTGACAAGCATGGGGTACTGGAGATGTACTCTGTGACAAGCATGGGGTACTGGAGATGTACTCTGTGACAAGCATGGGGTACTGGGGATGTACTCTGTGACAAGCATGGGATACTGGGGATGTACTCTGTGACAAGCATGGGGTACTGGGGATGTACTCTGTGACAAGCATGGGATACTGGGGATGTACTCTGTGACAAGCATGGGATACTGGGGATGTACTCTGTGACAAGCATGGGGTACTGGTGACGTGACAAGCATGTGATACTGGGGATGTACTCTGTGACAAGCATGGGGTACTGGAGATGTACTCTGTGACAAGCATGGGGTACTGGGGATGTACTCTGTGACAAGCATTGGATACTGGGGATGTACTCTGTGACAAGCATGGGATACTGGGGATGTACTCTGTGACAAGCATGGGGTACTGGTGACGTGACAAGCATGTGATACTGGGGATGTACTCTGTGACAAGCATGGGGTACTGGAGATGTACTCTGTGACAAGCATGGGGTACTGGGGATGTACTCTGTGACAAGCATTGGATACTGGGGATGTACTCTGTGACAAGCATGGGATACTGGGGATGTACTCTGTGACAAGCATGGGGTACTGGTGACGTGACAAGCATGTGATACTGGGGATGTACTCTGTGACAAGCATGGGGTACTGGAGATGTACTCTGTGACAAGCATGGGGTACTGGGGATGTACTCTGTGACAAGCATGGGATACTGGGGATGTACTCTGTGACAAGCATGGGATACTGGGGATGTACTCTGTGACAAGCATGGGGTACTGGGGATGTACTCTGCGACAAGCATGGGGTACTGGTGACGTGACAAGCATGTGATACTAGGGATGTACTCTGTGACAAGCATGGGCTAATGGGGATGTGACAGGCATGGTGTACTTGGGATGTGACAAGAATGGTGTACTTGGGATGTGACAAGCATGGTGTACTTGGGATGTGACAAGCATGGTGTACTTGGGATGTGACAAGCATGGAGTACTGGGGATGTACTCTGTGACAAGCATGGGGTACTGGGGATGTACTCTGTGACAAGCATGGGATACTGGGGATGTACTCTGTGACAAGCATGGGGTACTGGGGATGTACTCTGTGACAAGCATGGTGTACTGAGGATGTGACAAGCATGGGATACTGGGGATGTACTCTGTGACAAGCATGGGGTACTGGGGATGTACTCTGTGACAAGCATGGTGTACTAGTGACTCACTCTCTGACAAGCATGGGGTACTGGTGACGTGACAAGCATGGGGTACTTGGGATGTACGCAGTGACCTACCTCCCTGGCTTGGGCAGCGTATCGACTCTGCATCTGCTGCAACTCCCTCTCCAACTCATCCATCTTCAGCTGGGTGTCCTGGGTCTGGTGGACACATGCAGTGATTACATGCAGTGATTACATGTAGTGATTACATGTAGTGATTACATGCAGTGATTACATGCAGTGATTACATGCAGTGATTACATGTAGTGATTACATGCAGCGATTACATGCAGTGATTACATGCAGTGATTACATGCAGTGATTACATGCAGTGATTACATGCAGCGATTACATGCAGTGATTACATGCAGTGATTACATGTAGTGATTACATGTAGTGATTACATGCAGTGATTACATGCAGTGATTACATGCAGTGATTACATGCAGTGATTACATGCAGTGATTACATGCAGTGATTACATGCAGTGATTACATGTAGTGATTACATGCAGTGATTACATGCAGTGATTACATGCAGTGATTACATGCAGTGTTCATTACAACTTCAGGCACGTTTAGCATAGGGAGTAACTTTCCACATATATTGAATATTTTGCAAGAACCCGTAACAGATTTCCTGCCTGAACACTAACTCCCTACTGTTTAATGAAGGTTCTCCTCCCAGAGGAAAGAAACACTATTCCCAGTACTGTAGCAATGGCATCACATACACACAGACACTATATTCTTTCCCACAAACTAGGACCCCTGACTGTCACCAGCCTTGTGCAGTGAGTAAGGTTATGTTCTCAGCCATGACCCAATTCAGGACTAGATGTATTTATTTCGTCCATGACCTACAATGGCTCTAGATGTTTCAATTTCGTAAATGACCAAGCTTAGCACTAGATGTTTCGGTCTCGTCCACGACCCACCTCATCACTAGATGTTTTGATTTCTCCCATGACCTACAACGGCTCTAGATGTTTCAATTTTGTAAATGACCTGCCTCAGCACAAGATGTTTCAGTCTCGTCCACGACCCACCTCAGCACTAGATGTATTGATTTCGTCCACGACCTACTTCGCCACTAGATGTTTGAATCACGTAAATGACCAACCTCGGCACGAGATGTTTCGGTCTCGTCCATGACCCACCTCAGCACTAGATGTATTGATTTCATCCACGACCTACTTCGCCACTAGATGTTTTAATCCATAAATGACCAACCTCGGCACGAGATGTTTTGGTCTCGTCCATGACCCACCTCAGCACTAGATGTATTAATCTCGTCCATGACCCACCTAGGCACTAGCTATTTTGACCTCGCCAATTACCTACCTTTGCACTAGCTATTTTGATCTCATCCTTGAGTTGCTTGACAACCTCTCCTCTGTGTTGTGCTGTTGAGATAGCCTCTCGGAGTTTGTCATCAATCTCACAGTTTTCATTGCGGAGTTTGACAATTGCATCATGTCTCTCGGACACCTGTTGATCACAGGATTAGTTCAAAACATTAAACAAAGTACCTATAACACACTTAATGACAGACCTGTTACACACTTAATGACAGTGCCAATGCTTTCAATGTCAAACTAAAGAAGCTGTCTTCCACGACCTACTCTATGACATGATGTACAAGGAGAGGTGATAGGGGTTTAATGCTGCTGTCAAGATTATGGCACTGATACAGCGACATGCATGCATATGTGTATGAGTGTATGTGTGTGTGGCTGCTTGTACTAGCCAGGACTAATGCTGCTTATATAGTGCTTGCCCACTAAGATACTATGCTGCAGTTTAACATGGATACCCCACTCAGACACAGCATACTGACTCCGAGCCAACCAGTCCTTGTTTTATCCCCTTGATGTCGAATGTCAGGCAGGGTAAAAACAAGTGCCATATTTAAAAGGTTTGACGTGGCCGGGAAAAAAACATTGACCTTTCGCTCCCCCGGGTGGACGCTCTATTCACTTGACCACTCGATGTACAAATCTTTATCTTTATCTTCATTTTCTGATGACCCAGATCACAATCTGCACTTATTTGTTTTGTTATTTTACAAGGTGTAGTTACCCAATTGTAAAGCTTCAAGGCAAAATAGCAATCAATCATTTTCAGAAATGGGCTACGATCTTTGCTACCAAACCTGTCAAACTTTGCTGTCAATTCTTGCAACCAAAATTATTAAGCCTGAAAATGAAAAAAGTCTACCAAAAAATAGTCTATAATAGAGCTGTTACTAAAGCTAATGCAAGCCGCATCAACGCTATCCCAAGCATTATAAATGCTCTACAACCCTGACCCTGTCCTTGACCTTGACCTGTCAAACTCACCTCAGAGGTCAGGGCATCACGAGTATCTTTGGATGAGTTTTGTAGTCGTTGTAGACTGGCGGTCAATTTGTTGACCTGGGGAGTAGAGGGCAGGGAACGGTCAGAGGTGGACTGAACAACTCTAAAACTTGACGCCATGCTTAGTAAATTTGGGCATATTTTTTCAAAAAGATATCTTCATCAAGTACCAAACAGACAATACAAACGAATACGGGGTTTGCGCACGAGAGCCAGGGGAAAGAGAGCTACATAAGGGAGGCAACTCAAGAGTCCATATTAACACGAGTGAGTATGACAGAGATTAACATAATGTGGGATGGAAAATCGAAAAGCAAATGCTTTTTTTACTTATGGTTCGTCCATTTTACCATGAAAATGGTGTCTCCAGGAATATTCATAATTTTAATTCAGAGCTACAAATTTAGATGCATCAAGATATAATTGAAGATAAAGTTCCTAAAAGTGTCACATATAACTCAATTTAAAAAAATAAAAAAATAATGACTTGATACAGTCTAGAAGGGGAGACAGTAACCACTGCAGGGGAACACAGAGAGCAAGGTCATGCAGGATACGGCACAAGGAACGAGGGAGGTGGATACCATTAGCTACACATGGTCAAGGAATGTCAAGGTCAAGCAGCACACAGCTACAACACACGACAGACAAACCAAGGGCCTGTTCCACCAAGCGAGCATAGGGTTAAGACAACTGTTATTCCCACTGGCTTACTAAAGTCGTAGCGCTATAATCGCTTAGTGGAAAAGGCCCAGGTCACAACAAACTTAGGTTCAGGACAACCACAGAGTGCACACTAACAGTGTTCTAAATGAATGTCGAAAAGTGATTGGTTTTTGTTTGGTTTGTTGTTTAACGCCGCACTCAGCAATATTCCAGCTATATGACGGCGGTCTGTAAATAATCGAGTCTGGACCAGACAATCCAGTGATTGATATAATGAGCATCGATCCCAGCAATTGGCATCGATGACATGTATCAACCAAGTCAGAGAGCCTGACCACCCGATCCCGTTCGCCTCTTACGACAAGCATAGTCGCCTTTTACGGCAAGCATGGGTTGCTGAAGACCTTTTCTACCCCGTAATCTTCATGGGTCTGAAGAGTCCTTGTCACAATGGTTGCGATAGCTGTTGCTGTAGTGTTGAATCTAGGAATGCCCTTAATGCAGAACTGTCAGCTATTGGGTTGTGACAAGGATTCCTCTCGTGTTTAAAGTCTGAAGAGTCCTAGTGTTAAAATTTAAACATTTAGTCCTGACTGGTTTCAAAATTGTTCAAAAACTATGTCAGATAACTTCACATAGTTAGGACCACCTTTAAGTTCGAACACTGATCATTGATAATCTGTAGCTTCATCAATCAAGTGAACAGAAATCATTTGTTGACATTTGAGGTTTGTTGCGGCCTGGGTTGACTGTACAAGCAAGCTAGAGACTCATCATGGCCGTATGTATCAGAATACTGGCATACAAAAATATTTAACCTGACGTTTCATAATTCAATAAATGTTACACATAACTTTCCAACATGATATACCGGGTCTCACTTGCACATAGCGATCTTAGCGCTAAGATGATCGTAACTCCCATGCTTTAACATAGGCTTACAATAGTCGTAGCGCTAAGATCCCTTTGTGCAAGTGGACCCAGGACTCAATTCTAAACACAAATACTGACACTAACTGATATTCAAACTACCAACACATCCAGGATTTGACAAGGGCGTTGAACATATTACTTGAGGGCTTGTGTCCACAGTCTAGACTCTAGTGCTCAACTAGGATCAGAGTTGCCATCTCTCACAAATCCTTCAGCACGGATGAGTGTCTTTATAGGCATTTTGAAGTTGGACGTACCAACTTCTTTATTATACATACAAAATGTGTGGGGCTACTTCTTGCCCAATCCCTTGAAATGTGTACGTATAATAAAGTGAGTGAGTGAGTGAGTATGGTTTTATGCCGCTTTTAGCAATATTCCAGCAATATCACGGCGGGGGACACCAGAAATGGGCTTCACACATTGTACCGATGTCGGGAATCGAACCTGGGTCTTCGGCGTAACGAGCGAACGCTTTAACCACTAGGCTACCCGACCGGCCCTCGTATAATAAAGAAGTTGTTATCCATAACAATCCTTATCATAGTCCTTCAGCAGCAACTTTTCATAAACTGAACTGGAATTTGTGGCATAGCTTAGCATGTTTAGATAAAGATTTTTGTCTTGAATGTGAGAGTGAGTGAGTTGGGTTTAACACTGCTTTGAATAGTATTCCAGTTATATCACGGAGTGTCATCTTAATGTGGGAGGAAATCCCGAAAGTGATGCAGGTCTTAGACATTTACCACTTCGGTGAAACCCACGAGCACGGGTATGGTGCTGACAAACCTAGAAACATAATCGGGGCAAACCGGGATTTGAACCCACGATCAAAACAAGTACTGGCATGCCTAAGGGACGAACCCTGCACAGCGAATTGTGGCGCCTTATACAACTGGGGCACCCCTATTGATCTTCAATGGTACATAAGCAGGTCCCTGATCACTGATCAGCAAGGATACACAGTGGTACATGAGATTGTGTGAAAAATATGTGATAAACACGCCAAAAAATAAAACTTCACACAAAAACTGTGAATCAGAAATCATTCAAAGTATCCTTACATCTGCATGTGATTTGTGCAAAATAAAATGAAACAGCTCAAAATATGTGTGCCAAATTTGAAAAACTTCAACTTACAAGAACTGATTTGGAATTCTGAGGACACAATAACTAACACAAATCACAACCTTATCTGGCTGCACTGACATTACAAATAAATCCCCCTCTACCAGGACAGAACAGTCCAGGGTCCTGTTCCACAAAGTGGTCTTAGCGCTAAAATGATCGTAACTCCTATTCTAAAACATAGGCTTACAACAGTCGTAAGTCCATGGTCGCTTTGTGGAACGTGGCCCTGGGCTCTGTTCCACAAAGGTGATCGCAATTCCCATACTTTAACATAGGCTCACAACATTCTTAGCGCTAAGATCGCTTTGTGGAACGGGATGAAAAGCAAGGTGGAGGATAAGCGGACAATAGGTTGGCCCATATGCTTAGCACTGTGTTGAAGATGTCCTGTTCCATCAATGAGTATTCTACATCCGGGTAAGCTACCATACTAATAACATAGGGTAAAGCAACATTCATTTGGGTAAGCAGGCTCTATTCTATAATAGCTACATCACATATTAAAAAGCATTAGGACAAGTCTTCACAGAGATTCATTACCATGTATTATAGCTAAAACGGATAGAATGATCATTAAACCGCCCGCATGTTATCAGAAATGAGCGGGCCACTGTAACTTGATAATGCCCTCATATTGCTTGACGACGGGCCATTATCATGCCGTTGTTAGGTGAAGTCATAGGACAGGCATAGGTGACGTCACGTTCAATAGTGAATTCATCTGGTTTGTTCTAGGACGTATCCATATTTGTAAAAGTGGGTCAGTGACATTTGTGTTGATTGCAGTAAATGTTTCAAACCTGATATTGTTGTTTCTTTTTATTTGATAGAAAATTCCATCCATTTTAGCTATAATAACGGTAACGCTATTTTTCAGGGCATTATCATTTTCAGAAGCCCGAGGTCTTCAATTAACTGCCTGACAAAGGATGGCAGCCTAAAACTTTTAGTAAAAGACTGAGCATCTTTCACTCAAGTGACATAAGCAGTATATAGAACTACATAAAATTAACATACAACTGTAGGCATGCATTGTTGGGAAGCTATTCATTCAAACCTAACATAAATATGGCTACAGGCAGTAAGGTAAGCAACACTGGGTATGGCTACAAGCATTAGGGTAAGCAGCTCTGAGCGGAGCTCTCCGCTATCAGCTTGGGAGCACAAGAGAAACCATCTGGAACAAAATTCTCCACTAACAGGCATCACTGAACTTCTCAAAGCAATGGGGTAGAGCTTCAAGCATTAGGGTAAGCAACACTGAGCAGAGTTCTGACAGACAGGGATCATAGGCATCACTTCACCAAGCATGCTCAGCTCCACATATACTGGTAAACAAACAATGGGGTAGGCAACAAGCATTCAGACCTGTCAACCCTCCCACATTTTGCGGGAGACTCCCGCAATTTGATGAAATCTCCCAGTCTCCCGCAAGATGGACTATTTCTCCCGCAAAACAGAATTCTTCATTATTTAAAAAAATCGCCTCATTGTCCCGTGAGTGAAAACAATGAACGGGAAGTTTGCGTCCTGATCTGTCCGGTAGGCTCCCGGATTAGCGACCCTTATCACAGCCACCCGCAGGGGGGCCCAGATGGGCCTTTGTCCAGTAATCAACTGGTAATTAAATTCATATGGTGAACGATTGAACAATGTAAACTGTTAAGACAACTCGGATAGTCCTAACAGGTGCCTGAAGGGTTGAACTTGAAATGAAAAATCAGCCAAGTATTCATCACTTCATGAAATGAACTGTTGTCTTCATGTTCTTAGCGTGTTTATTCTTCCATAATTTAAGAACGTAGATACATATGGCCAGTCCAGTTATACATGACTTTATTGGTTATCAGATTTGTCAGAAACTTTGTTAAAACATCAACATACCTCAAAGTTACGTCATTGAACTCTTGGAAATGAAAACAAAATATGTCCTGCAAGCGCCGTCTTCAGAAACAACACTATGCGTGATTGGTTGATTCGGTAGTCGAAATAACAATGAGTTACACGATCAGGCTTCCTCACAGCAGGATTTCAAAGTCAAAGTTTAAAGTGAAACTTATAAATTTCCCTTTGACTGACATCGTGACTTGTGTGCACAGAAAATATCAAAACAGAACTTTATCAAATTTTGCGAGAATGTATCATGTGATTATTTTACACGATTTGATTGGCTAATAGTTTGCTTGCGTCCCAGATCTGCAATCTAATGTGCATACAACAGTACTAGTCAACCAATGAGATTAATACACGTCAAGGTCAGAAAGGTCAACAACGACAACGAGACTCATTTCATTCATAAATTGTAGTAAAAGGTAATAGTACTTCCAAATATGGCATACATTTCTTGGAATGGAATAACGTGAACATTTCTAGGAAATTTAAGAAGCGAAGTAATGGGACTGTCAACAGACTACCGCAGACAGAAAAAAACAGTATATCTTATTGAAACTAAGGGCGATGATGTTGCGTCAGGATAAATGCATTTGATATTTCTTTGGCGAATTTTGTAACCAACATCGCGCCAAATACTCAGAAAACCTGCATCGTAACGAAGCCTGACAACTGGTCGGATTGAACACGTCGTCAACTGGTCAAGCTACTGATTGTGAAATTTCAATATCTGTTTGCGTTTATCTGAGATGATCTTTGAACGAAAGTTATATGGGTAGATTGTGCTGGGTTTATTTTTGGAGGAGGAAAATGCAAACGGAAATTAAGCAAGCTGTACGTATAAGAAACTTATTGATTATTTATTGTTTCAAAATATTTGGTTTTCTTTGTAACATTATTAAAAATAAAAGTTGGAAATTATCTTATCTTCACTATCTTAAAAATCTCCCCCTTTGGAGGCAAATCTCCCCCATTTTGAAGTCAAATCTCCCACATTGTCATGATGAGGGGTTGACAGGTCTGAGCATTAGGGTAAGCAACACCAAGCAGAGCTCTCTGCTAACAGACAGGGAGCACTATTGCAAGCATCTAGAACAGAGCATGACAGCACTGTCCCGGTACCTGTGTCTGCGCCTCCGAGCTCTGGCTCCTTAGGGTTTGGATTTCCCCCTCTAACCTGGTCACCTTGTTTCTCAGTCCACTGGCCTACAGCACAACACATTACATGCTTTACCGCCTTCACAACGGGAGCAAACGTCAGTGTAGAAAATTACAATCTAATTGTTTTTTCTATATAATAAGTATGTATAGATTTACTCTTCAAAACCACAGGTTGAGTGGTTGGAATAAAACTGAAACAAAAACTACAAAAATATTCAATTTCATCCACAGGATGAACAGAACAAAAAGTGGAATCCTTGTTGCTTTGATTATTTCTTTAATGAGAGTATGATCCATTCAATCTAGTTAAGAGTGATTATTTTCACTGACATTTCTCCACAGACTGGACAGAAAGAAAAAAGTCATCTCTTAGATATTTCTCTCCTTTCATATTTTTACAATTATGACAGATCTGCATTCCAAGTACAATAAAATCTTGCCAAGTGATTTGTTTGTTCCAAGCACAGCTAATGTACTCGGTGAGATTTGTTAAAGCTTTCAATGTTTCTCCTACCTCATTGTCACCATCATCAAGTTGACGTCTCAGATGGCTGATCTCATCTTCCTGAGCCTTCATACGCGTCTCGTAGCGATGCATCTGTAACACAATGACACAATGACACAGTGAGACAATGAACTGACTCCACTCCTAGCATTCTCCAACCTGTCTCTGTCGGATATGACACAATGAACTGTCTTCCACTGCCCTTGTCAGATGTAACACAATGACAACCGTCAGTATGAACTGTCTCACAGTCAGATGTAACACAATGACAACAGTCAGTATGAACTGTCTCAGTCAGATGTAACACAATGACAATGACAACAGTCAGTATGAACTGTCTCAGTCAGATGTAACACAATGACAACCGTCAGTATGAACTGTCTCAGTCAGATGTAACACAATGACAACAGTCAGTATGAACTGTCTCAGTCAGATGTAACACAATGACAACAGTCAGTATGAACTGTCTCAGTCAGATGTAACACAATGACAACCGTCAGTATGAACTGTCTCAGCTAGATGAACACAATGACAATGACAACAGTCAGTATGAACTGCCTCAAATGTAACACAATGACAACAGTCAGTATGAACTGCCTCAAATGTAACACAATGACAACAGTCAGTATGAACTGCCTCAGTCAGATGTAACACAACGACAACAGTCAGTATGAACTGCCTCAGTCAGGTGTAACACAATGACAACAGTCAGTATGAACTGTCTTAGTCAGATGTAACACAATGACAACAGTCAGTATGAACTGCCTCAGTCAGATGTAACACAATGACAACAGTCAGTATGAACTGTCTCAGTCAGATGTAACACAATGACAACAGTCAGTATGAACTGTCTCAGTCAGATGTAACACAATGACAACAGTCAGTATGAACTGTCTTAGTCAGATGTAATACAATGACAACAGTCAGTATGAATTGTCTCAGTCAGATGTAACACAATGACAACAGTCAGTATGAACTGTCTCAGTCAGATGTAACACAATGACAATGACAACAGTCAGTATGAACTGCCTCAAATGTAACAAAATGACAACAGTCAGTATGAACTGCCTCAGTCAGATGTAACACAATGACAATGACAACAGTCAGTATGAACTGCCTCAAATGTAACACAATGACAACAGTCAGTATGAACTGTCTCAGTCAGATGTAACACAATGACAACAGTCAGTATGAACTGCCTCAGTCAGATGTAACACAATGACAACAGTCAGTATGAACTGTCTCAGTCAGATGTAACACAATGACAACAGTCAGTATGAACTGCCTCAGTCAGATGTAACACAATGACAACAGTCAGTATGAACTGCCTCAGTCAGATGTAACACAATGACAACAGTCAGTATGAACTGCCTCAGTCAGATGTAACACAATGACAAGTCAGTATGAACTGTCTTAGTCAGAAGTAACACAATGACAACAGTCAGTATGAACTGTCTTAGTCAGATGTAACACAATGACAACAGTCAGTATGAACTGTCTCAGTCAGATGTAACACAATGACAACAGTCAGTATGAACTGTCTCAGTCAGATGTAACACAATGACAACAGTCAGTATGAACTGTCTCAGTCAGATGTAACACAATGACAACCGTCAGTATGAACTGTCTCAGTCAGATGTTACACTATGACAACAGTCAGTATGAACTGCCTCAAGCCTGTCCAAATACCAAGTGACAACCTGTACCCATGGTTGGCTAATCAGGGCATTTGTTAGACTAATTATTTCACCAGTGATGGTACTGTCATTATTTACTGACTTTCACTGTATGTATAAAAATATCATAAAAAAATACAGTCTTACAGATCTGTAACCAATGGTAACAAAGCTAACATAATGATGCACCTCACTGAAAACAATGTGACTTGTCCATATATCTGAGGGATGTTTATCAGGAATATTCATAATATACTCTGCGGTGATATAAAGGATACAAGGGGTGTAACGACAGTGCGATATACGTTTATATCATGAGTCCTTCATGAAACTCCCTAACTGAAACTATTCATCAGAAAAGATACATCACTTCTCAAAGATTATTAAACATGTCAGGGTTAGAAGTTGGCACTTCTACTATAGTCCTTGCCAAACTGCCCAATAGTTAAGGTATCCTAAAGACAAGTAGAAATTTGCCCTTTTTAAAGGTTTTTCTTTATGTAATCATTATAAGGACTGGTGGACTAAAACGGTTAGTTTCTATCACTGCAAAACTTCAGAATTTTTATAATTTATCATGACTCCTACATCGCAACCTCGTTGCACCCCTACAGGGCACACACAAAATGTGACACATGCATTGTCACAGACACATCAATGGGGACCAACCAGTGCAGTATACATACATGCAATACAGGTGTACATGCAATACAGGTGTGCATGCAGTGTGATACACCATACACAACAAACAAAACAATAAACAAAGCAAAATGTAAACAGTAAAAAAAACACTACATGGATATAAAATACAATTGTATTAGCACTGATTAGATATGATTGAAATGCTTGAATGACGATTGAGAAATATGCTAATGTGTTATCTCTAAAAAATAAATCTGACAAAAGATAAATTGTCTACACAACATATAAATAAGGTCTCACTCATGGGTTGATCTAGGGAACTGGGACCATATTCACAAAGTGATCTAAGTGCCATGACTGTCGTAGGTGTGTCATGTTAATGTATACTACTCAAAAGAAGTTAAGGATCACCTGATTCTTTCATATTACAATAGTTAATGTCTCATGCCATGACAGATTAACATTACCAATATGAAAGAATCGGGTGATCCTTAACTTCTTTTGAGTAGTATATATTAGTTATGACAGTCATACTCTACGATCACTTTGTGAATAGTGATCCTGGATCTAATCTGATGGTCTTCCTAAAATATTTGGTGAGAGTACCCGTAAAGGAACTCTTATATCTAAGCCACAGATATCTAAACAAACTGCTAAAAACTGCAAATACTGTATTTGATGTAATAAGCACCTCGCTCCAATAAGCGCCCATGGCAATATTGGCTAGTGAACAATCCCAATTAGCCCCCCTTCCAATTGATCAATGTACAAAAGACTTTTTTATTCGCATATAATACCCACTTGTGTGTTATATGCACCCTTAATTATGGGCAATTATATTCTGGAAAAATATATCTGTCGTATATAAACATTTCAGGCAGTCAGCACAAACCATATAATTTATCTTTCAACTTATATATTCCAATAAGAGCCCCCTAATTCTAATTTTGAGAGCGCCCTGGGTGCTTATTACGTCGAATACGGCAGGTTACTCAGCTGATCATTTCAACTCAGAAAAATTACAAAATGTTAGGGAATGGACATTAAAGGATGCATGCTAGTCTGTATTTGTTGGTCAACTCTTCTGAGTAAGTGAGTGAGTATAGTTTTACGCTGCTTTTAGCAATATTCCAGCAATATCACGGCAGGGGACACCAGAAATGGGCTTCACACATTGTACCCATGTCGGGAATCGAACCCGGGTCTTCAGCATGACGAGCAAAAGCTTTAACCACTAGGCTTCCCGACCGCCTGGTCAACTCTCCTGAGTTACTGAGGTAGAGTCTAAAAACTACCCTGAACATCAGAACCTCGCGTACATTTTACAATGTAGCAAAAGTCATAGACAAAGGTTAAATGAACAAACAGTCTCTTCAGAAACGATCAACCTTTTTACTTTGCTTTCAACAGAAAAAGTGCTAATCTTGCATGATTAACATGTTTCTAAACATTTCTCACTTAGGAAAGTTGAATATTTTCAACAGACAGCAGGCATCCTTAAATCATGTTAGAAACTTTTGTTATCTTCAACAAAACTAAATATTATCCAAATACAACTTCATCAACACAAATAGTGGCTACATGTCGTAAAGACGTAAGATATTTTATAGATGACATACAACCAAATATTTCAGGAGGATTGAGGGGTTCAAACAGGTTCCATATCCAGTGTATCATATACTATGGTGAAAGCGGATCTTTGGCCAAGGGAGAGGTGGGATCGGGGTGTTGGATTTTCGGTGTTGGGTGTCATAGGTGGAGGTATCACATACTTGGCTGAAGCAGGTCTGTGGGCAAGGTAGAGGTGGGATCGGGGTGGTGGGATCGGGGTGGTGGGTTTTGGGTGTTGGGTGTCATAGGTGGAGTGTATCACGTACTTGGCTGAAGCAGGTCTGTTGGCAAGGTAGAGGTGGGATCGGGGTGTCATAGGTGGAGGGGATCACATACTTGGCTGAAGCAGGTCTGTGGGCAAGGTAGAGGTGGGATCGGGGTGGTGGGATCGGGGTGGTGGGTTTTTGGTGTTGGGTGTCATAGGTGGAGTGTATCACGTACTTGGCTGAAGCAGGTCTGTTGGCAAGGTAGAGGTGGGATCGGGGTGTCATAGGTGGAGGGGATCACATACTTGGCTGAAGCAGGTCTGTTGGCAAGGTAGAGGTGGGATCGGGGTGTTGGGTTTTGGGTGTTGGGTGTCATAGGTGGAGGGGATCACATACTTGGCTGAAGCAGGTCTGTGGGCAAGGGAGAGGTGGGATCTGGGTGTTGGGTTTTGGGTGTTGGGTGTCATAGGTGGAGGGTATCACATACTTGGCTGAAGCAGGTCTGTGGGCAAGGGAGAGGTGGGATCGGGGTGTTGGGTTTTGGGTGTTGGGTGTCATAGGTGGAGGGGATCACATACTTGGCTGAAGCAGGTCTGTGGGCAAGGGAGAGGTGGGATCGGGGTGTTGGGTTTTGGGTGTTGGGTGTCATAGGTGGAGGGTATCACATACTTGGCTGAAGCAGGTCTGTGGGCAAGGGAGAGGTGGGATCGGGGTGTTGGGTTTTGGGTGTTGGGTGTTGGGTGTCATAGGTGGAGGGGATCACATACTTGGCTGAAGCAGGTCTGTGGGCAAGGGAGAGGTGGGATCGGGGTGACATAGGTGGAGGGGATCACATACTTGGCTGAAGCAGATTTGTGGGCAAGGTAGAGGTGGAATCAGGGTGCTAGGTGTTATCACCTCAGTGGAGGGTATCACATACTTGTTTATGGCTGAAACGGATTTGTGGGCAAGGTAGAGGCAGGGATAATTGAGAAGACTTGCGGTGGGGTCAACTACCAGGATGAGGGCTGGTGGGATAATGGAGGTTACAGCAGAGATATATCTGCAAGCATTGTCACTCCTGAACTACCACCTTCCAGGGAGATACACTCTTGCTGAGAGATTTACAAATATTAGCCATCATATCAAAGCTTTGTTTTAATCAGCACAAGGACTTCATGACCTCACCCCAGACCAACAAAGCAGGCAACTTTCTAAACACTTTCTCGATATATGATCCCAATCATCCCATAGATGCAAAGTGGCAAACACTTCTTTATCTTCATCATGAACCTGATTGATTCCTACCAGTGAAATAGTTGACATCAGTATTTGAAACTACTCATCTGTGTCATTATCCAAATGTTGAAAAGGAATGTACTACACTACTGGAACCCACTATACCCTGAATGTATAAGTTATGGCCCCATTCCACAAAGCGATAAAGCCACAACAGTCGTAAGTCTATGATAAAGTATGGGAGTTACGCTCACCTTAGTGAGACGATCGCTTTGTCGAACGGACCCATTGCTACCAGCCATCACCATGACACCCACCACGACGTCTAATCTATTCCTATCCTCCTCCACCAGCGTGTGTACAACTGCACCTCCTAAAGCTATGTGACAGTGTTTGTTTGTTTGTTTGTTGCTTAACGCCACCCTCAGCAATATTCCAGCTATACGACAGCGGTCTGTACATAATGGAGTCTGGACCAGATAATCCAGTGATTGACATCTTGAGCATCGATCTATGCAACTGGGATACGATGGTAAGCATCCACCAAGTCAGCAAGCCTGACCACCCGATCCTGTTAGTCACCTCGACGAGCATACTATGTGACAGTGATAGTGAGGACAACACCTAGTGATGGAACTAGCATACAACATGCTATCGGGCAACATGGGTGAATTGTAGTAGCAAGTGGCCTTGGTGTCTATGAGAATAAGGTGCTGGAACTATCTACAAGTGATCCATTCCCGTCTAGTCTGGAAGTAAAATGTTAACACACCGTGGTTTCTGTCCATGCTGAAGGAACAAATTGAGAATCTCGCGGGATTGGCTCAGCAAGCCTTGGAGGTTTAAACTTTGATTTGATATCAAAAGACACAACAGTGAAATTATATTTATCACCCAAATCATTCTTCCAACTTTTACAGCTTGTAAACATTTGTAACCAGTGTCTGGAGTGTATAAAGTACAAATAACCAGCTTCAATGGCAGGGAGAGTAGTGATGTCATCTGATTGTGACCTCACAAAGGTCGGCAATGAAATGTGATGCAATTTCATATTTCTCCAAGGATATATCCATTGATATCATCCAAGTGGTATCTCCTGGGGAAGCCAGTTTTGGATTTTTGTTTGTTTGTTGTTTATAACCGCACTCAGCAATATTCAAGCTATATGACAGCCGTCTGTAAAAAATCAAGTCTGGACCAGACAATCCTGTGATTGACATCATGATCATTGATCTACACAATTTGGACATGCATCAACCAAGTCAGCGAGCCCAACCACCTGGTCCCGTTAGTTGACTCTTACGACAAAAACTGAAATAATCTTCACAAGATTCATTCCATGTGTAAGAAAACTAACTGAAATACTGTCAATGCCTCCATAGCATCCAAAGACATGTGTTACCATGGTGACAGCAACCTAACAAGCATCTGGACAGAAACCACGAGCACATGCAGTCTGAAACATGAAACAACTAACAATGGACTCATAAACTGACAAGGTGAAATAAGTAGCTCTCAGCAAGAAAGGGTGAAGTGCGGGTGTTATTAAGGCAAACCGCTTAGAGTTACCTCCTCTTGGTGGCTCTTATGGTGACCTTCAAAGTTGTGGAGTAGATGTACATTGTCGTCAAGCTAGAAATCAAATAGTTGTAAAAGAGGATATCTAGGAGAGACGAGGGAGACCGATGGCGGTCGTCCACTGATCAACCACTCCCTGTTGGAAATAGGCCTTCTAGGATATGCTCTCTACTCCTACCATGCAAGGTAAATATTACACTAAGGGGGATAATAGGACATCCATGCATATATATATATATACTTCTACAGACAATGGATAGATTACATGGGTAGTTAGTACACAATCTTGAAAAGAAATTCCAAATACTAAGAATTGCATGACAATGACTATTACTAAGGATAACAACTTCTTAATCATACACACAGTTTCAGATCTAATAAAGAAGTTGTTATCCATAATAATATTCCCTGCCATGTTTAAATCCAACTTTTAAATACCTATAAAACCTCTCAATTACATGTCATATTGAAATAAAACTTTCTCAAGTTTTCTTGCACAATTTGTTGGCTGTGTTGGATCTTATGGCGACTAGGTCGATTACATATTTTCCACTTGAAGATAATACAAGGATAGATAACTATGCTCCGTAAATCTGATTTTGATGTTAGTAAATTGTGGCAAGGATCGTGCAGGGTCATTGTAAAAACAGGGGTAAAAAGAAATTGAACATCTATTTGCAAGCCGTTTTCCTGGGTGCCAATCATCGTCAGTGGTTACAACTATGTATTAATTAAGGATTCAAAATGACACCCCAATGTTTGTTGAATGAATCAAACGTCTATTTCTCTGTTATGAACTTGATTGGCATCTGTTGGAAGTAATGAAATCAGGAGCAGACAACTCTCCTACCTCGGCCACCGCTGCATCCCTCTTCTCTTGTAAAGACAACACGTCCCGACGGAGTTTTTGAATTGTCTCATCTCGTCGAGCCAGCTCAGACTTGAGGATTTCATGGTGGTCTTGGGTTGACACCTGCCCATCTCGCAAACGTTCCTGCAGTGCGCCAATCTGTGCAGTACACGCAGACATTTACAGACTGCATGACAAGTATGTGCATGGACAAGTGCATCTCATCTATCAGTGTTCAAAGACAATTCAAATATTTATCTAGTTTGTTTGTTGTTGTTTAACGACACACTCAGCAATATCCTAGCTATATGACGGTAGTCTGTAAATAATAAAATCTGGACCAGACAATCCAGTGATTGACATCATGAGCATCCATCCACACAATTGGGATACGATGACATGCAACAACCAAGTCAGCAAGCCTGACCACCTGATCCTGTTAGTGGCCTCTTACGACAAGCACAGTCGCCTCTCGGTGCAAGCATGGGTTGCTGAAGACCTATTCTAACCTGGATCTTCACGGGTATCAAATATTTCTCTCGACCTGCTCAGAGGCTGATATATTCCATGCTAGATTCAGTCAATTTGGACTTTGCAACAATTTGACCCTTTCAATGCACACCTTTCCTGCTTAGGTCATGCAGACAAAAGGAGGGCATGTCTGCCATTAATAGGGCTGGGACGACACACCGATCATGCGATCTGATACCTATCAATATACTTGCATGTGCTCTCATCTGTGGGATATATGTTTATTTTCATTTTCTCCACTAAATTTCACCAACCATTAGGAAAGAATCAATATCTTTTACTTAGTGTTAGGCTTGTATCGAGAAGTAAAAAATCACGATCCACCAATGCAGTGTATTGTACCACTACAAGCCATTAATCATATCCAACTCTAAAACAAGTGGGTCTGGAATGCCTCATCATGCCCGGATATATCCCTTAATAATAATAGTGAGTGAGTGAGTGAGTATGGTTTTACGCCGCTTTTAGCAATATTCCAGCAATATCACGGCGGGGGACACCAGAAATGGGCTTCACACATTGTACCCATGTCGGGAATCGAACCCGGGTCTTCGGCGTGACGAGCGAACGCTTTAACCACTAGGCTACTCGACCGCCCCCCTCAATAATAATAATAATAATAATAATAATAATAATAATAATAATAATAATAATGATGATGATGATGATGATGATGATAATAAAATAAAAAAATAAATAAAAAAAATAAATAAAAAAAATAAAAAAATAAAATAAAATATAAAATAATAAAATAAAATAAATAAATAAATAAATAAATAAATAACATCCGCTTGTAAAGCAAATGGTCAAAATGTATTCTTGAAGCGCTGAATTATTATTAGTAATATTACATCTGTGACAGACACAAAATTACCTCATCGAGAGACTTTCTTCTGTATTCCTTACTTTCACGGAGCTCACTTTCTAAGGACCTTATTCTTCTTTCAAAATGTGATACCTGAAAACCCAAAATATATTAGTATCTTTAAAACGACTATATGCACATTGTGTGCACAAACAGTTTAACATCATGATGTCATAATGATCGTAGCAGATGGTAGTTTTACACACCGACACACGATTATTCCGCCACAGAACTTGGTCTTTGATGTCACTTCCAGTCTGTGCAGTTGGTTAATTTTACATGTTATTTAGTATGCTCAACATTGTTAGGAGTCATATCTGCCTACCCTCTTTTCATTGTGTTGTGGCAACATGTAAAAGATTGGGACTATCTAGGTTTAGTGAGTGAGTGAGTTTGGTGTAAATGCCGCTTTTCACAATATTCCAGTTATAACACAGCATGTCAGCTTAATGTGGGAGGAAATCCCGAAGAGATGCAGGTCTCAGACGTTCACCACTTCCGTGAAACCCATGAGCACGGGTATGGTGCTGATAAACCTAGAAACATAATCGGGGCGAACCGGGATTCGAACCCACAATCATAGGTTTCTGGCGTGCCCAAGGGACGCAACTCTGCATGGCAAATTGTGGTGCCTTAGACGACTAGGCCACCCGTGCCCCCTATCTAGGTTTAGAATACATGGTATACAATTATATACATAATACATGCATCTTCTATTTATTTTCTTGGATAAACTTGTTTCTGTTTACGTGTCAAGGAAGACTCAATGATTGAACAAGATGAATCATGGTACTGCTTACATCTTGGCTGGACTGTGAATGCTGGTCTTTGACTGCAGTCATCTCGCTCCGTAGTTGGCGCACCACGTCTTCATACTTGCCCACCTGCACACAGACATGTTACACTGTTGGGAAACACAGACGCTAGTTGTGTCTAGTGTGTACTGATATCATCGTGCTGATTGAGTTACTGAATCTCTCACGCAAAAATCAGTGAGTGAGTCAGTGAGTGAGTGAGTTGGGTTTAATGCTGCTTTTAACAGTATTCCAGTTATATCACGGCGTGTCAGCTTAATGTGGGAGGAAAGCCCAAAGTGATGCAGGTCTCAGACGTTTACCACTTTGGTGAAACCCACGAGCATGGGTATGGTGCTGATAAACCTAGAAACATAATCGGGGTGAACCGGGATTCGAACCCACAATCATAGGTTTCTGGTGTGCCCAAGGGACGCAACTCTGCACAGCGAATCGCGGCGCCTTAGACGACTGGGCCACCCGTGCCCCCACGCAACAATCAGATATACCCTAGTTGGATCATGGTGCCAAATTTGGGCCAGGGCCCCGTTCCACAAAGTGATCTTAGAGCTAAGTTGATCGTAACTCCCATTCTTTGACAATGACTTACGACAATCATAGCGCTAAGATTGTTGATTACACTTGGTGAGTTTTAAGTGAGTTGGTTTTTAAGACGTCTTTAAACAGTACTCCAGTGATATCACAGAGTGTCAGCTTACTGTGGGAGGAAAGCACAAAGCCATGCAGGTCTCAGACATTTACCATTTTAGTGAAACCCACAAGCAAGGGATTTGAACACAGGATCACAGGTTTCTGGTCCACCCAAGGGATGCAACTCTGCATAACCGACCTGCAGTGCCTTTGACAACTTGTCCACCCGTGGCCTCTACATTAGTTGATAGCAAGGGTGATGATACACTGAGGTACGATGACCACCCGATCCTCAGTGTTGTATATTTGTTTGATTAATGCTGCACTTAGCAATATTCCAGCTACATGATGTCGGTCTTAAATAACTGAGTCTATGTTGTTAGGGTACAATTGCATACAACCAGCCAAGTCACAGGGTCTGACCACCTCATCTATCAGGTCACTTCAATAATCAGTATTGGTTGCTGGGGACCAATTCTAACCCGAAATCCTCAAAGGGTAGGTTTTAGTTCACTTTTCATAAGCATGAGGTACTGCCCGGGAATAACCATGGAACATCAAGGAAAGGGACCGGCCATTCCATATTCTAGGGGGGCCTGGGAATTTGTATCAAGATTAGTTATGTTTTCAATTACAGTTACAAAAACAGATATTTTTTTCTTAAAACTACAAGCATGAATTTCTTTTATAACAGGAAACACCTTGCAAGAATGGTATGTTTGTGGCAGGCATTTCTTTCAACAGCTTGAAGCATAATAACTATTTACAAATGTTTAGGGGGGACAATATATTTTTTTTCGATAAAATCCTCAGGTTAAGGAAGGCATGTGTGATCCCCAGGATAAGGAAGGTGTGTCTGATCCCCAAGATAAGGAAGTCATGTCTGACCCCCATGCTAAGGAAAGCATGTGTGACCCCCATGCTAAGGAAAGCATGTCTGACCCCCATGCTAAGGAAGGTGTGTCTGACCCCCATGCTAAGGAAGGTATGTCTGACCCCCAGGATAAGGAAGGTGTGTCTGATCCCCAAGATAAGGAAGTCATGTGTGACCCCCATGCTAAGGAAAGCATGTGTGACCCCCATGCTAAGGAAAGCATGTCTGACCCCCATGCTAAGGAAGGTGTGTCTGACCCCCATGCTAAGGAAGGTGTGTCTGACCCCCAGGATAAGGAAGGTGCGTCTGATCCCCAAGATAAGGAAGTCATGTCTGACCCCCATGCAAAGGAAAGCATGTGTGACCCCCGGGATAAGGAAGGTGTGTCTGACCCCCAGGATAAGGAAGTCATGTCTGACCCCCATGCAAAGGAAAGCATGTGTGACCCCCAGGATAAGGAAGGTGTGTCTGACCCCCAAGTTAAGGAAGTCATGTCTGACCCCCAGGATAAGGAAAGCATGTGTGACCCCCATGCTAAGGAGGGTGTGTCTGACCCCCAGGATACGGAAAGCATGTCTGACCCCCAGGATAAGGAAGGTGTGTCTGACCCCAAGGGTAAGGAAGTCATGTCTGACCCTCAGGATGAGGAAGGTGTGTCTGAGCCAAAGGATAAGGAAGTCATGTCTGACCCTCAGGATGAGGAAGGTGTGTCTGAGCCAAAGGATAAGGAAGTCATGTCTGACCCCCAGGATAAAGAAAGCATGGGTGCCCCCAGGATAAGGAAGGTGTGTCTGACCCCAAGGATAAGGAAAGCATGTGTGCCCCCAGGATAAGGAAGGTGTGGCTGACCCCAAGGATAAGGAAAGCATGTCTGACCCCCAGGATAAGGATCTTGTTTCTGACCCCCAGGATAAGGAAGGTGTGTCTGACCCCCAGGATAAGGAACTTGTTTCTGACCCCCAGGATAAGGAAGGCGTGTCTGGCCCCCAGGATAAGGAAGGTGTGTCTGACCTCGCCGGCAGCCATCCTGTGCTTGTCCTGCAGCATCTTGATGGTCTGCACGTGGTTGGTGTTCTCTGCCTCCTTTACGGCCAGCTCGTTGTGCAGGTCTGTCAGTTGGCTCTGGAGGGACAGGATCTTTCGCTCTCGGTTCTGCATCTGAAATTCACCATCAAGAGGTGTAAGCATGGTAAGGCAAACAATTGATATTCTAGTGGGGTGGTTCCTGGGATTTTTTAAGTTGCAAACAAAAATCACAGTCCCCCTCTGAGGCTTATAAGCCTGATGCACAAGCTTGGATTTCAGTAGCCATCTCCCCTGCAGGAACCTACCTCGTACTGCAAGTCATCTAACTTCTGTTCAGACTTCCTGAGGTCGGCCTTGACCTTGCTCACAGCATAATCTCGGTCGGACTGACTAGAATACTGGTCCAGACGGGAGTCAGTGGAACGCTGGAAACAAACTCGCCAGGTTACAAGTCTTGATAAGCTAGCTTGAAGGTGGCGAAAACTCTACCAGTTAATACAGGTCCAACTTCTACATACCATCACAGTATGGGGAACACAAACTGATTGTCAGGGATATGATAAAATGTTGTTGAATAACTGAGTTGTTTCAATTTTGTTACACCGGTTATTGTTTTTATACCTACCTTACTTTTTAGGACAAAATTCAAGTAAAATAAATCTCTGAGGCTTTATTTTGTTGTTTTTTTAAATTGGCCTACCTCACTTTTGAAATAAGTTTGATATCCGTAAACCAAGAAATAAAAAAATGTCGCCTAATGTTAACACAATGGTGCACTTGGGAATTTGTACTAGCCCCGGGCTAGCGTCAACTTCTAATCCTGTTATGACCAGCCTAGGTTGCTAGGAACTAGTTCTATCCGGGATACCCACAGTGACTGGGTAGTAAGGCACACGACGTGTAGGGGTAACACATGGAGGGCAAGTCACCTTGTCCTGCAGCTCCAGCTGCATGGCCTGGATGACGTCTTCCTTCCTCCGCAGCTGGTCCTGCAGGTCCTGGACACGCCCCGAGCTGCTGCTGCTGCTGGTGTCCTCCAGATGCCTGCATCAACACATGATCAAGACGTGCCAAAGTCTCACCCCTTTTCACAAGTTTCACCTGCCAAAGCTAGGTGATAGTGTTTGTTTGTTACTTTGTTGTTTAACACCGCACTCAGCAATATTCCAGCTATATGACGGTGGTCTGTAAATAATGGAGTCTTGGTCAGACAATCCAGTGATTGACATCATGAGCATCAATGTACGTAATTGTTATAAGATGACATGCATCGACCAAGTCAGTGAGCCTGACCACTCGATCCCGTTAGTCGCCTCTTATGACAAGCATAGTCGCCTTTCACGGCAAGCATGGGTTGCCGAAGACATATTCTACACCGGATCTTCATAGGTCCTTTTCAAAGGGCTCTTGTTTAAAAGTGTTGCAAGGTGGACTTAGGATTTTTAGGGTGTTTTTCCACAAAGTGACTTTAGGAATACGAATGTCATAATTCAATATTACATGGGTGTTGCAATCATCGTAGCGCTAAGATCGCCCAGGGGCCTGGCACAGTTTTGAAATCGCTGAATCTCAAAGAGGATGTTAAATAATATAGTCTATCAATATCTTAAATTCAAGGGAATTTATGCCATTTCCATCTCGTGATTCTTTCCACTTTTGGTGTTCAAAACACCAGTGGTGGCAGAAACAAGAACACTCTCACTCCATCAAAGTTTGATCTGTCCTAATAAAGAGCCTGTTCTATTTTTGAATGAGCAAGTGAGCTGAACATTATTTCAGTTTTTTCAGAACATCATTACAATCTGTCATCCTGGTGTGGGAGGAAAGATCTGAAGTCTACCATTTTAGTGAACTAAAGATTCAAAGATGCTGGTCTCAGTGCTGGTCTCAGTGCTAGCCCACGAGATACCATGCCACAGTTTAACATGAATACCCCACTCAGACACGGTATACTCCGAGCCGACCAGTCCTTGTTTTAGACCCTTAATGCCGAGCGCCAGGTAGGGTAAGACCATATTTTAACATCTTTTGGTTCGACACAGCCAGGATCGAACCAGCGACCATCCACTCTCCTGTCAGACACTCTGTCCTCTAGGCCACGGAGTCGGATCAAACTAGTGCCTATGGTGTATGTGAAGACAGTGCTAAGAAATAATACCTGCAGTTGCAACTTAAATACTTCACACGTGTCTTGTAACAAAACAATGACAATGTTCACTCATGCCAGAAATAATGTAGTACTGTCTCGGTCATAACACACATGCAACATGACAAGGTATGAGTGGAGAGTGTAACAGTGCACATACATACCTCTTGGTGTAAGTTTCATGCATTGAACCAAAAACTTGATCTACAGTGAGCTCACGAAACCTAACAGTGTCAATCTGAAATAAAACATAGAAAAGGCTTGACAATAGTGAAGACTATAAAATAGGTTCATTGTCACCAGTCATCCTTATGTGGGAGTCAAGGTCTGAAGTCTACCATTTTGGTGAACCAAAGAATTAAAGATGCTGGTCTTTGTGCTCGCCCACTGAGATACCATGCCACTGTTTTAACACTCAGACACAGTGTACTGACACAGGGCAGACCAGTCCTTGTTTTAACCCCTTAACGCTGAGCGAGTGAGTGAGTGAGTTTGGTTTTACGCCGCTTTTAGCAATATTCCAGCAATATCACGGCGGGGGACACCAGATATGGGCTTCACACATTGTACCCATGTCGGGATTCGAACCCGGGTCTTCGGCGTGAAGAGCGAACGCTTTAACCACTAGGCTACCCAACCGGCCCCCCTTAACGCCGAGCGCCCTGTAGGGTAAGATCATCTATTGGTATGAAGCAGCCAGGATCGAACCACCAACCTTCCACTCTCCTGTCAGACACTCTGTCCTCTAGGCCACGTAGGCGGTTCGAAGCAGTGCCTATGGTGTATGTAAAGACAGTGCTAAGAAATATTACCTGCAGTTACAACTTAGATACTTCACACGCGTCTCAACAACCTTGCCTACTGGTGAGAAACAACAGCAACGTTAACATGCCGGTCAACATGTGGTTACTGAAGTGTGGCACATTGTGCTACTCAGACAAATTGTTGGGGTGGAGGGTGCATATTATACTTAGTCCCACAGAATATTCATGCTTCACATGAACCACACCTGTCAATAGTTAACTTAATGTATACACATAAAAAACAGGTGACTTGAACAGTTTGCAGTAAAAGAAAGAACAAAAAACAAAATGCCTCCAGTCCTATCTCAAATTTGGAAGAAAATTTAATAGGTAATTTGTGTCCTAAAGGTACTTTTCTCAAGAGTGAGTGAGTGAGTATGGTTTTACGCCACTTTTAGCAATATTCCAGCGGGGACACCGGACATGGACATCACACATTGTACCCATGTGGGGAACCAAACCGGGGTCTTCAGCATGAAGCGAATGATATAACCAGTAGGCTACACCACTGCAGCTCTTATTCAAGAAATATACCCTATCAGTAAACCTTAAAATATGCTTAAAACAAGATACTACTCAAAACACAGTCCAAAAGAGTATCATTGGACAAAACAGACCAACGACAACTGTTCTCAGCAGTATTCCTATCGCACCATAGCAATGTACATGAAGAATTGGCCTCACACATTGTGGCAATGGGTGGAATCAAACCCAGACTTATGTGACCAGGCAACACACTACCCACTGGGCTGCAGAGTCAACTATTAAGAACACAAACACTTGTGTACCTCCCATCTCCCTGCTGACCGGGCCACGCTGATGACATGGATGAGCTGGTCCATGTCATGGTTGAGGTTGCTGTTCTCGTCCCGGAGCTTGCCATTGACATCTTCCTGCCGGGACAATCTGGATTTCAGCTCCTGGTGAAAGGAATTGTAAAGCAGTGTGTGATGGGGTTTAATGGTCAGATCACACTTCAGTTATACCACAGTAAGGCAGCTCAGAACGAGGGATGAAATGCCAAAGTGACGAAGATTGTACTTTCTCAAAAGGAGTAAAAGAATAAAGTTAATCTGTCGAGGTTGGTGGGTTTTGCAACCCACAGCCTTCCAATTGTGGGTGTTCTTTAACTTGTTTTGAGTTGTATATACAGTTACTTCCTTTTGTGAAACCCATAAACACAAGCCTGAGGCTGACAAATACAAAGTGTATAATTCAGGTGATTCTGGGTGAGCTGAGACCAACAGATCCAGGCACAGCTAAGGGAGGCAACCCTGCTCTGTAGACCATACTCCAGTGTGTCTTTGCACCACCACCATGTAAAGGACAAGGTATGGTAAGCTCCCTTCTGGGCCACTCACATACAAAATTTAAGAAAAGAGAAAACTTCATGAACATGGGTGTGATAGTTATGAGATTTGCCCATGTATGAATAAGAAACTGACTTTCTTCTTTTCAACACTTGCATGGTTTGAACTCATAACAAACACTGAATGTAGACATTGTATCGGTTGTGCAAAAATGTGTCAAAAAAAAGAGGATTGATGGGGTTTCAGGATTCGTTTTACTAACTTTTCAACATAACATGCTCTGATCCAAATGCATTTTCTCAGGATATGTAGGTCCAAACCAGTACAAACAAGTCGCAAAAAAATAATTTGGTTCAGAGACGAGTTAATTGTTAGAATTCTTGGAGAAAATTAACACTTTTTATATAAATGCATTTTCAAAATTTGAAACGACAGAAAAAAAATGCTAGTTATTTGAACATATCTTATAACACTCATAACGATATTCTAAACTGAAAACTTTTCTGTTTCTTGTGGGTCAAAAAGAGCCTTTATCAGACATCCTTTGTTGGCCTTGTAACCTACACCTGTCATAACGTGTGTCGTACACTAAGAGTTACTGTCATACCTCCAACATTGTCTCCGCTCTCGTCTTATCAACCCCCAAGTTCCGCAACTCTCTCTCCAAGTCCCGTGTCTTTGAAACATAGTCCTAAAACAGAGGCAGACATTGAAAACCAGGTCAGCCTTGTCCATACATCCAAGTGTCAACTTCAAACAAACCAATCTCTTTTTCCTTATGTAAATGACACAGCACTATCATTCAATTCGGTGGTAAGTGAGGTGAGGTGAAATGGGGTTTAACATCGCGTCCAAGATTATTGCACTTATATAGCGACATGCATGCACGTGTGTGTGTGTGTGTGTGTGTGTGTGTGTGTGTGTGTGTGTGTGTGTGTGTGTGTGTGTGTGTGTGTGTGTGTGTGTGTGTGTGTGTGTGTGTGTGTGGCTGCTTGTACTAGTCCGGACTGATGCTGATTTATAGTGCTAGTCCACTGAGATACCATCCCGCAGTTTAACATGAATACCCCACTCAGACACAGTATACTGACTCCAAGCCGACCAGTCCTTGTTTTAGCCCCTTAATGCCGAGCGCCAGACAGGGTCACAACAAGTACCATCTTTTAATGTCTTTTGGTATGACGCGGCCGGGGATCGAACCCCGGACCTTCTGCTCTCCGGGCGGATGCTCTACCACTAGACCACGAAGGCGGTCTCGGTGGTAAGTACCACAGGCCCAAAACATACATGTATCCTATGTCAACCTTTCCAAACCCAGGTAGGCAGTAGGTTTTTTTGGGCGGTTTCACTCTTTTTACTGTCAAAAATTGTTACTTGCAGTACAAATTGCTTGTGGTATAAAATGTAGACAATAGGGAGTATTCAAGAAATATGTGAAGGTAAAGGTTAGTGTCATCAGAGCTTGAGTAGGTCCAAGGTCAGTAGGGAAACACGTGAATTACATGTGAATTGATAAACGGTCATATTAAACTACGCAAAAGAAGTTAAACTTAAAGAACATACACTTTTTTCATACGATTATAGTAAATCTGTCATGTGTTGACAGATTAACAATAGTAATAGTAAATAAAATTGAGTGTTCTTTAACTTCTTTTGAGTAGTATATTTAACTTAATGTATTCAACATAATAAGCGCCCATGGCGATAATTGCGAACATATTAGCTGGTGAACAATCCCGATTAGCACCCCTTCCGATTGATCAATGTACTTATTTATTCGCGTATATTACGCACTCATGTGTTATATGCCTCCTAATTAAGGGCAATTAAATTCTGGAAAAATATATCTGTCGTACATAAATATTTCAAGCTGTCAGCATAAACCACGAAATTTATCCTTCAACTTTTTTTTTTCCACCAAAATAATATTCTAATAAGAGCCCCCTATTTGTAATTTTGAGAGCCCACTGGGCGCTTATTACGTCGAATACGGTATACATAAAAACAGGACATATTATGGGCATGATCTGAAAATTCAAAAAGTATGAGAAGTTACATACAACACATAATATTGGATTTATACACAACACTTTTCAAGTAGACTGCACCCACATGCATTTTGTCTATGCATCACATATATTTTTGTTTACAGTCTTTATGATCAGTACTTGAGTATGGTTTTACGCCGCTTTTAGCAATATTCCAGCAATATCAAAGCAGGGCACAACAGAAATGGGCTTCACACATTGTACCCATGTCGGAAACTGACCCCGGGCCTCGGTGTGACGAGCGAACGCTTTAACCACTAGGCTACCTAACCGCCCCAATCAGTACTTGACACATTTGAGGCTGAAAACGTATCATTTAAAAATGAGTTAAAAGCATATAACGTATTTTACATAATAAGCATCACGCTCTAATAAGCGCCCACAGTGACATTTGCTGATATATTGGCTGGTGAACAATCCCAATTAGCACCCCTCCGATTGATAAATGTACACAAGACTAAATTATTCGCGTATAATACGCACTCGTGTGTTATATGCACCCTTAATTATGGGCAATTAAATTCTGGAAAAATATATGTCATACATAAACATTTCAGGCTGTCAGCATAACCATGAAATTTAACTTTCAACTTTGTTTTTTTCACCAAAATAATATTCTAATAAGAGCCCCCTATTTCTAATTTTGAGAGCGCCCTGGACGCTTATTACGTCGAATATGGTAACAGTAAATTGAACATTGTCCATGACCATATGATGACATTCACACAATTAGATAACTTTGGCACATCATTTCGGTCAATTTGGCAGTGATGTCATCAATTTAGTTCATCTCATTGATATGTGGCTTACAGGGTGACTGTTCATATATACATATATGGCATTTTCTTCATGTAAAAACAACTTTATCACACTTCCCTAAATTCCAAATGTGGAATATTACAAAAGTTTGAAATCATATTATGTTCGTTTAGAGTTTGTTTTGTTTTTTCTAAAAAACATTTCGTGCTCTTTTGGTTTCCAAAAGATTTGTCTTTTATGAGTGTAAAACATATCCCCACATTGAATATAAAAATGATAAAATTTATATCACAGTCTTATTTACAACTTGACAAACTATAATGATATGCATATTAAAATTCATAGTCACATGTGTTCAGTGTTAGTTTAGTTTATCTTATCGTGCTTATCATTGTCTTTCGTCTAAGGTTCGGTATGTAAAATATTTCTGTGGTGAAAAATTAAGCATGTTTTTGACGGAAATAAAACTATGGCTTTTCAAGATAATATTTTACCATTTGTTATTTTGGAGTAAACATTATTTGTAATCCAATTAAATAAAAAAATGGCTTATGAGACAAAGTATTGTGCAAGGCTACCAGTTTGAATGTCCTTAACATGAAGACTTGGATATCCTCATTAACACAAAGTTCATTTCTAACATATCTCTCAGCAATCCATTCAAGGGTGATACATATCTTCAACTGTTTGAAAAAGAACTAAGTATTACATTATGAGCTGAAAGTGCTCTCATATCTACATTTTCAAATTTCAAATATTCCTCCACCAAGAAATACCCGTCTTATCAGGGGATCAAGTTTAAACCTGTACGGGAACTAAATGGTAGTGCACACTTCACTGGCAGTAATAAATGACTCACTTTCTTTTTGTAAAGGCTATTCTTAAGCAAACACCGATCACCGATAAAGTAGGGCCACACAAAGCAGTCCAAATGACATAACAGCGTAAAAGCACTGAGCTCCAGTGGGACACTTTGTCTGCATGATCTACACACAATCAGGAAGTACAGATACTGGATTACAATTTCAGCTCCTTACTTGTGCCTGCTGTCAGTTACCTCATGGTAATTGTGGTAATGATTATCATGATAATACCATGTACACTCAATTGAATATTTACTGTGAAGAGCCTACAATCTATCAAGTATCTTTCAGTCAACCATTTCTCTATCACCAAAATACAGAATTATCTCTTCTTAGCCATGTTAACAGCCAATATAAATTATTTGACATGATGCCACAATATTCCAGCTACCCCTGGAATACATCAGTCAAGGTATAATGATCAATATCTCACAGTCAGGATAAAATGGACAATATCTCACACAGTCAGGGTATAATGAGCAATATCTCACACAGTCAGGGTATAATGGACAATATCTCACACAGTCAGGGTATAATGAGCAATATCTCACACAGTCAGGGTATAATGAGCAATATCTCACACAGTCAGGGTATAATGAACAATATCTCACAGTCAGGGCATAATGATCAATATCTCAAAGTCAGGGTATAATGAGCAATATCTCACACAGTCAGGGCATAACAAGCAATATCTCACACAGTCAGGATATAATAAGCGATATCTCACACAGTAGGGCATAACAAGCAATATCTCACACAGTTAGGGCATAATTACACAATCATCCAGGTTACCACGCCTGACCACCCAATCCAGTTTAGCCTCCTACCAAGTAATTGAGTGTTAGAGACGTATTCAATTCCACCATAGATTGACATTAATAGCCTTCTGCAAGAATCAGTCTGACACTTGTCATGCTTGTTTCAACTGATTCCAAAGCCACGTGTGTGTTACAAAGAAAATGATGGTTCACGCTGTCGTCAGCTTTTCAGCTATAATATTGCAGTCAAACCAATATTTGCAATAATCACGATGATGATCCAGTCATTGACAGAAAATGGCACCAAGACAGTGTATCTAATGTTAAAGATATCCTGAGGACTAGTAGAACTTCAGCATTTGTAGGGGATGTCCTAATATGTTATCACTGCTCTGTATTCGGACTGACACTGTTTTCAGGTGAATTTCTACCTCTGACCCTCTCAGGATATACAATGAGGTTGTGGCAGGATCCCTGAATGTTGTGTTGGAATTCTAGGACAGGGTAGACTGATTGTTGTGTTGGGATTCTAGGACCAGGTAGACTGAATGTTGTGTTGGGATTTTATGACAGGGTAGACTGATTGTTGTGATGGGATTCTAGGATAAGGTAGACTGATTGTTGTGCTGGGATTCTAGGACAGGGTAGACTGATTGTTTTGTTTGGATTCTAGGACAGGGTGGACTGATTGTTCTGCTGTGATTCTAGGACAGGGCAGACTGATTGTTGTGCTGCGATTCTAGGACAGCAAAGACTCAATGTTGTGAAGGGATTCTAGGATAAGGTAGACTGATTGTTGTGCTGTGATTCGAGGACAGGGTAGACTGATTGTTGTGTTGGGATTCTAGGACAGGGTAGACTAAAAGTTGTGATGGGATTCTAGGACAGGGTAGGCTGATTGTTGTGCTGGCATTCTAGGACAGGGCAGACTGATTGTTGTGATGGGATTCTAGGACAGGGTAGACTGATTGTTGTGATGGGATTCTAGGACAGGGTAGACTTAAAGTTGTGATGGGATTCTAAGACAGGGTAGACTGAAAGTTGTGAAGGGATTCTAGGACAGGGTAGACTAAAAGTTGTGTTGGGATTCTAGGACAGGGTAGACTGAATGTTGTGATGTGATTCTAGGACAGGGTAGACTGATTGTTGCGCTGTGATTCTAGGACAGGGTAGACTGATTGTTGTGCTGTGATTCTAGGACAGGGTAGACTGAATGTTGTGATGTGATTCTAGGACAGGGTAGACTGATTGTTGCGCTGTGAT